CTATTTTAGTATTTTTAACACATTTGATGTGTCAGTTTATCTGTTGTTTTTCTTTAGGCCATTACTCCAAAGTGAATATCGTCCGCTATCATCCTTGTGTCAAGGGATTGTTAGCCACTGCTTCCTATGATCTTGATGTCAAACTGTGGGACGTGGAAACAGCCCGAGAGCTCATAACACTACAACAACACCCGGAGCCTGTAGGTTTAACAACTTTAAGTATTTCTTCACCTGCCTTTCTCCATTGCCAGCAACAAAATGGCTTGTTACAAGCTAGTTGTTTTCGATTCGCCATTCGATTCTGGGATCCAGTTCTTCTTTTAGCTCACTTTTGTCACAAAACTCTAACAAAAGAGATCGGTTCCTCAAAATTTTATTCTTACGACGTGTCTGAGAAAGACAAAAAACAGCAGAGCTCTCGGATTTCTATTATCATTGTGCTTTCAGAAGCACACACCTCCGACCTTAGGATAGCATTTAGAACTTTAGGCCCTGCTAGCGCTTGTTGGAGCACCTCTTCGTTTTTATTTGCTCTTTCCCATGCCCCTTACAGAGTAGTTGTAATTTATATTTGATAGATTTGATGAGATGATTTAGACGACAGTGAGCTCATCCTGGGGGAAGTACTTGCTCCCACCTCTGTGCTCACATTTTTATTGGCGTTGTTTTAACTATGCCCTAATTTAGATGCTTTCATGCTCCTTTGCTTAGGTTTCGGGTTTGAGTTGGCATCCTGACGGCCATTTGATTGCAACGATATCAAAGGACACGAAGATCAGAGTTTTTGATCCAAGGACGAGCACCAAACCACTACAGGTATTATCAAACTGAGTGCTGCCTTCACATGTGATATTTATCTACATGTGTCTCACTCAATAGTATTATTCTGTGTCTGCTTATGATTAGGTACCTTTGTGCTCCATTTCATCATTAGAGTAAACATATTTTGGGAGTTCGCTTCACTTTGTGTTTTTGAAGAACCCGCCACGATATGTATCTTGAACGATAACACTAAAAATGGCACTAATAAACGGACACATGTACAACAATAAATGACATATATGATAACACCCATTTTTCGTGTCATTCATATATATGAACTTTCATTACGAATGCCTGATTCAATTACTAGATTGGCGATGGACCTGATAGTCCAAAGGGCGCTCGCATCATTTGGTGTGGACCAAATAATCAGTGGTTAGCTGTTTCTGGATTTAGCAAGTGAGTTTTTTCTTCATTTGTAAGTTGTCGCATTTTTTTTCCTTTTCTTCATCTTTCTCGTTGTAATCAATTTTTTGTGAGAAGACGGTATCTCGATTGCGTTTCCTTGTAATCTGGATTTCAAATCTTTGCTCCTATTTTCAGACTTGGTTCTCGCATTATAAACCTGTACGACAGCAAGGACTTGTCTGCTCCTATTGGAAATGTCGAACTTGAACCATCACCGGCAACATTAATGCTTTTCTATGATGAAGATTCGTCAACACTTTTTGCCACAGGAAAGGTAGCTAGTTCAATGAAAATTTCTTTCCATAACATCTCAAATAGGAATTGATCGTTCTTTTATCTCATTAGTGATTTTTTGAGCTTAAAAGTTAATCTGTTGCCTGACATCAAATCAAAATGGTTTTGTCAAAGACGTTGAAGATTTTTGTTTGGTAAAGAATTGTATTTTTTAAATGAAAATTACGAGAATATTTCAGCTTTTCACTTTTTACAAAAATGATCATTGCAACCACCCATCATGCGGTCAACTAATAAGATTTTTTTAAGAAAGCTTCCTTTTCGAATGATGTAACTGTCCTTTAAGTTTCTTTTCTACTATCAGATGAACAATAAACTTTTTTGCGGTTACATTACAAGAATTTCTTATTTTTAGGGTGATCGCACCCTTTTGGCCTTTGAGGTTAGCACTGACTCCCCGCATATTTTCGCTCTCTCGCCTTACAATGGAGCCCATCAACATCAGGTAAATTTCTGCATTGATTTTATTGCCACCGAATGCACATGTAGAAGGATAAAATTGAAAAATGATCTAAGATTGTAAACAATCTGAAAAAGTGTCACAAAATTTCATGTTCTTGGTTTACATGAAATATACTTTAAGACAGCACAGCTGTATTTCCCTGATTTTTTTTGTAGAGGTTTTGGTAGAATTTTTATTGTTCCCAGGAAGGAAAAACTTTTATTAATAGGCAAGCACCTTTCATGCCTTGAAAAACTCGGTTATCTTTGGATAGTTACTGTTTTGAGATTGAAAACTATAGTCTGTAAGTTAAGGATTGTTTGACTACCCACCTTCGTGAGACATTTAGAGGTTATGCTTAGTGTGTTGTTAGTTTTGCATTTTTCTAGAGATATAAATGAGTTTGTTTTCTTTACTCATGAATCTTTGTACTTTATTTATGAATCTCAGTTTTTCATATTTGTAAAAAGAAGAATGATTTCTTATTGTTCTTTTATTGTTCTGAAATTGTTCACTCTCGGCCTATCTGTTTTCGAGATCCGTATGATCGTGTTTGATTTTCTACCAATCTGAAAGCCCCATCCTTGTGTAATGTTGTTAGGGCTTCCATAGCTCCCAACATTAAGTATTCTTTAATCCCATACGTTGTTAAAGGGTGATCAATCATTATTTCTTTATAAAAAACAGACATCACCCAACATTGGCCCTTAAAAGCCGAAAATCAGCAAAACACAATACATAGGTATTCAGTAATAAACATTACTTTATATCATTGTTGTTTATAGGGAATTGCGTTTTTACGCAAAGATATTTGCAATGTGAGGGAAATTGAATTCGCAAGAATTGTCCGCATCACCTATTCGACAATGGAACAAGTGTCGTTCACTATCCCAAGGGTAAAGGTGAGTCAATGAAGTACAGTCCACTGCTGACTGCGAATACACTTGGGCTTCTATTTGCCTATTCGCAAATCTATTGTACTTTTCACTCTTACATTTATATCTTAAAAATCAATTACTCGTCACGTTGAATGTTTAATCGACTCGTCATTTTCTTCCTTCCTTCTTTCTTTCTTTCTTTTTTTCTTTCTTTCTTTCTTTCTTTTTTTTCTTTCTTTTTTCTTTCTTTCTTTCTTTTTTTTTTCTTTCTTTTTCTTTCTTGATTTATTTCTTCATTTGATTCTTTTCTTTTTTTATTTCTTTTCGTTTTTCTTTTTTTAGTTCTTTCTTTGGTTTCTTACTTTTTTCTTTTTGTCTCTCTTTCTTCTTTTCTTTCTTCGCTTTCTTCCTTTGTTAGCTTATTTGTTTGTTTGTACGTTTCTTTCTCTCTCTCTCTTTCTTCCTTTCTTTCTTTTATTCTTTCTTTCCTTATTTGCTCAATCTATTAATAACTCACCTTGCATTTCACACTACTGGCCTTTTTCACTACCAGTTTTTCTCTCTTTTTCGTTGATCGTGACCTTGGCTGTTTCTTTTGCAGAAAAACTTCTTCCAGGACGATGTATTTCCTCCAACAAGAGTCAAATGGCAGCCATCAATGTCGGTGGACGAGTGGATGGGTGGGGCAAACACGCCCCAAGAAAGACTGGACCTTCGGCCGTCAGATATGGAGCCACGTCAGTAACTTAATAGTTTCTTTGTGATGCCTGAAGCTATAGTCCTCTTCCTTGCAAAGTTTAAACATGATCTTTACATAAGAAAATATCATTTGCTTTGTTTGCTTCAGGTTATCAAAATTTAATATGAGTAAGGAAATGCTTTACAGATCCTATAAGCAATGCTATGAGCTTTGCATTGAGTATTTTCTTTGTCTGTGTCATTTGCATGCATGTGGCACTTAGATGCTAGCATCTTTTAGGTTGTTCCGTGTGTGCGAAAGCAACCGAAAATGTTCTAACCCTGAGAACGACCCGGTATAACCACATTGTTATCAAGGGATGCCTACATCAGCGTTGTTATTTTGCCAAAGTCAAAGCTCTTATATCTAGGCTTAAATCTGCCCCTCCTGCAGCTTATGTGGCTAGGCCTCATTGCGTCTCCCAGGAATCGCAATAAGCACAATACTATTTTGCCACTTTTCTAACAGCATCTGTTACAAATGCCAGTTCTATTTACATCTGCATCCAAGCTCCCATCCAATAGAACGCTTGCTCCACATGAAAATCTCATTTAAATCTGTAATCAAGGTATCCACCTTGAAGGTATTGAATTTCATTACTTCAAGAACGGTTCTGAATGCAGCCGTCCTTAAGATTGCTACCTGAAGCTGCATTTAAATAACTTGACTTTTTGTACTCTTTTCAAGTTCATGCTGCTCCAAAGACAGAGTCGAAATCTAGTAAATTTTCAAGCAGTCAGAGAACTGTTGAAGCAAAGTCAGTAAAGGATAAAAAAGATGACGTTAGTATGATTCTTTTTGCAAATAATCATAAAATTTTGATATTTTCAGTAAGCGTCTTTGTATTTCAATATTAGTGTATCACCTGCTTCACAAACATCATGCAAGATGTTGCATCTCCATTTTTAGTTTTTCTATAAAAGGCCTATTGTCTTGCAATACTCTGCCATGTCATCTGCCTTCCCGTAGAAAATAAAAGTTACACAATGTACAGTAGAGGTAGTACTACATATGGTATTGTAAATGGTATTTACTTTAGATAATAAACGAATACATTTATACGTTGCCTGTTGATCGCATTAAGCATTAAACTCGAAGTAGCAACTTAGAACCATCCAGCTCTAAACACCAAATAGCATGTACAGCTCTGCCTATACGGTATCACGCAATTTATGACAGACCGGTAAACAAAAATTTTCATTAAATACATATATAGATGTGTAGTAATTTCTTTAGGCAATTTTTGCTTTTTGGATTAATATCTATTGTGTTTTGGCTGTTCAGTGAATAAGTCGTCCTTTTCATTTTACAGTTAATGACTCAAATGGGAGGGAAGTTTGAGGACTTGGCAGATAAACCGTTAGAGCAAGATGCAATGGAAGGCGTGGAGGATCACGAATGGGTATGTTAAAAATTCTGCCAGGTTCTTTTCGGTATTGGCATGGTTATTTGTGACCTATTGATGTCTGAGATTGTGACCTTGGCTTCTGTCCTAACGCAGTTTCTTTCTTAGTCGCTTAAAGTGGCCTAAGCTGAAAACTTCCAAGACAAAATTACGTGGTGAAGGGGTTTGGTAACTTGGTAACAGTAATCTATGGCGGGAAAATGCATTCGCCATGTTGAAAAAAATTGAATGATTATTTTGCAGTTTTTAGGAAGATTTTCAGTATTACTATTTTGTAAGGTTTAATGCAGAAATTTGATTTAAATGAGTGCGTCTGCTTCTGTCTTGCTTCTGAAACGATCAATTGTAAGGGTGTGTATCTCATAGAGATGACAGCTTTCCATCTTAGGTTCTTGGATTGCTGCCTGTGTAAACATAGGCTTGAAGCGCATGTGTAAACATTGGCTTGTAGGGCTTATAAGCTTAGACAACCAGGCCTGTCGTTAACATTAGCTGATGAGGCAAACTTTGCAAACAATGCAGACAACCTCTTGGAATAATTATGATAATTTATCCTAAAGGAAAGTAGGTCCTCCCATGATCATATTCATGTACAAACTGGTTTCAGAAAATCAGATTAGGCTGTGATTGGGCTAGGTTAATTTATTCTGACTTGGTAAGAGCTTCGCCGCATAATCTGTTTATTATTTATGGCGATTGATTTGTTTGATGGGCTTAGATTGGCTGTTTTATCTTATCTTGTACCAATTCCTTGACGTCATTTTTTCGCAGGGTACTCTTGCTAGGGCAGGTTCACCAAGCTGTCCTTAGGTCATTGTCTTTAAAGAAGAAACATTTCGAGCTGTTATCTCCCAGGGATGATTAACAGGGCAATTTCTTATTCCCATTCACCATTTCACGAATTTTAGAGATATCTCTTGTTTTTGTTTGTGATTTTAAAAAATGATAGTAAAAGCTGAGTTTCATTTTTATTTTCAGGATGACTAAATACCTTCGGAGAAGTCGGTTGCTGCAAACTTTTTTGCATTGATCGATACAACCAGTGCTGCTGTAAATTGAATACTCTGTTTCTGAATTGCAAACTGAAATAAATTTGATATATCTTGTTTAGCATTAATTAAAGCATGCTACTAACTTTTGATTTATCTAACATGCTTTGTTACTAACATGCTTTGAACTCTTTCGTTATTGATGTTGTATTTTCTGTTGAACAAATAGAATTGAGCGAGTTCAACGTAAATTGAGAATATAAACACAGACTTTAAAATAGGGCAATTGCTTTCTTCTGTTGGGGCTGTTCCAAAGAGCTGCATTAGCACCATTAGTTGCATTAGCATGTATGGGGCATTTGAAAATGTTTAGGATATTAGATTAAAGCTTTTTAGGGGTGCCAATGACATATAAATCATGTTGAGTAATGTTTTTCTTACATTTAAATTTATATCTAATAAAATTCTATACGATTTGAATTATTGTCGCTGCTGCCGATATTTATATAAAGTTATGAAATCATCATCATAATATCATATTTTGTTTATGATTGCTATTTTATTTGTTTTATGCTCCGTTATAATTCTTTTTAATGATTAAATTTTTTTGATATTTATTCTATTGTCGCGGGAATGAGGCCATTTTGTTATTCCAAAAAATGCATTTTAGTTGTTCAGGGGATAGGATACTCCAAAATATATAAAATATATAAAGTTTATTTGAATTTGGGGCTGCAGAAAATTAAGTACGGTGCGATAATAGGAAACCATCGAAATCGTCAAAACATTTCCCCCAACTTTAACCCTTTACTTTCCTTGACTATCCCTGTTCCGTTTCTTCTCGGTGCCCTGTGGCTCCTTCGCATCACAAGTACTATCTCAACCTATTATTATCCTTGCCCGTTGTGTTGTAAAAAGAAAACCCACGACAGTCTCCACCGAAAGCCACAGGAAAGATAGATTAAATTGGTGTATTTTAAAACCCCAGCTTTGATACTTTACTTTCCTTGACTATCCCTGTTCCGTTTCTCCTCGGTGCCCTGTGGCTCCTTCGCATCACAAGTACTATCTCGACCTATTATTATCCTTGCCCGTTGTGTTGTAAAAAGAAAACCCACGACAGTCTCCACCGAAAGCCACAGGAAAGATAGATTAAATTGGTGTATTTTAAAACCCCAGCTTTGATACTTTACTTTCCTTGACTATCCCTGTTCCGTTTCTCCTCGGTGCCCTGTGGCTCCTTCGCATCACAAGTACTATCTCGACCTATTATTATCCTTGCCCGTTGTGTTGTAAAAAGAAAACCCACGACAGTCTCCACCGAAAGCCACAGGAAAGATAGATTAAATTGGTGTATTTTAAAACCCCAGCTTTGATACTTTTGGGTTGCGGTTGCCACACCTGCAAGTGTTTGTTTCCAGAGTTTCATGATTCCGAATAATCTTAGAGTTTTTTCAATGTATTTAAAGTGAGATCGGTTTTTCAGTCCGAAATGACGCCATCGATCTTAGGCAAACATATCTATTAAGGGTTTTAGGGGTAAATATCTAGATTTTATCTATCATAGTAACATAGGTAAAAATGAAATCGATATGTAAGAATGTTTTTGATTGATAAGTTCTAATATAAATGTTTTTTTCAATATTTCCTCGATTGCTTTTCGGTTAATTTATACTGTTATTGCTGAGTAATCTATTGAAGAGTTGGTATTTGCCGAGCTTTGGAAAAATTTTCTTTGCTAGCAAATAAAGCTTTTTCTTATTACGTTGTCATCTTTTAGCCTATCGCTTTGTATTTTCATGGCATTTCTATGTGGTACACGTTTTTTGTCCCTTAGAGACCCTACTAATCGGAAGTAATACTGTAAATGCATCAAGTTACGGTATTAAGCTAATTTTATTTAAGTTCACCTTATTGGTTCTTAGTACCCATATTGGGGGGTATTAAGGACATCTTTTGCCTAAGAAAAGATAAAGCAAATTTTATTGATAAGACAGATTCAACAAAGTAATACTTTTATTTTTGATAGAGAGCATGAAGACACTCAAGGTTTTTGAGGCTGGAGAACATTTAAGCCCCTATATCGCTCCCACGTCTTTGCCTAGATCGGTAGCCTGAGATAGCCTCATTATTATTATGCGATATTGAAGGAAAAAGAGGCCATACATACATGTCGTTGTTTTCGATGGGGAAGATGGTGTGTCGAATTTAAGATTCACTCTGAACAATGAACAAAGACAAAGTAACAGATACGGACTTACCGGCCGGTGTGATGTTGTGACACCCCAATTATTTTTATGTCATTCGGTGAATTTTGGTGAATAGTCAGTGGTAATCAAATGAAGCTATAAAATTACTTTGTCTCTTTCTTTTAACTTGAAAGTTTAATGGAATTGTAAAATGGATGTTTCATCATTTTCTGGGCACCTGAAAGGGTATGGCACGAAAATCAAATAATTATCTTATACCCCCCCCCCCCCAATCCCTGTCTCTAGAAAACGTTCCTTAAGATAAGGAATGGTATAGGAAAGGGCGTTGTCATTTTCAAGATAAAATCAAAATTGGACGTTTATCAGTAAAAATTAGGGTGTGGCCTCATGAATTTATGCACTAGCCCCACTATAGCTACGGTCCCACCAACATCTAATATCTCGTTGCTACCATAAACATTTTCGCAGAACACATAATTTATCTATGCTGATTGAAAAGCCCAAAAACAATCAGATCTCTTGAAATCTCCCGAGGTCGATTTAAAATAATTACTCCCATCCCAGGGGCAATTAGGATAAGATCACTTCTTCAACGAAACCAAGACGCCTGTCCTTTGCTTTGCTATAAGCACGTAGCTTCTTCCTTGTTTAAACTTTTCGTCTCAGACATAGAAGCAGACTATTTATGGTATTGGTTTCGTTTGACACAGCATTATTCTAAAATGAATGCGGAAGTCGACACATTCAATTTCGTCTAGGAAGTTCTAAATAAAGTTACAGAAGAGGGATGAAATCATCAAAACACGTGCTTCCGTCATTTTTGTATTTTTAAAAATAGCACTGGAATTACCCAGGTGGTATCAAGCAGACTTAGGTGATGGAAAATCGTAAATTGCCTATTCCTTAATGACAATTTTCTCTTCCCGGCCCAAACTAATCTCTCTCAAATAATCAGTGGGGGCCTGGCAGGGCCCCCAGCTGACTTTTTTATAGGTGGGCCAAAGCTTGTATAGGGCGCCGAAAACTTGAAAAAAGTTTGATACGACCGACTTGTCTGCAGAGACAAAGAAGACGCCATGAAATTCAAAACTTTATTGGGGTGCACGCCACCATACCCCCTACAAAACATTTTTACTGTTCCCAGGGGCGAAAAAATTAATCCATTTTTTAGAGGATTGTCAGGAAACTAACAGTTAAATTCTTTGTGTGGAGCACACAGCACTTAAAGTGCACACAGACTGTGTTTAGGGTGTTGGGGGACAGTCTGTGTTTAGGGTGTCCGGACTCATGCCCCCTTCCAAGGAAAATTTTGATTTTCGAAGAGTCTCTTTGGCTCTGCTGGCCTTCAGAGACCTAATTAACAGACAATTTGGTTGTTTAATTGCTTCATTCTAGATTAGTCCATATATTATATCTCAAGTCACTTCCACGAACGTACAGTTTTAAGTGCACAAGATAACAAGAAATAACGCTAAAAAGTGCATTCAAAACTAAAAAATAATGAAACCAACTCTTATTAGGTTTTTTCATAAAGGATAAATTAAACAGATGACTTTTAACTCAAAACATTGACTTCATGTTTTTAACGCGTAGATACTTCAGGCTTCTTTTTTAAGAGGCATACATTGATTTTGACAAGAAAGTTGGGCCGGGCCTAATTTTCTTAACGGTTGCGTTTCTTTTGGCCTTTAATAATATTTCTTTAAAGTTCGATGTAATATTTACTTCATTTTGTATCAAATGACATGATGCGTTCAAAGATATGTTGGAAACGCATTTTCTAGCCTTAAGAGTAACTGGAATTCTCCACTTTTTGGCTAGGGCCGACCCTTTCCATTATTTGTTACCCCTACACTCCCCTAATTTCCCCCTTGACTGTTAGTTGAGTTGTATGCATGTGTTGAACTTGTTGAGCTGCCGCAAAGTACAAGTTTAGCAAAACGTATAAGGTAAATGTTTTATCTGGCGCTTTGGATTCCCCTCCAAGGTGCCAAATGAACACAACAGTTACAAAGAGTTTTGCATTAACAAAACTCTCATTCTACCACATCGTAGGTCTATTGAAAGTTCCCCAAACATGTTCTTGACACATTTTTATTTAGTTTATCTGCTTGGATTGGCTTCTAAGGGACAGTCAATTTTGTACATGAGTCGGCCCAACTTGTCCTGACACCCCTATGAAAAATTATTTCATCTGCGTCCCTGTGCTCATGTGGGGGTCAGTAGATTTTGTCTTTTTTCTTCATTTCTCATGGAAGGACCAATTTGTCTCGACGATACAACGATATGGTGGATTCTTTTCCCTATAACAAAGTAATGAAATCCATTTTAAGACTGTAATTCATTTAACGTTCTAAAGCATGCCTTAAAAATAGCAGAATTTTTAAACGATTTCAAGAAAATAACTGCAAGAAATATTTTGAAATGTATTTTAAGCTTATCTAAAGGGCGTGGTTGCAAAAATTGTCACCTCGCTACGCTCGCAAGAAAGCTTTTATTCAGAGTTATAACAAGGGCCTCCGACAACCTCTCGCCGACCCTTCCCAATGTTGGTCTTATAGTCAAATAAAGCTATTAACTCGCCCCCCCCCCCCACTTTGAGTTTCTTGGCACCGCCCTTAGACTGCCAATATTGTCAGGAAAAAGACAATAGTGTTAGTTATGGAGGGCGCCATTTTGATGTTGGCCCCCCTAGGCGAAAAGGGCCAGGCCGCCACTGCAAAGAATAAATTAAAATGAGCAGCTACGGGCCATATCGCCTATGAATTTAGCTATGTTTCTTGATTGGCTGCTTGTCCGTGCGATTATTTCATTTTGCAACTTTGAGCCTGTACTAAGATTTGAGGAAGGCTTATCTTGTATTTGCATTAACGATACACCGTGCCGCCGTAACTTGGCCGCAAAATACTTTCCATCTGTCTAGAAATTGTAAAAGTCAAGGATTTTTCAGAGTTGTGGGAAGAAGTTGCTATCCGAGTCGTTTTCGATGTTGCCTCTTACCTAGTCTGATTCTGACTGATATGCAGCTAATGTGTTTCAAAGATGCTAGGCCATCACGGATTTGAGCATGTCGGCAGGTAAATACAGACATCTTAACCTACACTGTACTGGCGTGCATAATATTGAGTATTCCTGTTCATATCGTTGTTGTACTGGCTTACAATAATTTTCTTTTCGCGCAAGTAATCATATTTATTTATTTTTTTTGTTCAAGAAATCTATTTTGGTTTCGCACGAGTTCCCATGACTTGGGCAAAGACACAAGTACTGACCCGATCAACATCTTCAGATTGCTGTTAATTTCTTCCATTCTTAACTAGAGAGTTAAGCCGGGATGTATTCTAGTGCAAACAACAGCAGTACGATATCTGAAGGGAATGAGTCTCCTCCACCCTCGAGAACTTCGTTTCAGACGCATCTTGATCCGAACTCGAAAACAGACAAGCCTTCGTTTTCTTCCCATGTTGACACACGCGAAAGGAAGGGCATCCTTCCACTTCTCTTCGAAAGGGCATCAAATAGGATATGGGATCCGTCATTTGACTCAAAAGTTTTGGAGAGCGAGTTTAGGCGATTTGTCGTTGTCGTTGATAGAATACGTTTCAAATCGGCTGCTCTCTATGTTGCAACTGCCGCTCTCATACTAACTATCTATTTCGGAGTTACCAGAGGGATCAGTGGCTCGGGAAAAAAATTGATGATAGGAAGTGGTGCGACTAGCCTGATATCATTTTGCTTCTTTCTCCTGACGAAATTCACAAATCTGTACCGAAAGCCAAGGGAAGCTATTTTCATATCGTTGGTGTTTGTCTTGTTGATCGTCACAGTAGAAGTGCTGTCATTCTACCAAATCACTGATAAGGAGTTAACATATGCATCTCGATTTACATTGGCTACGAGCATAATTCTACTTGTCTATACTTTAATACCTGCACTACCAATGTATGCTTGCTTGCTTATTGCCACATTCTACTCGGTGGCCCATGAAGTGAGTGCTGCAGTCAATGACAAGAAGACATTTGGGGACCTTACATCAACTGAAATTGTAACTAGAGTATTTCTCCACCTTGGCGTGCATCTGATTGGACTTGCCATGTTTTTCATGGCTCAAGTGAAAAAAAGAAGTACATTTTGGAGGGTTGGTCAAAGCATTGTTGCTAAAAGGGATCTGGAAATAGAGCAAAGGGCAAAAGACAGAATGATAAGATGGGTGATGCCGAAAGTGGTGGCCGATTGGCTAATTAAAGATGGCCTACAAAGGATCAAGATAAGAGGTGTGTCAGAGCCAAAGGTGCCATTCAGACCTTTTAATATGGACAGGGTCGAGAATGTCAGTATTCTGTTTGCAGATATTGTTGGGTTTACAAAGATGTCTTCAAACAAATCTGCAGAGACATTGGTGAACCTCCTAAATGATCTGTTTGGTCGTTTTGATGAACTAACTGATATTAATAATTGTGAAAAAGTGAGCACTTTAGGGGATTGTTATTATTGTGTGGCAGGTTGTCCTGAGAAAACAAGGTACCATGCCATATGTTGTGTTGAAATGGGCCTTGATATAGTTGAGCAAATAAAGAAGTTTAGAGAGGAGACAAAGGAAGATGTGGATATGAGAGTTGGCATTCACACTGGTAGTGTTTTGTGTGGTATTGTTGGAAACAGAAGAAGAAGATTTGATGTTTGGTCTAATGATGTAACAATTGCAAATCGTATGGAAGCATCAGGCAGGCCAGGCAAAGTTCACATATCAGAAAGCACCTTGAAGTTCCTTGAAAATCAATATGTTGTGGAAAAGGGTGAAGGAATTAGCATTAACAAAGATGGACAACTGTTACCCACATATTTTATCGTTTCAAGAAAGAATGGTGTTTCTGGAAACAAGCCTTGGCAAAGGGAAAAGGCCCATAGAGATTCAGATTCAAGTTTAAGGCAGGCAATAAAAAGTGGAATGAACCCAAATAGAGATGACCATGGAAAGAAAGTTAAGCATGAAAGCCAAATATGTGTTTCACCAAAAAATGATAAAGTAAGTCCAAATGAAGTTGCTTTTTATATTGATGATGGTGAAGATATGGAAGCATATCAGCAACAAATGCTTAGGCAAAAGTCCTACTCGGTTGCAGAAGATGATTCTATTGAGCTTAATTTTCTTGGAAAGTCTCAAGGAGGGGCACAGTCCCCACCATCTCCCCCTAAGCCTCAACTTCGAATTGCTCAGAATTTGGCAAAGACTCCATTACCATTTCAAAGACTGAATGCACAATTGAACTTCACCTTAAATGATGCTTTTATGAGAGATGCTTTGAGGGATTTGAATGACCAGCAACTTGTGAAGTTAATGCGAAGAAAACAGACACAGAAGGAGTATTTTACCAATCCACCTTTGACAGTAGTGAAGCAAAATTTCAAGATAGAGGCTTTAGAAGCAAAATATAGAAAAGAGTGCTTCAAAGACTTTAAGCTACATCCAAAAGTAACAACCTTTGCTTCACCAAAGATTCATTTCTTCTTTGATGTCATAACAGCTTCCCTGTTATTTCTAGTCAATCTGATTGTGTGCTATTTAATATTCTCACCTCCTCCAGCAACCTTAGTTATTTTGTCACCAATTGTTGGAGTAGTAATGCTAATTTTGTTGCTGGTAAGATGTGTGCGAGCATCTGCAATGGCAGCATGTTGTCCAAGCAAGAAGTGTGCAGAGCCTCTCTCAGATTTTGACAAAGAAAACAGCACATCAAGTCAGACAAGCCACAGTGAATTGCATCAAGGCAGACACAGCATTGGGCGCTTGAGCATTGATGGAACTATGAGCATTGATGCAAGTAAACGCAAAAGAACATTCAAAGAGGCATTTACAGAATTGACAACGTCACTCTGGTTTAAATCCCATGTTTTTGGTGCCTTCATGATGTGTCTTCCCATTTTTGTCACCTTTGCAACTTTGCATGATTGTCAAAAGAATGGCTGGACCAGAAAAGAGTTTGAGCTTTTCAGCAATCTGATAACAGTTGGACTCCTGTACTTCTGCAGCTTCACACAATTGTCATACATCATGAAATCTTCCTTAGCATTAGTTGTTTCTGTGGTTTTCTGCATACTCTTGAGACTAGTGTCAGGCTCAATCTGTATCAAAAAAAGTAGCGAAGCAGATCATACCAGTGCCAATGATATAATTGTATCAATTATGATACAGATGATTCTAGTGATTTGGATAAATCGCTTACATGAGGGCGGTGTTAGGGTTAACTACTTTGGTGACAGAGAAGCTGCAGAAAAGAAGAACAATGCATCTGATCAGAAAAGAGTTGCAGATTCACTTTTAGTGGACATGTTTCCTCGCCATGTGTCTGAGCAGCTAAGGTACAAAAGTCACTGTTCTAGGAACTATGATAATGTTGGTGTTCTTTTTGCAACAATTGTTAATTTTGGAGAGTTCTATGAAGAGAATTTCGCTGGTGGCATCGAGTGTATCAGAATACTGCATGAATTGGTTGCAGATTTTGACAAAGAGCTTGATAAGTTTGATGACCTGGAGAAGATCAAGACAGTGCATGGTACAACATTCATGGCAGCATCTGGCCTTTGTGTTCCCGACAATAACAACACCGGCAACTGTGAGCCTACACATCCACATCTTCACTTGAAAAACTTGATAGACTTTGCATTAGCCATTTTCAGGGTTCTGAACGAGTTTAACAGCAACATGCTTGGCTTCAACTTTTTTCTGAGGTGCGGATTCAATGCAGGACCTGTCACAGCTGGGGTTATTGGGACCACAAAGCCCCAGTATGATATATGGGGTGACACAGTCAACTTGGCAAGCAGAATGGATAGCACGGGTGTACCAGGCAGAATCCAGATGCCAGAAAAGTCAATGGAGATGCTGACTGATTTCTTCACATTTGAAGAACGTGGTTTTGTCTATGTTAAAGGAAAGAACAACATGAGGACACATCTACTTTGTGACAGAATACCAGGGACAGAAAGCAGCCAAGCTACACCAGATGTCCCCATTACTTAATCAGCCTAGGGTGAGTTTTTAGTTTCTCTAAATTTAATCACTTTATGATATATTGATTTCTTTGTATTTCAAAGAATACATTTTGGCAGCATACCAGATAAAAAACACACTTTTGTCTGTATTGAATAGAATCAGCAGTATTTTCCTCAGGAACATACCTCTGAAATCAGTTGTTTTTTGTACAGGACATTAATCCTGATTAAACAATAAGCTGTGGAATTTCACTGTATTTGACTCTACAATCAACAGCTCGATTTTTGCAGGGCAAGGGTGATTTCCTGCATGAAACCAAAATGCTTGGCAGACTCCTCTTTCACTTATTGTCAGCTTTGTCAAAACATTGAAACTAAGATCATTTTTATTTCTTTATTATAGTATTTATTGGATCTTGATAAAGCCCCTGAATAAATGCAAGATTTTCACATCTATGTTAAAATGAGCAGCTCCAAATGAAATTTATTTTGCCTAATATATAAATTCCGTAATATATATACAATGTCAGAGAAAAAATTTGTATGGGATATGATGAATTCAAGTTATGATATTTTGGAATTACTGATCTTCCAGACCAAGAGCCTCTCACCTTATGCAATCTTGAAAAGTAATTGTTTCAATTGGCATTCCTGATTTTAGGATGAGAAAAAATTTTCCATTGATCAAAGCTGGGGTAAAGATACACAACCATTACCACCACTTTTCTGCTTAACTGTTTGAACAGTTTAATCCATCATTTAACAAGAAATTTCAATAGGCCCCTCAAATATAATTTTTTGTTATAAGCCTCCCCTCTATCTTACCCCCCCCCCCTTCTTTGATTCTATACGCCAGAAGTGGCATGAAATAAAATTCAAATATTTAGGGGATAAATGTACATTTTATTTTTTAATATCTCCAATTCTAACTTCATATGCTAAAGTACTGATTTTTCTTGTCCAACTCTGATTTAAATCTTTCCAACAGTAGTCATGATGTTGAGTATGTAATAGAAATATGAACCAAACGTCGCTGATTCGTATTGACTTTTCTTAACTAGCCCCCTCTTTTGTTAGCCTCTCTTTTTAGCCCCCCTATTTTTGCAGAAGTTTCATAAGACCTATGTTTTCAGTTTTAAGAGTCTGATGAAAGTTATGAAAATTATCTTCCATGCAGTTATGAGCCATGAATTAGGGTTAAAAGTTGATGACGGCTCAATTTGTTTTAAATTTATCAGCTGCCACCTTGAGAGTTACTTTCGAGTACAAAACTTGACGTCATGAAAAGAGTATTTTGAAAATTTTAGACCTTTGACCATATAACGTGAAGATCCATAGGTGCGAAACCAGTTGTTTGAGCTTGTCTGCGATAAAGCAAGTGAAAAAGCTGAGTTTCCCATGTGGATTACTAGTATTTTGGCCTGGCTCAAAGTCTTGATAGCCAAGGTAAAATTGCGTTATTTTCATTTAGAAAGAGCCTGGTGCGTTGTTCGCATACCCCAGCCAATTTGTTTCACAGTTGCACATTTAGATGTATTTCACAATGCTTTTTCCGTTTATGCAATCAACATTCTAAAACTCTGGAACTATATTCTTGTGACGTCATTTTTCAACTCTTTTATTTGCACACACAAGGATATTTTTCATTTCACAATTTATACACTTTTGGAATTACCGTTTGTGAATGGAATGGAAAATGTTTCGTTGCATTTCATAACGCTCACGTTTTCAACATTTGGTCAGCCGACCAAAAAGCGAAACGATATCGAAGGACAAGTAGTTATATCGAGAGTATGTAAACTTGATCAGTTGGTTAAGGGGTCGAAAACTTGCCTGCGTGCTTTTATTATCATTTATTCCAAGGAAGCTCTCAATGATTTTTCTACTTTGCTGGCTAGTTTAATGTACATTTGCCTTTGATCATGTGCCGGTCTTCTGAAATATTTATGCCACGTGCCTGTATGGTTCTTCAGCTGCCGGGCTGTCAATCGACCCGAAATGGCAAGATTCACCCAGGTTTTCATTCAGTTCTGTAATAAAGCTATTGATCAGAACAGCGTGACCAATCTGCTAAAAGATAAGAAGACGAAAAGAAGAGAAAAACCATTGATAAAAAAGTTCGGAACCGGCTGGAGATGTGACTGGAGCTGGCAGGTGAAGTCTTTGTTGCGTAGAAGGATAGAGAGTATGTTGCAAACAAGATTGAAATATGTTCAGAGAAGCAAGAAAAGGGTCATGAGAGAAACTATTTTTCTGATAAAAGTGTCAAGATAGTGGATTATGTTCTCATTTTAAACGCTAAAGAAACAATTTGCATAGTGCCAGTATATTTTTGCTTTCGAGGAATTGTGCTTTCCACTCCTTGTTAACCCTATGGCCTATATAATCATTAATCTTCAATCGACGACGGCTGATGTCACGTTGTTTTCAATTGCTTGGTGCCACACCTCTACTTCTAATTTTTTCATGGCGGCTTGTGCTGGCCAGGCTGAAAAACATGCTTAAAACATCCAATTTATTTCTAGCCACTTTGTGAGCAATTTCTTATCGTGAGATTAGCCTACTTTTTTGATAAAATCCGTTATTTTTAGAAGTAATCTATGTCTGTTTCCCCTTGATTGGTCGTCTAATGTAGCAGTTAAATGCAATTTGTTGAGTGTGTAAGGATGTGTCACTAAACCCCTTAACTTTGACGCAGAAAATAATTCCTTTCGGTGGCATGAAAGCAGCTCTCGATTTTTCTGCAGTTTTCGATTTACTTAGCAATTTCTTTATCACAATGTTTTTTGTAAGGTAACCATTTGACGTCGAGTGATTGTCTGTTTTCATGAATCAGATTTTTTTAGAATCTAATGTGCGCATAATCAGCCAAAGAAACTTAGAAGACGAACAATCACATTTTATATGTTTCTGTTATTGATCTGTGTTTGGAGATCTTTTATCTGGTCATACCAGTTAGTCAAAATGCTCGATGTCATAAAGGCAGAGCTGTACACACTTTATGTGTATAGAAAAGAATGGCTCTAAGTTGCTACTCAGGGGCATCGTGGCCGGGGGGCAGGAGTGCCGTGGCCCCCTCTGATTTCAAAATTGACGGATTTTCGGAAAAATCATTGTTGTGTTGGAAAAATTTTAAAATTTAAGCTGTGGATAAAACCGAGAAGTGAAACGAAATTCTTAGCGACGTAAATTACCCGAACGAAAGTTCTTTCCATATTATCGAGGTGCAATTCACTTTTAAGAAAGGATTTACCGATTTTTACTATAGAGTGATTTGTACCCTGGGTACCAGAGCCTCATGAATCCGGAAATACATTATTGTAGACGGCTAATTCTTGCTCAAAAAATTTTCTGTGACTTGTTTCTAGCTTTGTTTCTGAGACTAAAGAATGGAGACTCTAGCACCCAGGGTAAGTGATTTGCTGCTCGGATTTTATCAGTTAAAATCCGAAAACTGAATGGTCTTTATATGATATTGCAGACCGGAACAGTGAGTGCCAATTTTGTGCCTATCACTAGATTTGAAAGTTTTGTCCCAGACTTGAAAATGTTTGCATTTATGTTGCTTAAGGTAAAACATTCGAAACGAGAACAAGAAAAATCGATTAATACCATTGCTTTCGACCAATGAATATTTATTTTAAAATAGGATTTTATTATTAAAATTTGCTCAAAAGAATGCAATTTTTGGCGAACTTGAAACATTAAGATTATAAAAAAATTTCCTTCCTACGGCAATCATGGTGCCGCCTCAGGTAGTAACACCCTTGCCCTAATCTATAGATCTATAGGGCTGCGAGGTGCCTCGGACGTTCACAATATGTATGAAGAAATACAGGGACGAAAACAAGTTGCTAATTTTGGGGGGGCGTGGAAGTATGAAAATTCCAACTTCAAGTGATAAATTTTTCATTCGACCAGTATATCTGTTGTACCTACCAAATTGATATTTGTAAATAGCCCGAGCACCATAGTTCTATTTTCTTTATAATTACCAAATCTTTACTCAATAATTAGCCTAAAGCATAAAAGCCTAAATCTCTAAATTTTGATTAACATGAAACAAACATTAAACATACTGTAAGAAGTAAAGCAACATTTAAGCAAAACCAGTATTAGATATACTTAATAATTAGTAGTATTCTTTCAGATCAATTAATCAATTTTATCTAAAATACATTTTTTCACGATATAGAAGCACCAAGAATTTGGGCCTTTTATTTTCGTTCTTGATCGAAGAAAACTACCTTTAAACTTTTCAGAGGGCCAAATGCCTTTTCATTCTTTACAATTGAAATGATGATTTGAGAACAAACTTATGCATATGCCTGATTCGAAAGATGAAATACTCTTCTTTGATCAAATACTTCTACTGCAGTTTTTGCAATGTGTTCTTGCTCCACAGCAGTTTTGTCATAGGAATTTATGATAAGGACTCAAGGACATTAACAAATAACAGGGGGAGTTTAGCATAAACTCGTTTTTTATAAGAAGCGTTGAGAATTTTTAGTACTGAAAGATTCTTAATCTTTTATTGAATTAACTACTCGTAGTCTCTAAAAAAATTCCCACTCTAATATTTTCTGATCAATGCGGGTATTATTATTCCAAACTGTAAGTTTCAAGTTTCTTATCCGTAAGTTCACCTTGCCTGTTCGTAATTTGATTCAACTCCCGTCAGAAAGAAAGAAAAAGAAAACGGGGAAAGTGTGCAATTTGGATCCAGTGGAGACGGGATTCACAATAGAAAACGATTAGTGGATGGGTCAGCTTCAGCCTGTGAATTTTAATGTTTAGAATTTTTATATTTAAAATAAAAAAACTTCTTAAAATATAAAATTCACAAGTTTGGTCTTAAGAAAAAAATTCCAAGTCAACCGTTACGTTTTCCAACTGTAACTGGATTTTCCAAACTTTGGGGGGGCGTTACGCCCCCCACGCCCCCCTATTATTTACGTGCCTGAAGAAATAGAGACAAGATAAAAAGTGCATTTTAAATATCTTTCCAGCTAAGCAAGACCGTTTTTTATTCTCTCCCCCCCCCCCCCTTTACACTAACATGAAATGCTTCCATTTAATTAAAATAAATCAAAGAAATTTTGTCGTAAAATTTTTCTTTCTGGCCCCCTCTAGAGTTCATTCGCCACGACGCCCCTGTATGCTACTCCGAGTTTCACGCTTATTGTGGTCATAAATAAAACTGTTTTCTGATGATATGTATCGAGTTAATAGTTATTGCCGCTCATGCTTCTATCTTCACTACCTGTGACAGGCACCATCCTTCTCTAGAGATTGGGTTTTCAGACGGCTATGTTGCTGGAAACTTTCAGGCAATCAGAAGCCAAGAGGGTCTTCTCAAAGGTTCCCTTCATGGCTCAATTTCGGTAACCTTTTCGCAGAATGGTTTTTGTGTTGCGTTTTGTGGAAATGCTACCATAGCACACTAAAAAATTTGATCTGGATTAGAATCTGACTTTGTACATTCCACAGTATTTTGTTGGGCACGTCTTTCGCGGTGCTTTTTCCGCAGATCCTAAACAAATAACGATACAGACATTCAGTCCTAGACGACAGGCGAATTCTCTTACATGAGGCGTGACATTTCTTGACACTTACATTAGGGTTCTGATGGTTATGGTCTTGTCTGGCTCGAAATAATACTTTTCCCAACAATCAAAGCAATGATTTTTATCTAAATTCGACTTTTCAACGCAAGGTTGTATCATTTCTAGTAACAGACAATTTTCTGCTAAAAACCAAAGGGACCAGTCTATGCCTAGTACCTATTTCTTACTTTTTTACTCGTCAAGGTGTTGTATTATTTCTTTTTAGTTTTTGTTTATCATTTTCTCTAATTTTTAGCAAAGTTATAAACCAACACCACTAAGCAAAGTTATAAAAAAACCAGAGAATTTAAGTGATGACGTCATAGCAATATATGTTTACAATGTTTGTATTTGTATTTAGATCAAAAAGCCAAAAAGAAAATCATGAAATACCTGTAAATGTGCAAATAAGCTTAATGTATTAAAAACAAATAATAGTGTATGCAACTAAGAATGCAACTGTAATCATTGCATCTTGTTTCTTTGCAGATTCTTCTTGGCCAGTTCTTTTTAAAACGAAGCCACTTAATTTAAGATAGCTGCTTCACATTCTGGTGAACTGTAAGTGGTGAAAACCGTTGATCGTAAATATTACTGTTTTCTTTGTCTCCGGTGACGTGCAATCATGCTGCATACTTCCCGAGGGATCCTGCGAGTTATCCTGAGATTTCCCGAGAGTTCTTCCGAGATTCTCCTGGTCAGCAGTTGCCGCGGACAATAGTGATTTTCCTCTGTTGTGCTCCTGCTCATCGACAGCAATCGTGCGCATCTATACATTGTTTAATTGTATGATGGTGAGGACATTTAACTAACATTTAACTAAGCTGTAGAGGGTTTTTAAATTACATTAGAAGTAGTTAAGCATTCATTTTAGAGTATATATTAGATTAGAATAAGGGATTGCTAAAGCTGTAAAAAAGTAATGCATTGCGTAAATCTGAAGGCTTTAGAGAAGAAAAATATAGTTAGCTTTTTTCAATTATCGTGGCAGTCGAAAGCATTTTCAAAACTAAGATAGTGGCCATCCAAAAAAGGGTACTTCGTGCATAAATGCATTTTAAAATGTTGTCCATGCTGCTCGAACTTTTCTCGAACGCCACTGTTAACGATGTCGGTGTGCAGTCATCAGGGTGGGTATCACAAGCATTCACCCCAAACCAGGTACACACCCTGCCACTGATCCTAAATATCACTTCAAATCAGTTTGGGGGCCAATTTTCGTAAGCATACGTGGTTCTCAAAGTCTTTTCTATTCTCATCCCGGCCAACTTCTTTGCCAAGGGTATCAATATTGCATTATTTTCGTATTTTTTTTTATTTTCATCTTTTAGAAATAACGTCATATTTGTTTTATGTATCAATTTGAGAAACCGTGTAACTAGAAATGAACTTAAACTTCATTAACTGTAGTATGGATAATATAAGAAGATTCCTACAGTTTGCTAGTTATAAATCGATCTTTTTGAATTAGCTTATTAATAGATTTAACATTATTTATTATTGCTCCTAAATACTTCGGATAATCTTAAATAATACGTCAGATACGTTTTAAGTTCTTTTGAGGCTGCTAGCAAGCGGTCTCCTCTGGCATTAACCTTTTGTGATGAACATTGACAGACTACTTATAAACAAGACCCAATCTTGAATTAGTCTCCTTTTCACTAACCCCCTCCTCTGTCTGTCTTTGCGCAACTAAATGTTGGTCTTTCGTGGAACGCCTTGTTGTAGCTGGAGAGTTGTCCAAAGCGATTCAGCTTTTTGCCATCGAGAAAAACATTTTACTCTCAAGTTGCATCCGTTATTGAAAAAAGATAACCCACGAGCTACCTTTCAAAGTAAGAAATTTCTGTGTAAAAACAAGAGCTGGTCATCATACCGTTGGACATTCTAAGAGAATCGTTGCATGTATTTTAGGAGCTAGACAATAGGCATTAAGACTCAATTTTTTTGGCCAATGGATTGTGTAAAGGATCTTTGCTGTCAAGCCCTTGAAATTATATGTTATATTCTTTGTAGAGTTTGACTCTTCAGCCAGTGTGTGTTATCGACCACTTGCATAGACCGAAGACCCCGAAGCAAATCCTTAGGCATGTCAGACCATGAATGACTTTTCTGGCTGTCCTTTTTCTTTTTCAAGATCTGTCAAAAATATGGCCTTAAAAACAGTTATGCTACGAAACGTTGCTAGAAATCTTTTTTAAGAAATACCGAAGGGGGAAGGTAATGAAAATTCAGGGGCTTTTACGGATGGCTGCGCGTTTTCCTTTGGTCGGAATATACGTCATAGTACCAATTTGAAGTACAGTAAAGCCCGCATACAAAAACCCACATTTTCTGTTGTGCCTGAAAAGATTATTATTATTCATAGAGTGTCTTTCAGTTACTTGGTGTTTGCGCTCTTGTAAAATGGCATTTTATCATGATTTTACACCCTCAAACCGTTATATCTTCCTCAAATTGAAGTTAAGGATGGCAGGGTGCTTATTTAGGGCCTGTTTACATGAAGTGGGCTGGTTAACTCAAGTGGGATCCGTGCTTTCTATACATTCCTTTGTTCTCTGTATTTGCGTTCACATGGAGAGTGGGCCAGCCCGCTCAGGTGAGATCCGCAAGAAGGACAGGTGGGATCAGCATCAGGTGGGATGGAAATTATCCATTGTAAACGCAATCAGTTGGGCTAGGCCACTCACTGAAAGTCAATGCGCCTGCGTAGAGAAAGTTGGCGCCAAACTAAGCCAAATCATATTGTCGTATGAATCGGCAGCAAGAGTTCAGGCTCTTCTGCTAAAACCGTAGTAAAAGCGTACAGAAACCTAGAGAATTCAAACGTTTCCTCAATTGAAATGACACTAACGAACATGTTGATCGTCTAACTGAAGTACGAACCTGAGCATAACGTATAATTTAACGGTCAGAAAAGGAATCCAATCGTTATTCGCCATAAACTGATATTCAACACTGTGGCGTCATGAACTAATAAAAACCTCCTTTACAATATTCAAATAAGAGGCCATCCCACCTAAGTAGGTTAAATCGTGTCCTCATATAGACATATAGCCCACTTCATATAAACAGGCCCTTATGTATGTGGGTTTTCAATGATATGATGTTAATATTTATAAAATAGCAATGAAATATCGGGTTAAATAGAAGAGTGATGAATAAACAATTGGGTCTGTAGGGAAGGGGCCAGGTCTGAGAATGACACGCCTTTCAAAAAGCAGTTAGAGGGAATTGTCTTCTGGTTCTTGATTTAATGAGCCCAAGAGCAAAACAAAACAATGTGATGTCTCTTAAATTATTGAAAAACCACTCTTCTTGTCAGGTAAAATTATTACAGATTTTCAGTTCAAGGGTAAATTTGGAAAGACGTACACGAATGCAATTTTTTGTCCACTTATACCTGCCCCTGATTTACCAACCCAAAGCTAATTTGCCAATCCAGCAACCATTTCACGTGCTAAATAGCAAAAACTCGGGTAATGGCATAGTGGGTCCCACGAGATATTCCCCCTAAATGCAATTTCAATGATTTGCTCTTGGACCTAAGTATTGTAGTTTCTTCCTTTTTAGTCGAATGAATAAAAAATAACGCATACATTTAACTACTAAACTTAATTCGAGTGAAATCACAAATTCGTACGCTCTTCGCTAACATCTCAGTTACTGACCGAATGTGAAAGTAAAGCGGGTTGATTCTGGTAGAATAGCAGTCACATGATATTTTCTTCATTAGGTGTTCTTCTAATCCTCGTCTTGTATTATAATTTTTAAAGAAATAAAGTAAACTCTTCGAATGGCTACAAGCTAGTAAAAGGACTCGTTATGTCGTATGAATCACATAACGACTCAACTTCAGTCCGAACCTCACCCAATTGATTTGGGCCATGGGACTTGTGGGCCTAGTGGTGAATGAGGCTTGCGCCGATTGATGAAGATTTTCGATGCGCTAAAAAAGTTATTTGTACAATTAAGTTCAACTCCTTTTTTAGAAAACGTTAATGCTATATTACGCCGGCTATGGACATAACATCGTCAACCTTCAACGTGCACGGCCGATGAGAGCTTTTCTGAGGCCTGAGGCAATAAGAAAGATAAGGCTTGTGCATGATTACGTTATTAAAACTGTGAATTTCATTGTTTTTTACCTCCATTAATCGGCTAGGCTACTTTTCCTTGTAGTAGTTGCTGGGTGTCAAGTTTAGCTTCTTTCTCAGAGATCATGGAATAATGTTATGTTACTTGGAACCCAAAACTTGGTCAAATTTGAGTTCAGATCGTAGAAAATGATTGGATAATATAATACTCTATCTTTTTATTTGAAGAGGGGAGGGGGGGGGGGGTGGAAGAAAATATTGGTGGTCTGTTACTTCCAAGTTACAGCATTGATGTGTTGGAAAATTATTGGTGTGTATTCATCACCATCATCAGCATCGTACTTGCGTGTCAATACGTTACGCTTAACTGCTAGTTTTAGTGAACGAGCCCTCTATAGAAACAAGTAAAACATATTTTTGAGAATAAATAAATAATGTATCCAGATGTTTAAAAATGAGACCATATTGATAAAGGCTTGCAGGATAACCTCCTTGACTCGCTGATGCATTTGAAGTCATTCCTTGTCCTTGACGATTCCATCAAAGAGGAGAAGGTGCCGAATTCTGCAAATGTTTAGATTTTTATGCCTCAGGCAATGACGGTTTTAGGGAGCGTGGCCCCAGGCCCCGCGCTTTTCGTAGCCAAAAAGGGCTCCACATCTAAGACAAAAATTAAAAACTTAAAAGAACCAGGATCCCGCAAATTTTTTTGGCTCCCGGTGCCGCAGTCCCTAAACCGCTGCTGGCCTCAGGAATCCAAAACTATTACTTTCACCTGAACTATCTACCCAATAGTGAAGCCTCAGGGACTGCTTTAGAGCGACGTGGCCTAGCAACCAGAGCGAGGCCGAAACGAGCCAAAGTGAGGCATTGGCAAAAGAGCTACTGCCTTTCATTAAAGATTGGCGGCCATTGGAGTTCCTTGGAGAAAGAAGACGCAGGAAAAATCCAAGTAATCTCCGGCATCGTCGGGAATATAAGACCATGACAGGCATCAAGCTTCTTTTTAGTGTATTTTACATCAGTTTAGCATGGAAGTTTTCAACGGGTAGTACCATCAACGATAAAATCGTCATCTCAAAAGCTGAGAGAGCTATAGACATATCATCTCAAATTGCCAAAGTGAGTGCTGAGCTGACGTTAGAAAACACTGGTTCAGAAGCTTGCAGATCCTTCCTAGTTGCTGTCAGTTCAAAACAAGCTGACCACGTAGCGTATTTCAGTGCAACGGTAAGCTAAAGTGTTTTAAGTTTTAGAATAATAGTTGTTATTTTATGTTGTTGTTATTACTTGATCAAGCCTTTAACACTTTACGAAACCGTACAAAATTTTATGTGATTATGGAACGAAATAATGAAAAGCCTTTTGCAAGCCTAACTTGTTTTGAATACGGAACTGTTTGTACAATAGTATAGCTGATTTTCCTATGGCAGGATCAGCCATCTTTGAGCCTTTTTAGTTTTCGGTATAATCTTAGCTCGAATTATAGCAAGGGTTTTATGATGATTTAACACGTTCCACTTCTGAAAGATTTTATTCCAAATGGGAAATGTTGTCAGTCATCAGAAATGCAACACACTCTGCAGCTTGTTTGTTTCATGTTAGGAAAAAATTGGGTTGAATTAGTTGATGATATATCGTTGACATTAGTTGACTATATATAGTTGACAATTGTGCCTGCCATGTCTAAGTTTATTGTTTAATAAAAAGTTCTAGACTGGAGTTATTGTTTTAAAAATGTCATTTCTATATCATGTTCTTGTTAATAAAATGCTACTAGTGCTATGACTCACCCCTGCTACAATAAAAGAAAACTATTCCTGACAGTTTCTGGTAACAAACGCTTGTCAAAATTCTTCAAATTATTGATGGCAGCAAGGGGTTGTCAAAGTACTGCAAATTCTTCAAAAATAGCATCAGAAGTTCCTTCTGAAATGACTACCCAATTTTTGAAGTACATAGTGTACCTATTATATACATGAAAAATATGTCAGATCAGGTTAAGTTTGGGGCATCCCAGGGGATGTAAAACTGCATGAAAGATAAACACAACTCAAAGGTGAAAGTTTTTAAGAAGAAAAAAATTACTAATATGTATTGGCAAGTTTTGAAGTTATTTTGGTTGCAATAACTAAAGTTGTAGTAACATAACCTTTGTGGTATTGATTTTTTGACCATATGCACTCAAAAGTCCCTTTCATCTTGCATTGAACCCATCCTCAAACTGCCCCTAAATCATATAAAAGAAAAAGTGTCTGATCATAGTATATTTTATGGAAGGTTTTTATCAATTAAAAAGTGTCATTGTCTTACCAGCATCACACATGTCAAGATTTTTTATCCTAGGCATCTAATTTCAATTTTTTGCATTTCGGCTGCATGAGTAGAAGGAATAAGATGATATACCTTTACTTGTACTAAATCAGTTACATCTGCTACATTCTTGTGACATCACCACTATGCCACCCTATTGTTTCATTTACGGCACTTAATTTCCGAGTTGGAAGTGCTGGTACAAATCTTTAGCTGTGATCATTTTAAGTTGATTAATACATGTTGAATTTTATTCTTTATAAGATGTGAAAACATTCCTATTATGTAGTTGAAAGGCAAGAATGAAGAAGATGATGAGAAATTGAAGTTCAAGGAAACAACAGTTCCAACAAACAAGTGCGTTTAGCATACATATCAGGCATATATTTGTATATTTTAGCTTTTGATGTATAGAGTAAGTCAGTTCTGTGTTGCTAAGCAATTGTTGTATGTGCTGAGCTGCCTATGTTGTATGATCTGGTATCACCCACTTCATGACAGACCAGTAAGCAGTAATTTTCATTATTCACCAAAATGTTAATTTCTTTCAATTTCTGTTTCGATATTTGCACCAAGGTTCAGCAATGCATCTCCCGCTCAGAGGAAAATTTGAATTATGAATTTTTTTAAATTAAATTTGATGCAAAATTTGTCAAATCTTTAGTAAATGTTATATTATTTCTTTCCTTAGAAATGATCTCTTCTTTGAAGTTGAATTGTCATCAGCACTGGCCCCTGGAAAATCTGCGACTGTCAATATTGAGAAGGTCTATACCCATATGTTGACCCCATACCCAGCATCAATTGGTCAGTCAGACAAGCAACTGGTTATCTTCAACGGAAATCACTATATTTACTCTCCATACACTATCAAGACCCAGACAACTACAGTGAAACTCTCATCATCATCTATTGAGAGTCACAGCAAACTGAAGCCAACAAGTGTCAGCGAAAGTATTGTCACATATGGTCCATACAATGATGTCAAGCCTCTGAGTGTTGATAGCATGAAGATTCATTATGAAAACAACTCTCCTTTTGTTTCAGTAAGCTTTATTGTCAATTTATTTATTTTTTTAACAAAAGTTCTCACAGTTGCCTGAAGCACTTCCATTATTATCGTAATCATTATCATCATCATAAAACAATAAAAAAGAGGGACATGTGCTGTTCTTAGAGTGGAAGTGTATGGGTAGGTGGAGCTTTTATACTGGTGAGGCTTGGGTACAGGCGGGTGGTTGGGTACAAGTGGGTAGCTGGGTACAGGTATTTAAGCACAATATTTAGACACATTAAAATGTAGTGGTGTCAAGAAAGTTTTCATTGCACCAAAACTTTAACTACAAGGTATACAAGTTTAAAGCAAACAAGAAATTACAGTATAATTTCAAATTTATGATTTTAAAGCAATTTTTCTTCTATTTTGAGACCTTTTGCAACTTTTTGTGGTGCATAGCTTACCTATCCTATGAGGAGTGCTGTGTTTTTTAATTCGAATTGCTTACAATTTCAGGTTGTTGAAATGACAAGATTAATTGAAGTTTCCCATTGGGGAAACGTTGCAGTGGAGGAGTCTTTCACTATCAAGCATGTTGGTGCACTCCTCAAGGTTAAAAGCTATTTTCATTTTGTTTTAGCATTCTTGCTAAGAACTGCTTTTTTGTTACAATTTTGCAAATGCTTGTTTTTGTTTGTGTTATTTCAGCAAAAAGATGAATTTGTATTGGATATTTTTATTCTGGCCGTACAAGCTATCCTGAGTTAATGACATAGCACTTACTATTACCGGAAATTGTTGACTTGTTTTAGCTACAAGCAGGTCTACAGGGTGCCTCTTGGTGCACAAAACCTGATCTTGCAGACCAACTGAAGTCTTTTCAAAGGTGCAATGTCCCCATGAATTCAGTGGTCACTTGAATTCCCATTGGTTGCACCATACAATAGGCTATTATTGATTCTCCAGTCAGCAACTCTACACTAATTTTCATGATTTCTAAATTGTAATTACATCGCTCCACCTGTTGTTAACAAGAACAGTTGACTAACAGGATCAAGTGCCTTTAATTTGGACGGGTGCAAACCGCAGTAGCTAAATTGCTGTATGTGAATCTATATAAGATTGGAAGCATTTTAAACGAATTTCTGTAATCAATTATCTGCATAATATTAGCATTAATGTTAAACAATATGTAGTATTACTTTATATCATTTCTGTAGGGTACATTTTCAAGATATGACTACCAAAGAACACAAACTCATGCTGCAGTGAAGTCTCTCAAAGTTGCCTTGCCAGCTGCTGCAAAGGATGTCTATTACCGTGATGTTATTGGCAATATTTCAACAAGCAACATGTTAGTGCAAGAAGAGGCAGTTGAACTTGAACTCAGGCCCAGGTTTCCATTGTTTGGTGGATGGAAGACACAGTATTACATTGGATACAATGTGCCAGCCTATGAGTACCTGTTTAACAGAGGTAGGAACAAACTTGTTGCTTGTTTCCTGCTTGAGAATCATCTGTATTTGCATGCCATGCCAGGACAGCTTTCATGAAAATGGTAGATTTTATACCTGGTAACTTGTTCCGTTAAATTTCTTTAGAAGGGGACATTTTTTAGAAACAAGTTTGTTAACCAGCTGAGCAATCTGCACATATATTTTTAACACAGCTGAATGTAATTTGTGACAACAAGTCTAGGAATTACCCATTTTTAAGCACCAACTATCTACAAATAATTTACTTGAAATAGTTTACAATATTCTTAAAGGATAGTTTCTGTTTCACTTAGTTAATGAAATGCCTTTGACAATTAAGGTGACAACTATGGACTCAAAATGAGGTTGATCGATCACGTTTTTGATGACTTTGTTATTGAGAAGCTAACTGTCAAGGTTGTGCTCCCTGAGGGTGTCAAGTAAGTTTTATTTTCTCTTTTTATGTCTACATTTAAGAGCTTCAAATGCTATTGCTTTGAATTTCCCCCTTTTTGGACATTGGACCCTCCCCCCCCCCAAGCCATATGTGTGTATACATCTAGCCATACATGTTTCTTTGGATTGTTGTTAAGTTAACTTTTCCAAAACTCTGTTGTAATTATTTGTTTTGGCAGAAAGTGCATATCTCTATTGTGCTCCTGTATTTCAAAGTTCAGCCAATTCTATGTTCTCACATTCTCTGGTTTCAGAGTCCTATTCGTTCAGCCTTGAATCTTGATAAATCCCACTTCTACAATGTATATACCCCCTCCCTTTTAAGCTTCCCGTCTAGACCTTTTGGGGGCTTATTGAGTTTTTCAATTAACCTCCATTTTTGCACCGATATCTCGCTGTTGTGATTGCAAATTAACAAGAATTTTTTTTCTATTGGCATATTTAATCCAAGCAGAAATAAAAAGGACCTTGCAGATTTTTCTTGAACGTTTCTTTTAAAATAATGTTTTATTAGATATGTTTGTTTTATGGATTTCAACCAATACAATTTATTTACTTGTTTACTAAAGGGACATCAAAGTTAAAACTCCTTTCAAAGTATCAGAAGAAAAAAGAGAAGTTCACCACACCTACTTGGACACTGCTGGCCGACCAGTTGTTGTTTTGAAAAAGGAAAATGTCGTTGATAATCATATACAAGATATGGAGGTCTGTAAAACTTGTTGCTTGCATGCTTGCATTTCCCCATGGCTATTTTGCTATATGTTTTATCTCCAGCATATTATGGCAGCTCTTGCCCCAAGTGACAACCTCCAAACATTGGCCGTTGAAACCTTTAAACAACAACTCCCATATGCTATGTGGTTTCAGCCTAATTCCAATACGGAATTCGTTATGAGTACCTTAAAGTTCGTCTATGAATTAAAGTACCTTTCGTGATTTGATTAGAAGAAAATTTTCTTCTAAACAGAACGTACCATTCTTGGTTCGTTTGGATCACAAATTACTAATGGAGTTGCTCCTTCAAGATGAAATTGCAGCCCTAAGTTCTAATTACCTATTTAATTGTCTGCATTTGTCTCTTCTATTTTTGCAGGCCTTGTATTTTTATTGGCAAATTATTTTTTAATTGTACATTCTCGGTTGTTGTGAAAATGGAAGCCTAAGCGTGGATTTTTGTATCAACAGGAGCCTAGACCAGGGGCCTAGACAATTTGTTTTGTTTGACGCGTGTTTGATTTTGTATGAAATATTGTGCATGTTGGATTTTTAGATTCATTACAAGTTCAAGAAAGTGCTGTTGCTTCAAGAGCCGTTGCTCGTTGTTGGTGCTTTCTATCTTCTGTTCTTGCTAGTCATCATCATCGTGCGCATGGACTTCTCAATCACCAAGGTAGATCCTTTTTAAATTTCATTATTTGTGGATGTGGAGCGATGTATATTTCAATTTCATTGTTACTGTTGTTGACAAAATATGAACCATATGATCTCTTAATGCTTTCGTGACATCACTGACATCACCGAATAAAAAATAATTGTAAATCGTGTGGTGAAGTCTTAAGAACAACAGCAACTTGGGTTTGTAAATTTTCCGTGTGACAGCATTTTGTAAATTTTGATTTTACCATGAAGAAGTGAGACAGCAGCTTCTAGTCAGCCAACTTACCACAGACACCAACTATAAACAAACTTTAAAATTTTATGTGAAACAACGATGTGGTATGCAGGGAGTTGCCCCGTTAGTTTTGTTGGTCGTGAAAACAAAAAAAATTTCTAATTAGAGGAATATATCATTTAGTAGTGTATCTTCGTTTCTCTTTGAAGGTTATTTTATTTTGGTAATGTGTAATAACGAATATTGTTTCTCTGTTTTCCTCAGGATGCCTCAAAGGAGTCGAAAATGAAAGCAGCAGGCCTCCTTGAGGAGTTGTCATTGTTGCTCAAAAAAAGGAGCAATATCTCATCCTTGTATGACTCCGAGTGTGACAAATTCAAATCCTCTCGAGATGCGCCTGCCTTCAACAACGCTTTGAAGAAACTCAATGGCGACTATAATGCAGCCAATACCAAAGTGTTGGCACATCAGGAAGCTCTCGTGAAAGAGGATCCAGAAATTGCTGATAAGGTTTGTCTTAATCGGCATTATTTTGAGCATTATATGACCGTAGGCCCCATTCACACTTCTTCGCTATCGTATGATAGAGCCGTCAAAATATGCCTGCTTTGACCTAACGCTCACAAGTTCAGACATGTAAAGAGATACATTTCTCAAGCGGAGCAGGATGAAAACCTTAATACTCTATGTGAACACCCAAAATAGATTATTTTTTAAACATTTGACAGTAGCTTGTTTTGTTGCACTGTTTAAAGGAAGCCACGAGGAAACAGTCATCGTTTCCGCAGCTTTTTTATTTTATTACGTATCTATTTGAACAGGAAGAATTTTTAAACTGTTGAAAGTGAATCGGAGGAAACAAATCCGGAGTTTGATCAGCGTAGCCTAAGTATTTTAGATGTACTGCACAAAGTATTGGGGTATCTCACCATGCGTAGTGTCCACCAAAAAAGGACTACACAGGGGCTTAGGCTCATGTTTGAAAATGGGAGGGGGGCTAAACCAAAGATTCCAAAAAAAGACTTTGCTAAAAAGCTGTTTTGTTTTGCTTGGCATCCCTTCCCCTGCCCCCTCATATTACAGTCTGTCGGTTATTTGCATGGTTTTTCACTGTCCATTGATAAGTAATAGCTATCTTTGCGAACTTTCCAAACTTTATTTGGCCCGGTTCGAGTGCAAATCAAATAGCTTCAAGTAATAAACATACAAAACACGACATAGTCTTCCAACGCAAACCTTTAAAAACAAATACTCTTTACAACTCCTCAACGTGATTCGAACAGTCCCTCTTTCTAACTAAAAGTCCTCTTCCCGGGGGTAAGTCAGTTCTTGTAATAATGGTTAGAAGGGGGTCTTCGGAGAGGTCCTCACATATAAGCTTAGTAGTCTGAAAATGGTTGCCAATGGTAGTTGGATGCCAAATTGTCTGTGCCACACACCACTCTTTGATTTTGATAGATTTGATTGGTTGTAGTTATTTTAATATTTGGTATAAACTTGCTTTTGTTGTTGCGGTTTCAGCTTCAGGAATTGCAGAAGAAGGAGACAGATCTTAAACAGCTGATCGACCAGTCAGTGGCGCTTGCCCAAAAGGTCGTCAGCAACAAGATTGGCAAGCAGCAATACATAGACAGCAACCAGAACAACCAAGCCAAGCGCGATCGCATCTCCGAGGAAATTGAAGCTATCATCGATTCACTGTAACTCCTAACCACAGTAATGTTAACGACACAAGAAAGATGATAATTCGTAGGGAAGATTTCAAATGAACTTTTTCTGACAGATAGAAATACAATTTTGCATCTGATTTAAACTTAGAAACATTTTATTCTATTGTGCTCTCTCCGTCTTTCTGCTCTCTACTCTGTTCGACTCTCCCAAGTTTATTAGAGTTTGCCCTATCCTACTAATCTTCAGCATCCCATACCATATTGGTAGGCATCGCGACACATACCTGCTTGTCATCGATCCACCCGATTATCTTAACAAACGGTTTCCAGCTGGAGGGGATATTGAGAGATGTAGCAACTAATGAAGGCTTTTATTTGGCGTAGTTTCTATTCATTGACGTCATTCGGGCCTTTATGCGGATCATTCCAGCATATATCTTTATCAAGTTGTCAAATTTCGGATTAAGGTCTCATAAAATATTGTTGTTGCTACGGTGACTGTGTGTGTGCTGTACTGTCTAAAACCGGGCACACTTCGCTGCTTGTATGCCGTTTTAAAAGACAGTTTTAGAAATTTAAGAATGTACTGTAGAAGGGCGTACAAGCGAGGCACATCAAAACATTTGCATATCAAATTTGATCAATTTGAATAACGAAATGTCTAGTTTTGAAAAATAAATGATTTGATTGAAGGACAAAAATAGTTTATTTCATTCATTTTCAACAACATTTATGAATTAATGAAACTGTGCAAGCGAGTTCATAAAGTCTTTAGGCAACCATTTTTTAAATCGTCGGCACTTGAATTTTTCTGATATAGTCGGCACGTCGTGGTTTGGCTTCTAGCGCCACCACTCATGAAAACTATTGGTAAAGGGTCTAGTATAAAGAAAATGCATAAAATTTCAATCATTTTATGTAAGGTTTTAATTTATTTTAGTTTCGTTGAGTGCTCAATGCATTATTTGTTTTTTTCAAAGGATGTTTTGTTTAGGATAGAAACTAATAATTTGATAATATAAACTAGTTTTTCCAAACTAATTTTATAATAAGCCACTTTAAACCCAACCTTACACAGCCATGTTCATAGTGAAAATTAAAACCTTGTAAAAGTCGTAAGATTGAATGCCAATAATCTTTTAATTTCGTCGAGGACCTTGTTGGGAATCATATATCCCTGTAAATACTTAATTTTAGTGAAACTCCTGTCGCTATTTGCAGGGATAAATTGCCCTCTTGTACGCAGTTACAGCTGCAAAAAAAAATTCTGAGTGCCTTTCAAAAGTTGTAAGACCTGTCTGCAAATGGACACTGGACGTACAGCCGTTTGATGAACCTTGGTTAGACTGAAAACAATGGAAGACAAAAAGACAGGTTGAATAAAATTTCCTGGATTTCAGTTTGGCCGCCACAAACCCATCGCTAGATCTTGTTAAAAAATTTGAAATCAAATTGTGTTGATTGTTTTAAAGATTTCGATGTGTGACAGAAAAGCAGGTTTAGCCAATTGCCTGTGTTATACAAGCTCTCATAAAACTTAAGATTTGAGGCCAGCAAAACCAAGGAAATTTTGATATTGCAATAAACAGCCCTCCTACCTGAATAAAACCAAAAACTTGAAGACAAAGATGTTTCTAGAGAAGATGAGGTAATAGAATATTCTGTTTCTTGGAACTAACATTTTATACAAACGGATTTGAAAAACTTCCGGTTAAAATTGACGTGGATATCTTTCACGAATACACATAGTTCTTGCATTAAACATAGTAATTTACATTGTAATTTAGCATTTAAATGAATAACGACAATTTGAAAAATCAAATCAAGCATTAATACTTTGATAGCACATCGTCAAAAGTTTCTTAATTTGAGGATCCAAAGATTTATATACGATCCGTATGCCTTGAAACTATGAGCCTGGAGTGACCTAGAGTTTTTGTCTGTGGGAGGGTAGCCTGCGTCACAGACCATCACCACCAAGGAGGAGAGTGGACTCTCCTCCTTGGTGGTGATGGTCTGTGACGCAGGCTAGGGGAGGGGGGTTCTCATTTTAAAATCGGTCTCTTTAAACACGGCAAATCCCTGGCGATTTGCATTTAGATAATCTTCTGGCAACAATTTTTAGTTCAACATCAAATTTTTGTCATATGATTAAAGTTTGTGATGATGTCATTTTTCAAAATGTCCAAAGAGCACGGCACTTTTCTACAGGGACCAATACTTTAAAAATTGAACATGGGTTCTTTGCTTAAACATCATTCGTACAAGAATACTGTTTACAAGAATATCAAGGCTATATAAGAAAATTTATATCATTCAGTGATGATTTAAGTATAATTCACTCCAGAATAATGAAGGCTCAAGCATCATTAAGATTTTTAGTTTATTTGATTTTTCAAAAAGCAAAACAAGTGGAACATTCACGCTATAGGAATAATCGAGTACTTCAATAGAGCTCTTGCCCAAAGCAGAATTACAAATTCAGATGATAACATACCCTGGGAACGTGAGTCTGGTGCCCAGGGTAATGATAACAAAGACTTGGGAGAAAAAGGAGCTGGGATGGCTGCAGCCCCCAGAATCAGGCAGATTTCGTCGTTTTTCAGGCTCCATTAGAACAGTTCTTTCTCAGTTAAGCAACAATATTCAGGCAAGATCAGCATTAAGCCCCCCTTAAACGTTTAGCATCTCCTACGCCCATAATGATTCCGAGAACTTACATGAAAATACATCAGACCGAGTTGAAATAGTTCCTTTAGATTAGGCATTGTATTTTATTACCACATTTATTGTTCTATTCTACTTTTTATACTTTTTGATAGTTACTCATCAACAAAGATTTAAATCCTTTTCTTTGATCTTCAGGCGAATTTACACATTGTATCGTTCAAGAATGTTCTTATGCTCGAGAATATTTTTGTACTCAAATAAAACAATATTTTTGAATATTGAGGTTTTCTTATAAAAAAGGGTCTTTCCAATCAACAAGTCTCTTTATTTAGTGATATTTTTTTCAATAATTATTGAAAATATCAATACATGTGAAAGAAAGTTTTTTAAACTTAATTCATCAATGTTACTTTAGAGATCAAGCCACTTGAAAGCACTAGAAGATGAGCCTACGTGTGCAGTCCGGACAGGGGCGCCGAAAGCTTTTTGAGGCGGCGGGGGCAGCTACTTAAAGGGCACAATTTCAATGACTAATATTAGAATTTTAACGAAAAATGACACAACATAATACTTTGGTACCAATAAAACATTTAATCTAAAAGGCCAGTCTAAAACCTCCCATTTTGTTGTTTAGGCTTTTGCTGGTTGGGAAGGGGGGGAGGGTACCTTAACATGTGTTTGAAGATAGGGGGACGTGCAATGTTTTAGGGAAACCTTTTTCTGAAAAGTGCGGAATTATCGGTATCAGTTTTTGAAATATGTGCAAAAAAAGGGGTACCATTTTTCGAAAAATATTGCAAAATTATTAGGAGGGAGATTGAGCATTAGCAAAATGAATGTCCAGTTAGAAATAAAAGTACGAAATATGTGCAATATTGAGATTTTCGGCTAAAGGCATGTAAAATTTGTTTGATGATTTTGTTGTGCTTTAAAAATGTTATCTGCTTTACGGAATTATGGGCATAGTCTTTATCATGTATGCAGAATTATGGGTCAGATTTTTCAGACATGTACGGATTTATGGGTCCAAACTTGTTAACCAAAATGACAAGTCCCCGTTCAAATTAGGCTTAGTTAAACCCCCCCCCCCCCACCCCGTGGACTAGTTAAACCCCCCCCCCCCCCCACCCCGTGGACTGTTTGCTGTCACGTCGTATCACGCTGCATTGTGCTAAAAGTACGTTCTGCAGTTGCAGATAAAAGTGCAAATGAATTGTACAATTGCAATGACTTGTGAGCTCTGGCAGGCATTCTTTATGGCATTAAATTGAAGTCATGATTGATCAAAGGGTTCCCATCTTTGTTACCTTCTTTACTGGCATGGCAACTTCTTTTTTATAAATTCTGATGACTTTATTAAAGTTCACCTCATTTTTAAAAGCTTTTAGATTACTTCAATTGAAGCTTCTACAAATTAACTTAGATTATTGTTGCGTATTGCATTAGTGTTTGACATGCTCTACTAGAGTCCGTTAAAAGGGGCCCCATCTCAGTTTTCCCTTAGTACCTCCGTTACGCTACTCACCTTATTCTACAGTAATTTCCTACATTTTAGAGTGTTGCCGAAAGAAATAGTATTATTGCTTATAAGTTCATAACAAATGCACCCAATGTTTTAATTGCTTTCATTTTGTTCCTAACCACACCAATATTTTATCTCACTATTCCATTCGACAAGCACAGTGTCATTTTTACAAGGGCACAGTGATGCCCCCGCTGCCCCCGTGCTCCCGGCGCCCCTGAATCCGGACATTCTTTACTAATGATTTTGAAGGGAAGAAGCATAAAGTCTGGGATTGAAAATTTCTTCATTTAAATTTAATTCTTACATGGATACAAATTTTCCCGCCCTCTGTTGTTTGACTCCCTACGTCCTTCGCCTGTGGACTAAAATCCTCTAAGATCTGTTTTCATTTAGAGAAAGCTTCATTAGTGTGAGAAATGTTTCATACAAACAAAACGATGCAAGATGAATTCATGTCTGACTCAGCACCTCACGGCATGATCAAGGCTTCAATTCCCGGGAAATATTGGACAAAGCATCTTTTCATGTGAAACCGAACCGAAATACTTCCGAATTTTCGCTGTCATCCTGCAAACTGGAAAGATTCCAGAATCCAAATACTTCATCAATTATTTACAAGCAAGGCTTACAAATGTAATACATTGCTATGTATAAAGTCATAAGGGAAAAGTTAAAGAATGGAAAAAATATTTTCTAATATTTTCAAGACACTGATGTTGTAGAGTAAAAGGCTCTTGATACATCTCTAACATTGTTTACAGCGTACAAAAAGGAGTTTTTGCCTTAATCCTAAACACAATAATTTTACTGTTATGGGCTGTTTGTTTTTAACTCAATTACAGCTTAAATATAACACTGTGTTTTTATTGAAAAGTTACAGGAGCAAAGTTTTTATAAATGGAAGTACATTGGGAGTGGTCAGGGAATTTGAACAGTAGAAGTTATCTAAAGTAAAGCCCCCTGAAGGCACGGAACCCCGGAAGCATGTTGATATTGACAAGCTAACAAAACAAAATATAGAGGAAGAAAGATGACAATCGTTTTCATTAATCACAACAGGTGCAACATTATCGTCGTAAAGAACAAACATTGGCCATAATTGGGTTTTTATTAAACGATTTAATTATATATTTGCTCGCGTATCGAAACCATCTCGGTCACGATCTGGTCGTATAGAATAAATACTTAGCCTGCAGAACCGATGAGAAACACGTTTTGTCATTTTGTCTGATACTTCCTGCCAATACCCACGTGCTTAAAGCATCTACAGACGGTCTGATATAAGCATTTTTCTACTCTCAATGTTAAAGGCCTGATCAGAAATTCAGATTAGGATAAAAGCATCAAACAAAAAGTGAAGTCGATTAACCTTCATGCTTACCAAGTAATACTTCCGATGAAAAATGAAAATCTAACTCCTGAGGTGTTTTCTATATAATACAAGCATTAAGAAATTTTGACAATACGGCGATTGCAACAACCCTAATGCCCCGACTTTTCCCACGGTTTAAAATAGTCCTAATATGCCAACTCCCTAATTACCATTCAAAACGTTGGATTTGGGTCATGAATTTTGCATAAAAAGTGAAAGCTACTACTTAATAATGATGCTTTTAAAACTTTACAGCACCTCTTGTAACAATTCCCCATGAAATTTCGGTCCCCTTACGGTTATACGGATTTGCGGTTATATCGAACTAGACAAGCCTCATTGCGGAAACGAGGCACATAGAGCCGAAACAGCCGCCCACAAAATGAAGTGAACAGAATGTGATGTGGTCAGGGAGATTACAGACGTATTGAAAACTTGAAAAATGTAAATAATAGGGCTTTCTACAACGCGATTCTGCCTTACCTTCTGTATAACGTCTAAACTCTGCTAAAATGACAACTGGGAGCACATTGTTTGTAAACATTCTGGCTTTCGTTTGTTTCCATCCCGGTGAGTTTTTATGTCATTTTCTTTCTCTTTCAACAGGAACCAAACATTGATCTTGGGCCTAGCGTGTGACTTGTATGGTGACAACGTTGATTGCTTTTTATGTTGGAGATTAACCCCCTATTCACGAACCCATACCTTGATTTTGAATTTTAAATCTTTTGCCGATACTTCCTCGTAATTTGTGATATTTTTAGGAGTCATTTAGAATTTGGTTTAAGCGGGTGTAAATTCTTTGCGATCACCGAAAATATTATGATCATTCACGTTTTTTTGAATTGCTTAGAAACTGAAAGTAATTATCTAGAATAAAGACGAAATGAAGTTGGCGAATTACAAAACTTAGTCGAGGGAGGAACCAATATCATAATAACGTGTTATCGAACAAATTGTAGCAGACTTCGACTGACAATTGACCGGAAATTTCACAGCGCAGCTTCATATCCCAAGCGCCCCTTTGTATTAATACTCTTTCACTGTCATTGTTTGTAAATTTTAATTTCATGATAACGCGTATTGCTTTAATTTAGTTGTTTCTCCTTATTTTCTACCGATCTGTCTGATTCAATTAAAAATATAAATTACCTTATTAAACAGGAAAGAAACCATCCAGTCAGAGACAACCTTTCTTCTAAACTCAGTTTTACTTTGTAGTTGTTTTAACCAGGCGGTTTTTCATTTCCTGCCTCAAATCAGTCATTTCATTTCTCCTGTTACTTTGTCTTTTTGTCAGTCTTTTCATTGTGAATGTGACACCAAACCACCAATTGCTGTTGATGAGCACCACACTGGAGATGGCACTCTTCTTTAATTGCTGTAATTTCTTGTTACATTGTGTGTGTTATTCTGATTGATGAAATCAAGCTCATAATTTTTGATTTGCCATTATTCTTTCCACTTTGAACCAGTCAAAGCATGTAAGCATATTTTTTTAGGGGTTTGTCGACAGGATCTTATGCCTGTATCATCACTTCCAGCATGTTTACTGCATGCAAACCTCATCTAATCATTCATATGGCATACAAAAGAAAGGTGTTCATAATAGCACAATAGCAAATTTGATGTGCAATTTCAAATGTTCATTGCAGCACTGACCTCATGTGTGCCTCTGCCGTACTCTGCAGACCTATTTTCTTTGATTTTTTAAATCTTTTAAAAGACAGTAATTGAAATTGAAGTTTTTTTAAACCAAGGAAGCTCACTGGGGCTAGAGGGGCAGTTCCCCCTTAGTTACTATCTTAAAGGAAGAACTGTTTTTGTGTATAAGTTGATTAGTGTAGCCTAAATGTCTGTCTGATTAGAGTACAAGCATAGGAGTAAAAGAATAGGAGTAACAGCAAGCATGTCCCATATTTAATCAAAACTCTGTTATTTTGATTGCTCTGTATGTCAGTGTATCAACTGTTATGTCAGAATAAGAAACGTCCACACTCAGATATAGCATGACCCATGTTTATTCAGATAAGCTCCTGTTGATTGCTCCCAATTGAACAAGTTTTACCAAAGAGCTTTTCCCCAACTGAATCTTCATTAATCTTCCTTTATGTTCCATCATTTAGATGGTATAAGCTACAATTGGTGGGGGTTTTAGGGGTCCAAGGGGGCCAGGACCAAAGGCCCTACACTAATGGTAGCCAGAAGGGTCTGGGGTACGTTTGCTAAAGAATCCCGTAATCTTTTGTGTTTGATAAAAAATTAAGGTTATTACACACAAAAGCACCTCGTTAAAGGTAAATATGAAAACTGGCACCTTTTTAAATGTATTTAAAAACTGTTTGGTACAAAAGTTTATTCATTAGCTGTTTTCACACTGAACCGGAAGTTGATAGTTTCGCTTCTGAGCTGTTGTTTGCAGAAGAGTCTCATGGTTTCAAGGTTTTTATTAAATGAGGTACCCAGGTGAAAGACATTCTTGAGGTTTGGTAGCCTGCCATATGGTGGCAATATTTCAAATGACATCATATTCATACAATGCTTTGTGATTCCAGTATGCATTTTTGTAGTTTGTCATCTTTGAAACTGTAGCTGGAGCAGATAAGCAAAAATTGCAACCAGGCATTGCCAAATTCTAAAAGATTTAATATATACAAGTATCTAATATGCTTATTGGAAATTTTATAAAAGCAACTTGGATCCATTTTCTTTTAGATAAACATGAGTGGAAGGGGAATTAAGACCTTCAAAGGGATCTGTTTGGGTGATACATTAAACTAAGAAAATTAGTAAATACCTATGCATGTATGGGTTATTTTGAAATCAAGAAACTTGATCATAGGTAATTTTTAACTGTCTTTTTGGTTGTGGATAACAACACCTGTCGAAAGATTTTGGTCTATGAGTGAGGTTTTTCAAAGGAAACATGTAAAATTTGAAATTTTTGTAAATAAGATTCATGTTAGGTAATTTGCGCTTTAAGATGAAGAAATTAAAGAAAAACATGAAGAATATGGCCCTGGTTATATCAGTAAGTAAATATGAAGAAAACACATATGTGGTGCTAAAACAAATGATGAAAATTTGCTCCCTAGTGTGGAGGCTTTTCTTTAACTGTAGATTCTATTGAAATCTGATTTGTCTTTTGCTCCCTTTCTAGGCTATATTTGGGGACAAAGGAGCATGCCCAATGGTATGTAATTTGGGTTTATATTTGAATTACCTATATTTGTAATTTGAATTTTATAAAAAGCTCATTCACTGATTTTAATCTTACATAACCCTTGTTTGGAAAAAAGGCTCGTGGCTGAAAAAGCTGATTCCAACTTGTGCATGAGCTAAATAGCTTGCATAGCAATTCTTGTATAACAAAAGAACATGTTTTACAAAAGTTGACAATGATGTATTCTCTATTGTTTTAGACTGCCATGAAACTTTGCTGCAGACCACTGCAAGCTCATTGTCATTACCCCAACATACTTCAAGCTGTAATGATACACAACTAGGAATAAAGTCTTCACAGGCCTGGATATCTGGAAGTATTGAATCTGTTGAAATGACCTATCTTAAGGTAGATTTGGGAACAACACAGACAATTACTGGTATACAGACTCTCAAATTTCCTGGCACTTTTCAGATTCTATTTGGCTACGATGGGAATTCAAACTTTACCTATCGAAATCTTAACGGAGATGAGGTAGTATTTTAAAATTTTGCTTTTGAATTCTATTGGGCACACAAAAAGCAATTTTGTTTTTAAGCAGACTTTTTATCAAATCCTTTTCCTCCCAAAGCATATAATGTAAACCTTTTTAGATACTCTGGTATTTTTAAGTAAAACGTTTTGATCAATCTTAAATTATCCATCAGGAGCAGTGTAGGAAAGGGGATGTTTTGTTTGCGTGGAAAATGACAGTCTGCTACTCCTTTAGGCCTGTGGCAATAAATGATAATTTTGTGAGTCATATAGAGTTTCAGGCTTTGATATAAACATTAAACATTTTTAGTAAAAAGGGTTCTTGCCGGTTTCAAACTCAGTTGTTTATAAATGCTTTCTCTATAGAACTTTTTTATGTTTTGTTAACTTTAAGTATTTTTATATAACTAACATTGATATATTTAAATTGAATACTTTTGGATTTAAACACTTTGTTTGCAGCATTTCTTAGGTTAGTTAGCTATCCTTGGGCAGACAGACCAAGGAAAAAGAGACAGATGATTATATTGTATTTTTTGCAGAGCAATATCTTTGCAGAGACTCTGACTAGTCGCAACTTGTTCCCTTTTTCACCTGAGGATGTATAATTTTTTCTCGAAGTAAACTTGATTTTTAGTGGTATCTTTTGATTTTGTTTTGTAGCTATTCCAATCAGCAACTGATGCAGAGACCATGCACTTTTTGTGTCCTACCAAAGCAAGATTTGTTTATTTTGTGCCTGAAAAGCCCCATTCTTGCCTTAATTTGATCACTAATATTTATGGATGTAATGCTACATGGAAAAGCGCTGGTGATTACAAGTTTATTTACTTGTGTTAATTTTACCTTTTTCTACCTTTAAAATAATTTATGAGTATCCTCTGTTGGGTTCAATTTCTTCAGGTCTTTTTTCTAATCAACACTGTTGTACTTTTTTCTTTGCCTGGATTAACAAAAAACAGTTGCACCTGACATCAAGCTGACATTTAGGCTCAATGTCACACTACTACTACTGCATCAGGAATTGATTTTTGTGTATCTTTTGGTGTAAACATGTTCTCTTCTTTGTTGTTGCAAAACATTTAATTTTTTAAACAAAATCGAAAAAAGAATTTTTATAGTTTATTTAGTGCTGATCTAATCCAACTTATCTTAGGAAAATTTGTGCACAGTCGTTGGGCTCATTGACATAATGGAGGAACATGGGTCTCTTAGACAAAACCGAGACTGAGCCCCTGTTTACGGACTAAAAGAAGGTCCCATCCAAGATGTAAAAATGTTTATTTTCTCGTTAACTTATGAGGAGCTGAGTTATATGATACAGTTTCCAGTTTATATACAAATAATTTTTTCAGTTTTTGAGTACAAGGTGAATTTGAGCGAAGCCAGAAACATTTACAATGCAAAAAAGCTACTATTTAAGTTACCTATACAGAATCAATTCCTGTAAGTTTATTGCAGAAAAATGTCCATATGTCCTTTATTCATGTTAAAGCTTGATTTATGCACATTCTGTTAAAAATCCTTAAAAACCTTTTAACAGTTGTACCTAAAATGAGCGTTTCCCTTGTTCTCCAGGAGACTGAAGGGCGTGACAACAGGAAATTTTCATGAGGGGGTCGCTTGCATAGTTCTGTTTGTACACTGGATTACAAAGTTCATTGGCTTTGCTGGCATAATCTACAAATGTTTTGAATTTTCTGTTTTTACAGCGAGATTTATGTCTGTGGTTCAAATCTTTAAATGTGTTTTATCTTTTTTAAAAGTAAGACCTTTTTTGATGTTTGAAAGTTTTTTAAATTTTTTCATTCCTTTTAGCTGGTACTGTCAGTAACCTTCAGGTAACTGATAAAACACAAAACAGTATCAAGATTTACTGGAATACAAATGGCCTATTTGACAGACAACTGGTTTCTTACAAGAAAGTAAACAGTAGTGAGCACCTTATCAAAACCATGGTGTATGCAAGCAGAACTGTGTATTCAGAGAGTATTGTCAATTTGGAGCCTTGTACGAAGTATGAGCTTGAGGTGGCTGTAGAAAGCTCTTGCAACATTGATAGAAAGAAAATTATCGTTAAAACCAATCCGTCTGGTAATTGCAATTAATTTGTATATCACAATTAAGCATTTGATAACAATAAAAATTGAACATTTCAATGGGAAAGTTCGAAAAAATGACTGCTGACAATGGGTTTTTTTATTCTTTGCAAAAGTAATATAAAAATGTTTGTTGCCAAACGAAAAGGTTTTATTACATGCAATCATAAAGCATAGATATTCGCTTCATTTTATTGATCATGCCCTAACCTAAGCTAACATGACCGTTTCCAAGTACAGAAACGAGAGGCGGGGGCTAACGTGAACTAGATCACAACATTCAATCGTCTAAATTATTTACGAGATCGTATGGAGGTTTCAAGGAAATTTGAAGTTTTCAATTTTGTTTAAGATTCATTTTGTTTCCTTTTTTGAGGTTATGCACAAATTATCTGCGCCTAAATAGAAGCTTTTTCATCCCACTATGGTGTATTTTTTCCTTAAACGAAGTTGTTTCTATATCTTTAAGGGTATTTTCAAGATCGTTGAAAACAATAATGAATACAGATACAGTGTAGTTGCATTGAATTTATCAGTTAGTCACCTAAATCGAAGACTGTTTCAATGCCAAGTTAGTTTATGATTTATTTCGTAAGGATAGTCACAGCCCTCAGCTCCCCCCAGCTCGAGCATTTTATTATGTATAGTTTAGAATTTGTTATTTAGCAGCTAAAGAGTGGTTATTCTCTTAAAATGCTGGAGGAACCAAAACTTTTTTGTCACCGTCAGTATAATGATACATCTGTTTTGCAGCTCCAACTAAACCGACGATTGTTAGTGTTACGTCACCAAAGCCATTCACTGCAGTTGTCACGTGGACGGTATGTTGGGTTTTTATCGTTAAGATGAAATATAGATGGTCGGAGTGTTCATTTTTAAAATAGCCAGCATTTATGGATATTGGATATATTTACATACCAAGTTGGATATTAAACAAACTGAAATAATTCAATTCTTTAGCTTCCGTACTGCTGACTGTTTTTATTCATAATAAATATTTACCATTTTTTACTCGTTGCTACTGTTAAATTTGTTTGTTACTATCTTTGCTGGCGTTGCTGGTAAGCCTTTGTTTGTGTTAGCATAATTAGCTTAATTTGTCTTGCATAAGATAATCTAATTGGTAATTATGATAATGATGATCTAATTGGTAATTATGATATAGAAATATGCAACGCCTAATTCACTGACATAAGTGACGTGATAAAAGTCAAGCTTGGCATAGTAGAAGTCTATTAAATGCAACTTATGCAGAGTCCAATAAGCCGAACTTGCTCAAAGGAAAAAAGTAGCACCTAAAATATCGTCAACATAATCAATGTCAGGACCTAGTGGTTAAACTTGAGTCAGTTTGTTAGTACTTGTAATGTTGATAATTGATATTTTGATATTGTTTTAAATATTTTGATGAACAACGTTTGAACAGCTGTTACCACTATCATGGTGATATCATTTTTCAGGTTCCATCTTCCTCAGCTTCGAGCTGCAGCTCTCTCATACAAGGATTCATTATAAAATACAGAAAAGTGCTATCTTCGATTGTTTTGATAAAAAGTATCCACTCCACTGGTGCCACCGAATATACTTTTAGCGGCCTTGAGGCGTGGCAAGATTACGAGTTCGTTATTCACGCCGCTAGTCAGTTCAGTAACAGTGCTCCTTCGAATAAAGCTTACGTTCAGATCGATGGCAAAGGTATTCTTTCTCGTTTTTGTTTGACGCAACTGGTGCTGTATCCAGAATATTGACATTAAAGTCATCAATTATAATTTGAAATCAATGCAAGAATGCTTTCTAAAGCTATAACAGTGGCACAGTGTTTTTAAACTTTGCTTCTTCATTTTGTACCAGTGCATGTCATCCACTATTTTGTACCAGTGCAGTGTACAAAATACTTTAGACTGTTTGAATTATTGAAATATTTAGATTTGTATCATTACTTTAGCGAGAAATAAAACTTGTTAAGTAACTTTATATAAGTTGGCAATATGCTGTACAAGAACAGTTGATCGAGGTATAGTAACAGAATAAATGGCCTTTTGTTGCTTTGGCTGCGTGGAAAGGTCAGGGAAGCAGAAAACCAGAATTTTGTATATATAGTATTCAAACAATCTTTGGGTGGTACAAAACTTTAAAATGGCTTTGAAAAAAGCAAACATTTGAGTAAACTAAAGCTTTTTGTCTGACATTCTTCAAAGTTTAAAACGTCAAAACATAGATCGAAAACTCTACGCTAGGAAATATATATACCCAGTTGTGGATCGAAATAGGCCAATCAGAAAAATGCAATCACATGACTGTTGATGTTGACCAATCAGTGCCGCTTGCCTATTGAGAATGTTACCAAACGGAGTCCTAAGGTAAAAACGAACTCCTTTTGTCTACACAGTAGCGGTTTTTTCGTGCTTATGTAGATAGATTCCAAAACTGCTAGATGGAACGACGATCGGGCTTTACCAATAATCCGTCCAAGTATTGTTGGTGACTGAGAAATTTCCTGATCAAACTGGCTAGAGTTAGGCATGAATTGTAGAGTGAGCATAAGTATGTTGTTATTTAGATCTTCATGAAATCTTCATTAGAGAAACCATAAATTCTTACGCCTTTATGAGCAAATTTGTCCAATTACAGCCCCAGAACAACCCGTGAAGATTACATTTTTGCAATCGAACGCAGCAGATGCATTCACAGTCTCGTGGACGGTAGGTATCGGCATTCTCGTTGCAATTAACGTGTATCTAATGCCAAATATGTCGTATAGAATTCTGTTTTGAACGCTTTGTAGGTGCTTGCGGAGTAAGTTTCAAGTATCAGAAAACCATGATAATTTTGACTGATCAATTTGCAATTTTGCATTGAATTAGTCATAACGCGCAGTAAAACATTTGTCTAGATTGTTTAATAGCATTAATTTTGGATGAAAACATCTTTCAATTATGCTCACAAACTGTGACCAATTTTCCAAATTTTCCAAAACATTTAAGTATACATTTGCCTGTTTCTTTTGCAGAATCCGCCTCTAGAAACTGTAAACGGGCAAATCAAAAATACTGTAGTCTACTTCAAAAAGAAATCAGAGACTCATTGGAAAATGAAGCCTGCTTATCAAAACAAAGAGATAACGATTTCGCCCCTGACAGCTGGAAATATATACCAAGTTCGCATTGCTCTTTTCAACAACAAATACAAAATATTAACCGATATCAAAGAGATTTTCGTTGGAAGAAAAGGTGAATTTTTCTTTTAGTTTGCCTCATTTTTATGCTTCTTTTCATCAGTTAAGTGATAGAAAACTAGTCCAATCTCAAAACCACGTTAGCTAGTTTATCATTTGTTCAGCTCTGTTTGCCAAGAAAAGGTTATAAAAATCTGTTTAAAAATACTGATTAGATACTAAGTTGTATAAGAACGAAATTTTAAATAAGTTTCTTGTCGGCACATTCTAAACTTTGTTCGATGGCGATGTTGATCCCATACCGTTCCTAAACCCACAGCCAGGATTACGAAACCTCGTTACAGCGTTATATCTATTTTGTAGCTTAATATTTTTATTCTTATCTGACAAAGCATCGTTTGCCTTCCTGTTCAGCTCCGGCGTTATCATCAGTTTTGACTAACGCGACACATCTGCAATCCAACTCACCCGGAAGACTTTTAGTCAGCTGGAAGGTTAGTCGCTAAAATCTTTATTTGAGCCATGTATATTTTTTTAAACTGTAAACAATTGTATTAAAATGTGAAGGGAAAGTGGAAGGAAGAAGTTTTTTCTTCCTGATTCACTCACGGACACCTCCCCGTCTTGGTAGATCTCTTCCTGTCTAGCAATTTTTATTTAGTTGCAAGTATTTCTCTTTATTCCGTCTTAAAGATGCCCTATTAAGCCCTCAGCAGCCTGATGGTCGTAAATCTGTAATAGGGACAGGCCTAGCTTTGATTCTGATAAAGGGCGGACTTGTCTTTCTCCGACGGGGTTTATTAAGGATGCAGTAAGGTAGTGCTTATCTAAATAAGGCCTAAAAATGGTTGGTTGTTAAGCTGGCATAATATTGTGTGACTAAGAGAAGGAATTGAAATATTAAAGAATAACAGGAGTATGGCACTGCATTGCCTCCCTGTCCCCCTTCCACAACGTTCCTGAAAAGGCCTGATATAATGCAAAGTATCAAAGTAGCACCTAGCAGTTTGGTTCAAGACTGTACCGTTAAATTTTAAACTACTTGCTACATGTGGCACTTTTGCAATCTACTGTTATTGGCATTAACACTTGTTTGCCCTGTCTCTTGTAGATTCCATCGAAATTAAACGAAGAAAAGCCTGAAAAATTGTCCGTTAAATTGAGGAAAGTCGGGGAAGTGAACTGGAAAGAACGCATTACGCCTGACTCAGCCACAGAATCGTCGTTTGATAATTTAGAGCATTGGCGAATTTATGAATGTGTCCTAACTCTTTATACTTCAAGAGCTGTCTATTACACTAAAATTAGACGGATTTTAATCACCGGTACAACGTCCGGTAAGTATATATTTCAGGCTATCTTTAAGGTCCTAAGGTATGGTCGTTACCTGTTACCATCACTTAGCGTGCTGAATCCGGATCGCAAGTCTTTATTTGTAAGCAAACGCTCCTTTTGCTGCCTGTCCGAGCTTAAAGGCTATATAGCAGTGGTGCGAAAGAAGTCAGATTTATGAGTAAATGTTGATCTGAAGTACCACCTATTCTTTTATGATTGTGGGTCACGTTGGTCATTTAGGTAGAACGCATATCTGTTCAATCGATTGCTTGTTTATTCAACCTGTTTAATAGGTGTGAAAGTCATATGTATGGTCAGAGCTATAAGTCACAATTTATCTTTCTTTGTTGAGCAAGGGGGTTAGAAGGGGATGAGGGTGGAGACTGTAAAGGATGATGGGTGTTTTGCGTTGTGTTGATTTTGGCATCACAGTTGAAAAACTACACTTTGCTATTGCCTGTTGCTTTTTCAGAAAAGACGAACGCTGTTAGAATAGAAACTGTTGTGTCGAACAGTGCTGGATCCGTGGAATTAACAATAAGTGTGAGTGCTTTTGGTTTCTTTCACATTTATCAACTTCGACCAATTGTCAAGTTTATATTTAACAGTTTGAAGCTTTTTGTAAAATTAGTGAAGTCTTCAAAATTATTTTCTTTCCGGTTTCACAAGAAGGGAAGACAATTATTACTAGTGGACGGGAGGGGGGGTGGGGGCTGAAGTGGCTCGTCTCCCGGGAATTATTCCCTTCCAATGAATTATCTTGGCCTTTGCTGCCCTCTTTCTATGTTTCACTCTCAAATTTACTTAAAAAAAGCATGTTCCATGTCAGCATACTTTCTTATCTTCTTTACCCTTTCCCTTGTATTCTGCCTACCCATAGCTTTTTTCTTCGATTGATAATATGATGGATCTCAACAAGCATCCTTTGCTATACACTCAATTTTTTATAGGAAGCAAAGGTCGATGTTAAGTACCCTAGTTTCTTAATGTTCTGGAAATTTCAATACTCTTTGTTTCTCAAGTGTTTCTTCACGATTTACACAGTTTTATCACGATTTCATAGTTTCTTAATTTTTTTTGCTTCGAGTACTGAAGTTTCTTGATTTTTTCTGACTGTCCAGTCCTCGTTTCTTATAGCCAGTTTCTTATAAAAAAACGAGTGTATAATGTCTAAGTCCGGCTTGCCTCTGCATGTCGTCTAACCTCATTTGCACATGAAGAAATGCATTCCATTTCAACACAATCACCACTCTATTCCGTCGAACCAAATTTAACCTCCTGGTTGCTTGTTTTGTTCTTCTGTTGAATGATTTCTAGCCAATAATGTAGAAACGTCACCAGACGAAAAGAGATCCTGGCAAACTCAATGATACCTAGGAAAGTGACAGGCTCTAGCTCCGTTACTTTACTTAACTTTTATTTCACGTGTAGATCTCCATATTCTCTTTGTTCTTCCAAATTATTTTGAATTTTTTTTAAATTCACCTTCATCCCGCATGCTTTGGCATTAACTTCGTTTATGAAACTCTAGATTCCTGATATGACTTAACTTGTCAACGCTTCCAATTCATCAAGTCACCGAATGTGGATATTATCAGCCTTACCATATATTTTTCTTTAAAATGCTAAATAGAAATGGGGAGAGTGCACATCCTTGACGCACCCCCTTTTCCTGGGTTTCAATTCACCCTCTGCACCTCCTAATCTCACCTACATTTATTCACATATCATAGTGGTTAGCATATTGAAAAGGTTTTAGAGATCGTCCAACAAGTTAGTTTGGCAAAGTGATTTTATGCACCAAAATCTTTACTATCCGTACGAAGCTGTTACAGGTCAGTATTAGGGATGGAAAAGGTATTAAAATAAGGGACCAATGGTCATGAACAGAGAAATTTGATTTATCAATAAAAAAAATGAATTCCATATATCAATTAGCAATGACCAGTCAACCACAATATCAATAACGCAGAAACACCCTGAACAGATGTAATATATAAGGTATTAAAATAAACAAACTGCTGTCATCATGTAAAGAGATGCTGCGAAATTGACGTATAAATGTATTGAATCATTGGGAAACTCAATCAAAATTATCTGCTTTGTAAACCAGATAGGCATATTTTATATTAGCAGCAGCTCAATGCAAAATAATCTTTGCGAAAGTCAACGACAGGACTATTGTCTCCAGTTTTCTACCCCTTCTCAGTACTATCCTATGAAATATCTATTCCCATGAAAGTAGAGGTAAAGGACAAATAGAAGAGGAAAAATAGGAGCGAGAACCAAAGTCTTGCACGTGAAATGAAGATTGAATGATGCGGGGGGGGGGATTCTTTTACCCTACACTCTTTTTGTAAAAGAATTCGTTAAATTTTGTCCAGCCTCTATAATCGTAAAAAATTTCACTTTGAGCAAAAAATATTTTTTGAATATTTTCACTTTTCTCAAATCTGTTGTTGTTATTATGAACAAGGGGAAACACGCAACTTATGAAGCAAAATTGGATGATTCGGACCCTGTATTTTCTTATAAACAAGATCCTTGTAAAAATTCGTCAGATTCTTCACATTTTGTTCTTGAGATTTAGAGGCATTTTTGCTTTTCCTTAGGCCTTTTGAAAAGTTTTTAAAAACCATCAACTCACTTTCCTAGCACTTCTTCTAAGAAAAATGAGTTCCCAATCTTCAATCTAGTTATAGATAGGTAGAAAAAAGCTTTATTTCATTGTTCTTTTATAGCTCACTTGTAGCAGTTAGAAACTCTATGCCAACCTTTCTTGTCATTATTATAGGTGCTTCTTGTGTAGTGTACTCTTTAAATCAATTGTTGCTTCTTTAGCTTCCAAGGCAATTTGCTGTCCTCTTCTCAAGCATGGTTGTCATAAATTGTTTCAGCAGTGGAATAGCTTCGGTGAGAAAAATAATGAGACCGGAGTCAGCTCATTTCAATTACACGGTCAGGGATCTTGTTCCTTGGAGAACTTACAGTTTTGAAGCCATTCTTTCCATCGAGTTGGGAGAGCGACAACTTTTCGGTCCAAGCTTGGCATCGGCTCTCGTAATTGGAAAAGGTAAATCGCTTATTGCTAGCTCTTTATCGACTATTGTATAACGATCATTGATAGCTGGTTTCTGGTTAAGTGAAAAAGAACTGTTTTTGTTGCATTACCTTAAGCTTCCTTGTCATATCCATAAAGCCTTTAACAATACGACAACCTCCCAGACGGCCTCAGTGAAAATGTACTAGAGGTTATTCTACTTTTTATCGACATGACAGTTGATTTGTTTGAGATTATCCTAGTTTCCACAACCACCCACCCTCCAAGTTTATTTTTTAAAGACTCATATTGAACATGCTTCTTTGTTCCTGGCATGAAGTCTACCCGTGTATAATGCTGTAGGGTAGTCAGTATGCCCTCGTTTTATTGTTCCAATAGTATTTTTACAGGCGGCCATAGCTCGTATTAGATTGATATATTTTGTTTTAAAATTTGTTAGAAAAAATATATGTACATAAAACTTTATAAAAATCCTTGCTTTCTTTCTGAAGTAGGTTTTCGTTTTTTAGTGCCGGGGAAGCCCCCTGCTGACGTGCGAGCTGTGGCAGAGGGGACAACGTCAATTCGAATCTCTTGGAAACCAATCCCCAATGAGTACGCTCGTGGAACCCTGCATCACTATTCCGTCTTTTATTCAACGAGCACCGATAGCAAGCCGAAAGTTCTGTCAACCAAAACGGTGACTAATTCGCTTTTGTTGACTGGTCTAGAATCAGAGACAATGTACTTCATCCAAATTTGTGGAACAAATAGTCAAGGTGGCATTGGACCATTGTCTGTTATTGCAAATGCTACAACCTGGAAGGGTATGTCCTCATTTAAATTGTTTAGGCCATATTGTTTTCTAGGCCAATTGATTATTTAAGTTCACACTGGTTTGGTTTCTGGATGTTTGTTTTCATACGGTTTTTAAAAATGATACGTGTATAGTCAATAAACAATATGAGAAATAACTTTGGTATTTATTACGACCCTTCACAATGGTATTACAAAGTTTATTAGAGAGGTTTTATATGCACGGTTATTTTAACAGACCCACGACCTCCTTCCAACGTCAAAGCATCGACGAAATCGTCAACCGAGGCTTTGGTCATGTGGGCATACCCTCCAGACGAGCAGCAACGTGAGCTGAATTTCTCGTTAACAGCCAATGGCCCGGGCCTTGAGCGAGTCACAAAGCTTCATTTATATCGGAAGCAAGACGAAGAAATGCAACTGGAAACAAAACAGAGTACTATTATGGACGGGCTAAAGCCGTCAACGAGCTACATTGTTACTGTCACTGCTTGTAAAACGAAACTTGGAGTATTAAAGTGTAGCGATCCGGCAAGTTCAGCTACAATAACAACGTTCAAGGGTACGAAATTACTGCTCTTTGTTTTGAGTTTAACTATTTTTATCATTGGATAAAAGTGAATTGTCTTTGTTTTTTAGAACTCTTATAGATAACTAGTAAAGGTTCTGTAGATTACACAGGCGCTAGAGCATATGCCCTTAGTAAAGATTTAGTCTTTTTGTGAGGTTCCTAGATTTAGATCGTATTTACTGCAGAAACAAATTCGGTTATTGTCGATGGAGGAATTGCAATTGTCAGTACCTTTTCTTTTTAGCTTGTTTTTGGAAATTTCTCCACATGTACTTGCTATTCGAAAAAATTTTTATATATTGGAAACCTGTGTTATTTTGTCTCGATGTGTCGTCCATCTTGGAAAATTCAATTCGATCTGAATTTTTAGAACCTCCTCCACCAACACCAACACTGAGCGCAGCTGTACCAAAGTCGTCGGCTGAGATCGAGGTTAGCTGGAATTCCCCTGTTGAGCTGAAGGAAACTACACTAAATTTTACGGTAATAGCTGAGAAGAAGTCGAAAGAAAGAAAGAGATTTTATTTACTGACTTACAGGTCTTTGCAGGATAAAAGAAAACACAGAGAGTATTCGAAATTGTTGTCAGGCTTAGAACCTTTTACTGCGTACAAGATACACGTTGTTGCTTCAAAGAAAAGAGACGGGAGATATTTGATAAGTGATACTTCCAACGAAATAACTGTTCACACTAAGGAAGCAGGTGAGGACCTTTTGGTTTCAGGGATAACTCTATCCTGCCGCAAATACGATAGCTTGCGATCAAGGTTTAATGAGATTTTCTATAATCCCGGGCAGGCAGAATCCTGTTCCCTGTTCAGAATCTGCAACCCACCCCCCACCCCAGTTCAATCTCTGCTATTAAAAGACATACGCTCCAACATTGAATTAGGGAAGGGGGGTTGTTGTTGGCCCAGTATACATGAACGCTACTGGGCACGTGTTTAAAGGTTTGTCACAACAGCTCTGTCTAAGATTGTGGATTCTAAGATACTGTAACAGTGGCATTAATTCTTATTACAACCGATTAGGAGGTTAAGAACAAGAGTGAATTCCTTACACGATAAAATCGTGTCCGTCGTAGGGCAAGAGCCGTTACTGTCCGCTGTCCGATGACTCAGTCTAAGTAAAAAATAAATTGATTCATATAGAATAAAATGCTTTCTAGATAGGGGCTAATTCGAGGAGGGCTTATTCGGGAGGGGGATCTTATAAGTATCATTTACAACTTGCTATACAAATCGCTCGTTTCATAGCTTTTTCACGATTTTCAACTACATTTCATTTGCAAGTTTACTTAATAAGATTTTCTAAGATATCATCCAAAAAGATAAATCAAAGCACAGAAATATACTTTGGATGAAATTTGGATGTTGTTATTATCTTAGGCCGTCTCTTTGTCAGCTGTTTTCATTCGCCGCTAACTGTGTTATCGATCATTGTGTATCTGTGTGTTGTACCTCAATTAAGCCCCCATGGGGGCTTATTGAAACGTGAGAATCGACATATAAAGGTGGCGGTGGTGGCATTTTTGAGGATGAAGGCTTAAATGAGGGGGTCTAGTCAAAGATTTGCGGTAAAAAATTGCTCTTCGGTCATTCATTCAAGAACATCTCATTTCACAGCTATTAGAAAAAGAAATTAAATGGCTGATCGATAAGCTATTCATTTTCTTTTTCCATCTTTTGCAGCCCCTTCCGCTCCTTTGAAACTGGACATTCAAGAGAAAGATGACGAATATGTCTTCACTTGGCAAAAACCAAGCAAACCGAACGGTGTCATAAGGCGATACCTCTTGAACGTCTACCATAACAAAACCGGCCACGTAGTTTTGGAACAGAAAATTCCTGGAGATGAGCACGTAATTATGATAAGAGGGGATAGGTTTTCACCATACCAGCAGTACAGAGCTTCTTTGAAGGCACGCACTGTTCAGTGGGGACCATTAGCGGAGAAAGTTTTCATAACCGCGGAAGGATGTAAATACACGATTCAAGGATCTTCTTATCCTAATTTTTTTTATTTTACATTAAACATTTTTTTTACATGAATTACATTTGAGAAGTAGGGTGACAAAATTAGTTTTTTAAATATGCTAGAAATGACTAGGCGGAAGTTTGACTAAGCAGAGCTAAGGATGGGTGAAGTTAGAGGTAGGGATGGACAAGAGTATGACTAGAAGGAGCCACGGCAGTGATCTTTTGTGCAAGAAAATAATCAGCGCAAAGTTTTTATCAATAATTGCAGGAAACGAACCAAAATGAAAGATGATAGTCTAGATTAGGCCGGCATCTGAAAATTAAAAATGGATAAATTGATTTGACAACTGATAAATTGACAAATATGACATGGAAGGACTATCTTTGTAGAATGAGATTTAGAAAGTTTTTATTACAAAAGTTTATATTGCACAGTATTTATGAACGTTTATGAATATTCCTGAGAGCATCGTCATATGAATATTCCTGAGACCATTACTCAATTTAACTATTCTCAATCTTAGATCCAACTGCACCCCGCGGCGTTTCAGCAACTTTTAATGGAACACACTTACTTGTGAACTGGAAGAGACCAAAGGAAGAAAATGGGAAAATTCTCCGATACAAGGTGAATGTTACAAAATATGGACCTCTTTATACTAAGGTACACAACGGATAGATGACTTTACAATGTATACAATAAAACTTTGTCATTATGGTACAATATACTGCAAGTTCATTATTATTTGATATGTCACGGTGTGTTTCACTAAAATACCACCCGATATCATTCTGTTCCTATAAACACAGCATCTCTTTTCCAAAGCCATTTCCAGAGCAACAATACCAAACATAGTTAACATAATAGCAAGCAAAGTGAGCTTCCAAATCAAGCTGTATGAGCATTAATAACAAACATAATGAAAGTCAACAGCACTACAGTTCAGCTATCTTTATTTTGCACCTATAACACTGCCTGTTTAAGCGGAGAATCTTCTCGCCTCTTCAGATCCTGATGACCAAGAAGGGCAAGAGGAAGCCTGAAACGGAGAGCTACGAAGCGTCCCCACAGAGATATGACTTTGTGATCCAGGAGAGCAATTATGGAACGAAGGTCAGGGTGGAAGTTGCTGCTGTGACGTCAAAAGGAGATGGGCCAAGCTCTGGAGGAGTCGTGGTATCAATAGGTAGGGTAACTTAAGTGTTAATGCTATTGATGTCGAATCATTTATCTCTACACGAGTTTTGTAGCTTGTTAAATTACTGACAGGCAGTCTGTCCCCTATTGTGCTAATTTTGACGGGAGTGAAATACACACACCGTTGAGCTTGATCGATAATTGAACGATTTAAACCATTCAGAGACAACTTTGATTCCAGAGCTTTTGAATCAAATGGCTGTGTTCCCGTTGAAGTGAAGTTGTGGCTAGAAAAATTTTGTTCCCTGTTTGGTTTGTGTGACAGATATGTTAACAGCCAAAAGGAAATGCTTCCATTCTCATCATTCAAATGTCGTCCAATACCGCAGCTAGGCCAGCCAAAGCGAGCAACTTAAAATCCTTTAAGGCAGGAAGACCAGTTGTTCATGTTAGCCAATTATTGAGGGGATAGACTGTCTTAAAGGCAAACTACAGATGCTTAAACAGCTCAAGGCAACTGTCAATCAATATAAGCCAATGAGTGGGGGTGTAACTGGTATCATGCTCATTGGTTAGTCAATTGGTGTTTGACAGATGGCTCAAGCCACTTTGGTATCTGTCAATTGCCTTTTATTATGGCATTAGTAAGGAAGAACTAGATAAGGTTTGCACAGACGAAAATTCTCAAGTAAAAGATCATGTATCTGTAATCTAGTTCTGTAATCATTACATGAACTGTTTTCTCCTTATGTTCATTGAAATAACATTGAACATCCACATTTATGTAATATTAATTAATTTTTATTGCCGTATTTTTAGACAGCAAGATATGCTTGATTTAGGCGTTTTGTCTTAATTTCCTTCTACTTTCAATTAGACATGCCAAAACCAAATGCGCCACCCCAGCCTGAAGTACAAATGGACACGATAAGACTGACAACGATGGTTGTTAAGTTAAAGCCGATGTTAAAGACAGCCTTCTCCTTTCCTGTTAGGTAGGTGTTTTCATGGCGAGGCGCAAAGCTTCATTGCATCTCATCTCACAAGAGGCGTTTCCAATATTGAACAATAACTTGAAATTTCTGTTAATGTTTTGTATCAAGGCCACATTTACCTGGGATTATCTGGGATTAGCTAGGATAACCTAGGATTGTCTATGTTGTGGGTATTTTGAAAATATGGGAGTTAGATTCTCTTAGATAAGACGATCAATGCCTTTTTGGGTAAGCTCTACTAAATTTCTTTTTAAAAAATTCATAGATATACTTGTTGTCATTTCTTTCGGTGTAGTTGTTTATTTAAAAGACATTAACCTCATTTGTCAATTACTTTTAACTGTTTATTTTCATCTATGACGTTTTTAATCTAGCTTGTATCAAGTGATTGTCGAAGTGTTAAACGGAGGAGCACTGAAAAAACGCTCGGTTGGTAGTGTTCCTGATAAAGTGAGCAACTACTCAATCGCCGTAAAAAATAGCGGCAAATTCTACATCGCAGCAGAGTTTGAAGCAAATAATCTTCCAGATGAGCTTGTGCTTGGAAATGGAAAAGTATACAATGGTTATCACAATGCTCCCTTGAATCCGGAAACGCTATACAAAGTGCACGTTAGAGCTGTTGCGTTGGATGGCAATGGGGTAGGTATACTGTAAAACATCAAGAACCTACTTTTTATCTCGGTTTAGCTTGTATTGCAAGCAATGCTGGCTTTTATGAACGAGCAAATGAATGAATGAACGAATGAATGGATGAATGAATGAATGAATGAATGAATGAATGAATGAATGAATGAATGAATGAATGAATGAATGAATGAATGAATGAATGAATGAATGAATGAATGAATGAATGAATGAATGAATGAAAGATTTTGAAGGGTTTGGAGAAAAGACAGTAAAATAAAGCGGTTTGTTATAATAGGTATTAGTTTAACTGATGTTTTATGCAGCAGAGAGCAGAGTAATACGTTTTATGGAGTGCTTAATTAACTAAAAGGTGAACTTTAATGAATCTATTTTTCTGTAATATGTGATATGTGAATTTTATCTTTTTCTCAATTGAAGAGATACATAGCATCGAAGTCGTATCAAATACAGAAGTTAAAGCTTTATTCAACTAAAAGCTCCATTGTTACTTCTTATTTTCAGAATTCAGTATATGGCGAAGCTACCTCGATAAATCTTCCACGAACTGGTAAGGGATCCACGGGTTGAAAAAATCAATCAGTATTTGATAACCTGATATTTTATGAACGACATGGATTCATTTTGGGCCAATAATTGTGCTATCGTGCGTTAGTAACTTTTCCATTTGTAGAATACAAAGTCCTAGAATACCACAAGTTTCAACTACAACGCCCCCCCCCCCAAAGTGTTGGAACACCCTAACCATCTTCTCTACCCTACGTCACAATTAATAAATGTTGGATACAGGCTAGAAAAAGACGACAAATGAAGGTGGGATCGGAAACAGTATGTCGGATGTTTAGCGAAATATTCATCTCCCCCTCAAACATGATTCAAAGGAGAAGAGGGATCGGTCTACTTGAAATAGAAAATAAAGAAGAAAATATGCATTCATTACATTCGCTATCTCGGTGTTCCAACTACTTTTTGTGGCCATGGTAGGTTACGTGCCTACCATGTTGAGCAGGGGCGGACACTTGGTCAAATATTGGGGGGAAAGCCTATTGTTTTAATAAGATGACGTCACATTTCCCATTGTTTTAGAACACAAGACCATTTTCCCCCAAGTATTGGGGGGCGGTGGTGGCCCCCCTCACCCCTCCAAGTGTCTGCCATTGATGTTGAGTTCTTTTCAGTTTATTTATGTTCCCAATATTTTCTTACAATGACATTTTCATTCCTTGACAGCTGCCCGGAAGGCTGGAAAATCAGAAGGCAAAGGGGTCCCGCTCCCGATTATTGCCGGCATCGCAGGGGCCCTACTGATTCTGGTTATTCTCGTTGTCATTATCATCTTGTATTTACGGTGAGTGCTGGTTACCTCCTGTTCGGCTCTTTGTGTCAACGCATCCTCTTTCAAAGTAAGCAGGCCTTGCTAACATTAACGAGATCCCAGGGGCGCAGACTAGAGGTATATTAAACACCATAAGGAATTGGGATGTCTTATAGCCAATATTCCATATGAATTTAAAACCTGAGAGGAGACCTAAGGCACCTGAAAAATTTTGTAGCTGGAGCCATTTAATAAACATATTGTGCACTTAGACGGGGTGTGCGCACGGGATAAGATTGTTTTTACTACTTTCCTACTGAGAAAGTGACATCGTCAAGTAATTACGGTAGTTAAATGTTTTATAAGGGTATTATTCTGCCAAGATTTTCAAGTGCCCTGCGAGCCCGTATCATTTGGCATGCTGTTGGAGAGTATGCCAGCCCCTCCCAACATCCCTACCCCACCTTTCGGCGGATTCCCCCTAATCCTGGTCACTCTTAATTTGCATTCACATTTTCAAACAGCTCGGGGTCAGTCATCAGACGCCGATCCAAGGACAAGAAAGAGCCATACGACATCGAGCTTTCAAAGTTGAGACCCAAAATGGATTCAAGTATGTCTTTCTTTTTAAAAATGTCCACTTCATAATTTAATCCCGAAAATGCTTACAAAAGTGCCAGTAATTTCATGTGTATTTGTGTTGTAGGAGCTAAAGGTCGAAAATCAATGCATGTAGAAAGTCCAAAGTGTTTTGAAGTCAAATGCATTACTGACCTACCATTTCATGTTTACCTTAGCTCAACGCACAAGCACAAACCGATTATCAAAACTGGCAAAAAATATTATTTTCAATTACCATGTAGTCTTCCGTGCTTTATTGTAGGTGCGGGGGGAGGGGTCAATTGCATATTTTGAAATTTTTCACCCTCAGTAGCATTTTATAATGAACCCCCAGATTTAGAAAATTATGAAAAAGACCTCCCCCCATTTAATTATAACCCTTTCATATTAGTGACGCAAACTTCAAAAATAGACCATCAACCAGGAACAAAATGCAACGGTAAGCTAATAAACACAGTATTTTTAATATCAACTATAAAAGTGCAAACTCTTGGTCTACCATTCCCATATTCTGCTATCAAATAAATGACCTTAATTTTGATCCTCCCATTTTATTATTAACAAAAACCGGTTAACAAAAACCGGTTAACAAAAACCGGTTTACAAAAACCGGTTAACAAAAACCGGTTAACAAAAACCGGTTAACAAAAACCGGTTAACAATAACCTGTTCATGATATCCGGTTAACAATAACCTGTTCATGATATCCGGTTAACAATAACTGGTGAACAATAACTGGTGAACGATGACCGAGTAACAATAACCAGTTAGCAATAATTTTTTGAAGCCTTTTTAAGTAGCAGCTGAGGTTTGGTAAATCTTGGGAGTTTTATCCATTTTGACATCTTTTCCAGCTCAACAAAGACCGGCCTCTCTTACCGGAGATTTCCCGTTGCATCCGGATCATGCACCAGTTACATTTGCAAATTACGGAAAATACGTGGCAAAAATGCATCGCAGTGAAAATACCGGCTTTAGAGTAGAGTATGCTGTATGTATCAATTCATTTTAACAATGTCAGTTGCTCTTCAATCGATAAATATAGCGAAAAACGATAATTCGCCTTTCCAACCAAAAGACGGAAACACTATCTTTTTGGAATGGTTGGCAGAAATATCTTCAATATGATTGGCAACATTATGTTTTTACTTTAGCGCAATTTTGAAGTCTTGAAATTCATCTGAAAGAAAGTTTCCAGTATATTTTCTCCCAGATCCCGTTCAGTTAATCATCTTAGTTGTTATCAGCTAGATCAGTTCAACTGAATTTTCGTACTAAAACTATACAGATTTAGAAAATCGCTTCTGTCATTGTAGATGCTATGTTGACGGGTCTCTTTATCTTTACCTAAAACCAAGTTTTGTAATGAAGGGTAATTTGCAATTTTTGGACAGTCAACGAGGAGAATTATCTGCAACTCATTCCACTTTATTTACCTTAGAGCGCTATTTATTGATGATTCCGTTTTTTACAGCAATTAGAAATGGGAAAGGAATTTTCCTGGGAGAATGCCCACCAGCCGGAAAATAAGCCAAAGAACAGATTTGCGAATATTGTTGCATGTAAGGCTTCTAAATTCTAATTTTTTTTGTAAATTTTGTATCCGCCTTGTCCTTCCAGAATGTTCAATAATTCTAACGGTTATGATCGGTTTCTTAAGTGATATTATCTCAAAAAATATTTTAGGCATTCCCCCAAAAGTGCAAAATCATTTAAATGTTGTACGAATCTAGCTGAGATATGGCCACGTGTGCACAGTCTCTTTCCCGATCAAATCCCTGTAATTTGGTCTCTGTTCATAGCTTTATGAACAGAGCTAAAGTCAAAGTAATCCATTAGCAAATCTTTTACTTTGAATCTTCAAATAGTTTTCTTCAAATCTTTCATTGGACATTTCTCACCCGAGTTTTGACACATTTAACTGGTGTTTGCCACTTTAGGAGTACACTCATTTTTTATAAGAAACTGGCTATAAGAAAAGAGTACTGTACTGTCAGAAAAATTAAGAAACTTCAGTACTCGAAGCAAAAAATTAAGAAACTATTGAATCGTGATAAAACTGAGAACAGCAAAACTTTGTGATATCTAAGAACTTGATTGCCATGATGGCCTGGAAATTAAGACACATGGGATGAAATTATACTTTCCACATCTAAATACAGCATCAGAACGGAAGCGAATCTTTTGACGTGATATAAAAGATAACGAATATTTCATAACATCATTCATGACAACATAATAAAGAAACTCTTAAGAAACAATGAGTGTTGAAATTTCCAGGACATTAAGAAACTGGAGTACTCAACATCGATCTTTGTTTCTTATAAAAAAAAGAAGTGTATTTCTTAGTTATCTTATAGGTTATGTGGTCAAAATCGAATGATTCTAAAAATATATTTTTATGACGTCACACTTTAGAACTCTTTAATGATAATCACTATTAACCGTCATCAATCATCATCATAATCAATCAAAATAAATCATTGCCAATCATTGTCAATCATTGTCAATCATCTGCATCATTCTCATCAGTTATATCATCAGTAACATACTCTTTCTAGATGACCATGCACGTGTGATACTAAGAAGGTTGAGAGGAGATCCAACTTCAGATTATATAAACGCCTCTTACATCGATGTAAGTATTCCTTGCAACGATTTTCAATGTTGCTGCTCTTGTGTCAGCTAACAGAAACTTTGTATTCAATATTCGTTTTGTTTTTCAAACCAACTGTGCGGAAACCAAAATTATCTTGAGATCTTCGTCCCTCTTTAAATGTAAATAATTTCTCGCAATTAGTGTAACGTGGTAAAATCGAATAAGTTGTCTCGGAGATGTATATTTGGAATAGATATTATCCGATTATGATACAATTGTATGACATCTAGTAAACCCATTTTAATCTCAATTCTGGTCACCAAAGAAAGAAGCGGCACTGATCCCTTGTTTCATTTGGTCCCGCACTCGCAGCTTAGGTGTATATAAAAAAGTAGTCGTTTATAGTAAAACTAAGCTTTTTTTGAACATCAACATAAAAAGATATTGGTCACGACACATGATGAGTTGAACAATGGTCTAGACCAATAACAAAACATGTAATCAGTGCATGGTACTGATCACAAGACCCTGTGATTTGCCCTAATTCACAACATATTCAATCAAAGCTTTCACTTGGCTTCAATTTACTTCATATTAGGATCATATTTATGCACAACTTTTATGTATTTGTATATAAACACAATTTTTTCATTTATTCTCTCTCTCTACTTGAAACAGTGCCCTATTTTTCAATTGAACTTTTAAATTTCATTTCAGGGTTACATGAAACCCAATGGATACGTTGCCACTCAAGGTAGGCCAAATTACTGGCAGCTTCTCCTCGTGACGTAAACATTTTCAGACGAACAAAAGCAGGTTTGCTTGGTCAAGGGCTACAGTTGCCGAAACTAAAACTTCATTTTATATGATGTCATTTAATGATACAAGCCAAGAACAGATTTATTTTGCCTCTGGTGGGAGATACATTTACGCATTCTAAGGATGGAATAAATTTTTGTACGAAGGCTCACAATGCCTCTTTTCGATATCTTATCGTTTATCTTTAATATCTCGCCAGGTTTGCGACGAATAAAGCTTGAAGTATGCAATTGAATTTTCTAGGACCATTGCCTGGTACTTTCAATGACTTCTGGCGCATGGTATGGGAGCTAAGGTCAAGTGTGATCGTCATGCTAACCAACTTGCAAGAAAAAAATAAGGTATGGGCTAATGATGTTAGTTTCAAAGATTCTTTTAGTTTGACGAAGAAGTACTGACTGCTTTATAGCAGCAATATTTGCGTTTACTTTTTGACTTTATTTAAAGACTATTTTTTGAGGACCTATATCAATCATGAAGGTTGAGCCAACGGATCTCAGATACTGCATAAATGCAGAAACAGGCATTTGAGAACATGTGGTCTTTTGCAGCTAGACCTTTCAAGAGGGCATGACTTTTGGACATTATCATGGCAACTGACTTTTACATGATAACTCGTATAAACCAGTGATGTATTTATATAACTGTATCTGTGCATTGGAGGTAGAATTCGCCTTCATTCTACCTGAACTACCTCGTCCTTCCAAACCGTTTATGCATTATTGTATGGTGCTACAAGTTTACACGATGTTTATCAGCCTTGATTGCTAAATCTCTCTTCGTCTTGTTTTTATAGCTCAAATGTCACAAATACTGGCCAGATGACTGTATTGAATACGGGGACATTCTTGTCACTTTGACTAGAAAGGAAATCTACGCTGACTATTCAATCAGGACATTCTTATTAGAAATGGTAAGTTGTTGTTTTGCACATTATTAGGCTCCTGCGGAATTTCAGTAAAGTATTCCTTTATAGTTTAAGGACCACACTAACAAGAAAGGCAGGCCTTAGATGCCAAAAAGAGGCTTCATTACCTCTTTGTGAAATTGCTATAAAAGAGCGTTGGTTATTCCGACGTCGTTCTGTAATATCATTTTGGAATGCTCCGGGAGATCTCTGATTGGGAATTACGGTAGGTAGAACGTAGAAGTTTAGAGAATAACGTTTTGAGGAAAAGTAGAGCTCAGCTTTGTGATGTCACAGCTGTAGCGGGAAATTTAATCTTTGTATTAATGCATTTATAAGCACTATTATATGGACTGCTATACAGCTTTTCACATTAGCACTCGCATTCTTTAACAGACAAATTCACAAGAATCGAGAGAGGTGAAACATTTTCATTTCACTGTATGGCCCGACCACGGAGTACCAAAGTACGCCACAGCAATTCTCGCCTTTAGACGAAGGGTGCGCTCTTACCAAAACCCGGACTCAGGACCAACACTAGTACATTGCAGGTACGTTCATGTTTATGTTAAAGCAAGAGAAAGATACTCTTTTTTGCAGTTATATTGTAAGTCAGTCCAACGTACTTTATAGTGCTGCTTTCTTATCCAAAGCTATTTTGATTGACAGCACAAGTAAGATACCTTTAATTTAGTGTTTTTGTTCAATTTCATTAGGGAATTTTTTTAACAAACGAGGTCATCAAATAAAATTTGCTATGAGGCCTTAAACCTTGTCTACAATTTTCTGTACCATGTAGGCTATTATGCGGGGCTTCATTCTCTAATGGTAGTTATTCACGAGTGCTGATGTAGTTTAATGTAAAATGGTCTGTTTTTAGCGCTGGTGTTGGAAGAACCGGTACCTACATAGCATTAGATGCGATGCTTGACAGGATGAACGGCCAGAGTGACGTCGATATTTTCAATTTTGTTGCTGCAATGAGAACAAGGAGAATTGCCATGGTTCAGACGGAGGTAGTTTTTCATTTGCGTTTATTGCTGTGGTGTAGGTTGATCCTGTATGTCCTAAATATCGCAGAGGTACCTTTGGAGGCAGTGAGTCATAGATAACTCTTGGATGTGCGCGATGTTCTTTAATCAGCTTTTGGTTTTTATTGTTTGGTGCATATAGTGCTGCCATGTCCTAATATTGAATCATTCTTCGTACATAAAACTGCGGCTTTAGAAATTTATTTATTAATAAGATATGTTTTTACAAGTTACAATGGGTGTTCTCAGTGAAAATCCTATTTCAAGTCATCTGGCAATCCTAATTGTAAACATTTGGCTAAAGCTAAAACAACTTTGCTGCAATTTCCAGAGCAGAGTTTCTTACAAGATCACAAAACGACATGGTATTAGTGCCAATTCTTTTATTGCCTCAGTTAAGAATTGCTCTTTTTCCATCTAAAGCAGAAGGCGTCGGCCCAAGTCGAGCTTCATGGCTTGCGCCAGGCCAGGCCTACTTTTTCAATAAATTTCTCGTTTCACAAAAAATTGGCAATAGGTTGTTATTGAAGGCTCTTTCATTCTAGGAACAATACATATTCATTCACGATGCGTTGCTGGAATCAGTTCAGTGTGGAAATACAGAGATAACCGCCCAGGATTTGAGAATAATGATTAATAGGTTGGAGACAATTTCACCAGAGACGAACATGACTGGATTCGAGAAGGAATGGAAGGTGAGTTCTGAAATCTCTATCCTTCAGCTAGTTTGTTTTTTAAAGTATATTGATAATGATAAATGACTTTGCAAGTTAACCCAGATGGCAAATTCAATAACCTATCCGAAAGTATTTTTGACATCACAAAATCATTTGGTCGTTGTTTGGTATAAAGAAAATGGCATACATTTCTTGCTGCAAAAATTTAGTTCAAATAGTCAACAAATGCTGCATAAATTTCATTTCAGAACATAAAAACTCAGTTTTGAATATCCTCATCGCAAACAGCTTCAGATAATCTGTTTGATGCGTTGAATTTTTTCCTGTGATACATGACATTTTGCTAGTGTGATGCACTTCATTAACTTATTTGAGAAAGATGTTGTGTTAAGAAAGATGCATTTTCGACAGATACTGAACAACGTCAGTCCGATCCCCCCGAAGTCTTCTTGCAACACTGCAGCATTACCAGAAAACATGGCGAAAAATCGTAACCAAAATGCTTGCACATTGCCTGGTAAGTTTCTCGATACTCTGTTGGTTACCTCTGTTAGTGTCAGGGAAGGAAGATCTATGGGTTTCCTAAGTTATTCTTTGTATATTGTGTTTTTTCTCAATCAGTTTGACCTCTTTTCGCGACCCTCTTTAGCAAGCTTCTGTAAAGCTAAGGTATAATGCTCGTATTTCTCCAAAAAGGGGTCTAACACGTATTGCTGCTGCATGCACATTGCATCAAAAATGCACCGTCATTATTATTTTTAAACTCGCCAAAAGGCAAAGAAGTAAAGCGTTAAAAAGCTATTGTTTGGGCGTATGCTGTTGGTCCAAGCACCACATATAGGCATAGATTATTGGTAGGGCTTGCTGTATATTATTCGGGGTCGTATATTAACTTAGAAATCAGCAGCCATAAGTGTCTCTTAATCATGTGGAATATCTTGTATTTCAGCTGACAACAGCCTCGTTCGGTTATTGATGATAGAGGATGACGAAGCGACAGCATACATAAACGCTGTCTATGTAGATGTAAGTCACTCGATCCCCCTTTTGATAAAACTCTCTATAGCTGTTGCTGTTGTTGTTGTTCTTGTTGTTGTTGTTTCAAATTTTCCAGAAAGTGATTGCTGATCCTGACGATTCCATTTCCAACACTCTGTTTCTGCCTCATAGTTTAAAACATTAAAAAGCCATTGCTCTGAGTACTTCACGATTGGAGAAGCCCCCTGCTCTACCAGATAGCTTCATCAAAGATTCAAATATTCGTTGGGGCAAATACATTGCCTTCTATAAAAGTCCCTTTTGTGACATCACACACTTGCCTATGATGCTAACAGAAAAGCAATGAAAACGGCGAATAAGGCTTAAAACACCTTTTAATAGTAAAACAATTTTTTACAGCACAATGGAGTAGTTTTTGTTATCAGTTTTTTTAAGCTACAGATGCTTGATAAAATAGCAATGCGATGAGCCTCTCCCCGTGAATAACTTCTTTTTTAGCCAACCTATGCATGAATCTTTATATTATAAATAAGCCCATCTCTGCCCTCCTCCCACGGGTTAGGGTTTATTAAGTCTACTGTGTAAGCCATGATGGTGTATCCTAAACATATTTTATCTGTTTTTAACTGAATGTTTTAGAGGGTTTTGAATTGATTTGCTCTCTGTTCCTAATTTTGGTAACATGTTTATTGTTTCTGGTACATTTTTTCTAGTTTTGACTAACCATTCGTTATCTAGATATCTGAATACCTTCTTTTCGGTTCGTCTAGGGGTACAAGCAAAGAAATGCTTTCATTCTTACACAGTCACCCTTGAAAAACACAGTCATGGACTTTTGGCGCATGCTTTGCGAGCACAAAAGTGCGGCAGTCGTTCTTTTATCTTCACCGGACGAGGGCGAGGTAGATAAGACATTTTATTTGATTTATGAAATACGGTGAAGTATACTACAAGTGCTTAAAAGATTTCCTTCTCATGTCTGCAACTGATGATTCCTTTAAATCTTGAGCCTAAGTTAAAGACACGAATAATTGTAAGGAACATTTTCCCATTGCAGCAAATCGTTGTTTCCAGAGGCTGAATTTCCTAAAACTTCTTTCTGTCTTGTTTTTTGCAAGCATTACATCGTGTTTTTAAGGCCACTTTTATTAGTAACAACAAATTTTTTGTTTGGTTATGTCAGTTTCTTATTAATGTTTATAATTTCATTTTGTCTGTAAAATTGGAGATTTATTTTTCTTCAATAAAATTGTTTTATGGTGGATAACAGTTACCGTGCATTGTTCACAGGATTTCGTTAAGTTTTGGCCTGACAAGCACATACGAGAATACGAAATGATCACAGTGGAATGTTTATCGAAAGCAATCGGAAGCGAAGAGGCTTCATCGAGGATGGATGCCAGACGAGGGGACCCTGACCTCATCATTCGACAATTCCGCGTTGAAGACACCAGGGTAAGGTTGCTCCTTCATTATCTCTTATATATCAGCGACCTCTCCTATTCTATAACGGACCAATACCTACTCTCATGTAGATGTTTACCTAATTCAGGCAAATAACAAACCCACCATTGTTCAACGCAAGTCGTTCTTGGCCTGCATCTGGACCTAAATCAACTTTTATTATTTGGGCATCATCTGACTTGTGAGGTTTATTTATTCTCTACGTGGTATCAGAAGAAAGGTTATTTTCTATGATGCGTAATGTCTCCCATTTTTCGTTTCACCTTGAAGTTTTGTATTATGAAAGGCTATGTGATATGACCTATCAAGATATTTACAAAAGCTTTGAAACTAAACCTGAAGTTGTTTATATGCAGATATTGTATTCACTATCTTCCTATAGACGTATTTTAGCTGTGATTTTGAATAGTAAATCGGCCCTTAGCAACTTTATCTTAAACAGCTGCTGATCGATTTGAAAGCCATGTCCCTCTATACTGGCATCTCCAACTGTTCAATGTTTTTTATTTCACTTTAACATTGATGGTTTCTCTGCGAACTATGTAACAGTCTAGAATTTTCTCTAGAACCCAGATTATCCTATGATGGTGAAAATGTTCCAGTTTTTTGGTTGGACAGAAACTAAAGTGCCAGCAAATTGTTCGTCAATCATTCACTTGATAAATCAGCTAGAGAGATGGCAGCAACAGTCTGGGAATGGCCCTGTGACTATAATTTGCAGGTAATACGTCTTACGATGCCTGCTAACTAGAGAATCATGTCCGCATGAAATTCTGTTAAAAGCGCAAGATTTTTTAATTGCCAACAGAAAACAGTCAGCGTCCTTTGAAACGACAAGATTTTATAAATATCATTGGTGCAATTTCTAAGGTCTGGGTTTTAATGTGAAGTGGCGATTTTCTGTAGCTGAAAGCCAGCTAGATAGTAAAGTGCTAGGTAAAGGTGTCTGTAGTCCGCGGTGAAATTGGAAAACTTCCAAGGTCTATGGCAACTTCACTGTGTACAACCATGTTTTTGTAACAGCTCGTAAACGACCAAACAGCGTTGGTGTTACGAAAGGTATCTTTCTGTCCAGTTCAGTGACAAGGCTTTAGTTTTCAAGTGTCATTGTTGATACCACGAGCTGAGCTTTGTTTAAAAAGCCTTATTTAATTTCACAGATATGCCATCTGTTGTGAAAAATGCTAAGAGCTTAGATTTCAGTGCCCACCCCCCTCTCCCCCCACCTTGTCGCTCTTCGTGGTTGTTATTTTGGATGCATGAATCTTCCAAACGATCTCGACCCCATGTGTCTATTGGATTTTAATCCATACTTCTTCGGATAAAAAATTTTTTCCTAATGAGCTAACACATAATTAAATATTTTTGCAATTCTTTGCAGCGATGGAATAGGAAGAAGCGGAACATTTGCCGCGTTGAATGCTGCCATTGAGAGAGTGAAAGTTGAACAGGTCGTTGACGTGTTTCAAGCAATCAAAGCTATGCGAATACAGAGAGCCCATGTTGTTAAGACTTTGGTATGTTCAATTATAATTTTAATCCTTTTTTTAATCTATGCATTTTAAATGTTTATTACTCAAATTGCAAATTTTCATTTTTCAGCACCAACGGGTTTCTCTTTAAATTGCCAAAAATGTATCCTCTGGTTTGCTTTTACATCTTGAAGAGTAACCCTCATTTATTACTTTTAAATCTGAAAAACGCAAAAGAGCGTTAGTTTGATATTTACTGCATGACAATGCTGAGAATGATATGTTGTTGTTGTTGAAAATAATCAGTGGCATTTAGCATGATGTTGGCAGACGTTTATAGAGTTCTTAAGTGTGACGTCAAGGAAATATATTTTGAGAATTTTGACCACATAACATAAAAGAACACCACACAATTGTTTTAAATGTCCAAAATTAGTTAAGTGTGTCAAAATCGGGTGAGATATGGCCTATGAAAGTTTGAAGCTTTCTAACAGATTCTGTCGTTTTGGCTCAGTTTATAAAGTAAGAAGAGAGACCAAATATCATGGGTTTGATGGGGAACGAGCATATGCTTATGTGGCCGTACTTCTGCCAATGGATAACACGTTTGACTGATTTTGCACACTTAGAGGTATTTAATGATGTTCTGTCAGTTTATGGGATCCAAATTCAACACTTCGTGATAGGTTTTTGTGACGTCATCACTTAAGAACTCTGTTGTTTATAGACATGTAGACATTTCCGGTGTAATATGCGTTTTGGTACCCTATGCAAAAGTGTAATTTCATCGTAGTGTTATATTATGACACGTCATAATTAACAAATTGAACACAATGCTTTTTGAGTTTAAAATTTCACACTTTTCAATCAAGAAAACTGTGGAGTCGCCATTAATGTTGAACTTACAGTACCGCTTCTTGTTAGTACCCTGTTGTTAGAAAAAGTTCGATTGTTCTTTATATTCTGAAAAATATGAACCAGAGCATTTGTGTTCCCAGACCGGTTCGCATGCTAAATTCCACCATTCGTTTCGGTTCCCTGTTTTTTAAAAGCTTGGGTACGTTTTTGTATAAGCAAAATTGTCATGCGTCTGTGTATCGGGACCGTTTTGCATGCGAAATTCCAAGTTCGTTTTGGTACCCTATTGTTTAAGTGCTTAGGTACGATTTTGCGTAACCAAAATTGTCATGCGTTTGTGTACCCGGAGCGAAATGCATATGACACCGGCTTCAAGGTTCAACAATGATAAAAAGTTTAGTAAAGCACTGACAGATATCAAGGTTCTTTTATTCATTATTTCATGTTAAAGTTAGTGATTGAAACTCAACATGTTTTTTTCTTTGTTTGTAGGACCAGTATAGGTTTGTTTACAACTCCGTTGAAGAATATCTGAATGCATTCGGTGACTATGCTAATTTCAAGTAAGCAAATTTGGAAATTATAAACGAAGGTGCGAACCGTGTTATGAAGGTAATTCAAGATAACGTGTTTTGTAGGGAGGGTAGATTTTATGCAATATTTGCTCATGAATGCGAATTTTTAGAAATTAGAAAATAGGGTATTAGATCATGCAATGCATTTAAATTTTTTGTCGAGTTAACTTTCTTGGTTAAAGTGTTAGGTCCGAGTATATTTCGTAGCGGATTTACTTTGTTTGCTGTTTAACAAGCAATGTTGTCGTTAGAACAAACGGGGATAAACCCTTTTTGTTTCCTCTGATTGCCCCTACCAAGATTCTGGTGTGGGGAAAAGCGATGTTAATGCCGCCTTCCACATTCGTTAACCTTGTGAAAATACTCAGCCCCAAATACATGCAGTCGTAATATTGCGAGTGATGGAAACTCAAAGCAACATCAGGTTGAAAGCTCTTGACTTTGGTTCCTTTTAATCTACAGGTAAAGCCAATGCTTTTAATGTTAAGTGTTGCAAAATATATTTTTATTCTTTTTCACATCACAGATGATAGGCGCATAGACATGCTCGTTTTTGCATTTCGGCGGTTAGTTCTTGTTTACATTTTCAATTATTTTTTGTATTTTCGTATATCTAATGTAAATTACAACTACATTCAAATCGTATATAAAGATTTAAAAATATATATTGTCATTAGCAGTTGAGTTGAAATTTTGTGTATGATGGATTTTTTGTACCTCGAAACGCACTACTTACGTGTATAATTAAGTTGATATTAGTCCCTAGCATTTCAAAATACGACATGTATGCTTTTAAACAGATTTATATTTTTCTGAGATTGCTTTATATCGAGTATGAAGATTATAGTTTTACTTTCAACAGTAGGTACGAAATTTATTACGTCATGGCTTCTTACCGTTAAACCCTGTGGTATCATTCTTTAACGAAATTCATATTGGGGGGGGGGGGGGTCTCATTCATTACCTGTTATGAAGGAAACATACTGCAGTTTGACAATTATTTGAAGCTCCAGCCCCCCCCACCAGACCCCCGGTTCCCACGGGCCTGTCTTATAAGCAGAAATTCATTTGAATCAGCCTGCTAACCTAACTTTTCTGTTCCAATCAACCTTCAATCCAAACTTCTTGCTGTCTGAACTAGCCCAACATTTTGGTTTGAAGTGAGGGGTAAAGCGTTCCATGGAAATCTCGTACACCTTTGTTGAAAGTCCTTTCGTTTTATCAAAATATCCTTAGAAATCCTTTTGTTTTGATGGAAATCTCGTTCGCTATCTGTAAGAGTGAATTGTCCCTCCGCTAAAAGCAATGATCAGAATTATCATCAAAGAAATTAAGTTGGAAAAGGGGGCTGTATAATCCGTCCAAGAAATCTGTACATTGATTTCCCATGGTGTTGGAAGTGCCGGTGATTTTGAAAAGCCAATGATCATACTCAAGGCATTTCATTCATCAACGTTGTTGAAAGTTTTGTTGCAATAAATAAAAGTAAGATCGACATGCGACCGTTTATATTTAAAGTAGTTTAGTTAGCTCGTGTTTTTAGTTGCATGTAAATTTGATTCGTAGTCTGTATATCAAATGTACAAATTATATGATCCGCTAACCTATATCCTTTTCAAAGGAACAACAAACGGCTCAAAGGCTAATATCATTCACACGGTATAATCGATGTAAGCTCGCATGCTTTAAGTTAAGTCATCCTTTTCTAGTCCATAGGCATCCGGATTATTCAAGCAAAAATATCACATGATGTTCTTGTTCTGTGTTATCTCTTCTTAACTCTGGCGACAACTTTGATAAATATTTTGTTCATTCTTGAACCCAATGTACGTATAAATGCATAACCAAATGAGGCAGGGGTTGGGATCCTGGGGGCTGTTACCCCCTAGAGTTGAATCAATCATGAAAAGTCAAAGTCACTAAGGCATAGATATCGTCGATTATCATGCAATATATAGGCCAGTATTCCTGATGACGCGTCCATGACTGAGGATGATCAAGGCTCGTGTTGGGATCTTCGTAAATATACCACTTTTAGTAGTTTTCAACCAGAGGGATGAAATTATACTTTAGAAATAACATTCAAATGTAATTGAAGATGGCTGTCTCATTTTTGCAGTTTGAAATGTGAAATGTGATTAACGTCGAAATACAGCACTTTCCCAATTTACCAGTGGGTATTCCCAACCAAATACAACAAAGTAACAAATAGGGTTGGGGGTTAATGAAAATCCAGTAGAGCGGCAACATGATTGAAGAAAGCCCCTCGTCTGTCTGTGACCGTACTGACGCTTCATCTCAATGTCTTTTGAAATGTACAAGTAATTTTCCGGGTATCGCACAACTGGCATCTTTTCATCATAACTCTGATTTGGGGAATAGGCCAGGCCGTCACGATAACGGACTTTAAGTCTGTCACCAGCCCCCTGACACAATGGTATGTTGGTAAATTGCTGCTGTCGTCAGCAAATCTCCACTCGAGCGAAAGTTTAACTCTTATTACCACACCTACAGGAATTATTTCACGCCTATGTTATTAGTAAATTCTGTATCCTCCTCAATAATTGTCAAACTGTTTTAACTTTCCTTATTATAGTGTACTTAATGGGAAGCATTAAATGGGCAGCCCCCAATATGACTTTCGTTCCAATGGCGCTGTTTGCGAAGGTCCCAGGCACTCCCAGCGGATTTTGTGGCCTCCTTCATTATCCCATTTCGGTTTCCAAACGAGGTTTTCTTCAAAACAAATCAATCTCTGCATTCTGCATTACCTGCTGGTGGGTTGAGAATTCCGTCTTGTTGAGGTAAGAAATGAGTTTTTGCGTTCATTATTAAGTATAGAGAAATGCAATGATTAGCTATTATAGTAATTTTTGTTCATTCTAAGCTTTATAAAAGCGGTGCAATTCAAGGAAGCATAAGAAATTGCTAGAACAAACCAACGCAACAGGTGTGGACTTTGACCCATGGTCGCATGTTTGGCGTTTATTCAAAAAATCCTTACTTCTCTAAGCAGCATCAAATATTATATAAAATGATTCAGTTTTTCCTTAAACGAAAAGGGTTGGTTTTTGGAAAAACTCTGTAACTTGTGGACTGGTCGCTGTTGTTTTGATATTTGTTGTGTTTTGATATACTACATTGAAATTTGACGTTCCCGCCCAAATATTGGTTGCAGAGTTCCCTTTTGACTAGAGTACCTTTTAAACCGCCCAATTTAGATTCATATGAAATTCTGACTTTAGTGCTTAATTCATGACGACATTTCTCCAAACTTACAAAATAAATCTTTATGCCAAAAGTTAGCCAATTTTTAAGATGCCTACAGAAGATCGAAATAAAATGGCAGTTAGTAGAAGGAATTAGTAGAAGCTAGGGGTTATTTTACTCAAGCTTGCCCCCTTGTCCTTTGGTCATTTTGGCATCCCTGGACTTGGTTATATACCAGAAAAATTGATGGTGCCGGCACACCCACCAATTTCAGGTTATTTTTGCAAACCAGCACTTGAGGTACAGGGCTGTTGGTGCACCCAAAGTCTTATTTTAATATTTATATTTTATATAATATTAATATTTATATAATATTTTAAGAACATTTATTTACATTCATGTATTCATTGTGAAAATCTTGCTGTGCCTTACAGTGCAATAATCTTAAACATTTGTATGACGCTATTTAAAGTAAATTATATTGTTCAATTATGGAGGCTATGAAACTGACACTTTCAAAGCCATTATGTTTTTGTAGCTATAAGCATAATCTCAACTGAAAAGCAGTTAAAGGGAAGTTCTTGGTTTGTTCCAAATCTATTTTCCATTTTATTTGATTTGAACAAGTCCAAACACAAACCACTTTTTGCTTTTTGTTTACAAATTTCCAAGAGGATCCTGTAGGTGCTTTAGGTTTGTTGACTACTCTGGCAAGTTGAGCATTTGTTGGGAAGAACTGACATGTAAATCAAAATTTTAACACGTTCATACATGTTGGGCTTTGTCTAAGTTCACAAACACTATCAAACATTTGTTGTCAAAGACTCTCATACAATGTATTATTATGTTCACAACATGTGTGTGATCATGTAGATGGATTTAAGGTGACAAAACACAAATAAATACCTGTAGTTTGTTTCAGGTGCTCTCTTAAGATCTCATGGAGTACTACCACAGTTTCAATTTGCATTTATAGTATTTATCTTGTCTTCATAGTATTTATCATTTAGGAAGGGTCCTTTTGAAGGAACTGGAGAGTGTATAAAAGGTGCACCCAAGATCAACTTTTTTATAGAGCTCTTTAAAAGAAAATTGGCACATCTGGCCTTGACAAAATTTGACTTTTTGATGAGCTCACTTTGCATTTTTGGGGTAATTCAAGCCTGATTAGCTGGTCCTGAACTGTTACCACTATTTTTTCCTTATATTTATCTTATTAAAACTATAGATTTGTAATAGAGCTGAGTGAACCTCTGTAGGCTTAGCGTTTTCAAAATTTTCTGATAGACTATTCAGTCTGAACTTTCTGGTTGAAAGTTCATAGTAAGATGCTTGACAATGAAGACTTCTCTTGACATAATACCTGTTCACATTTTTACCATCCTCTTAAGTTTTAGTTGATAGACAATTCTATCAAAAATCATAAGAAAATGTTACATGAATTGGATTTTCATTTAAGTTGTAAAGGGGGGCTCAATTTTTTTAAATCTTAATATTAAATCCAGTGGGGTAGCTTGACCTTGGGGGTGAAAGGTCATGAGTAGTAAAATTTACAGAAAAAGACATAGATAAACTAAGATAATTTAAGGTGCTATTTCACCTAACGATAGGTGATTTTACTGACAAGCCACAGAATTTTTGCATCAGCTAAAAATTGACCAACAAACTCATGAAGAATTTGGGGGATGTTGCATCCCCTAACCGCCTGCTAGCTATGCCCCAGATTAATTCTCATAGCTGTTCAGATATTAGGGACTTTAAATTTATCAATTGCTTAGTAGCAAAACTACGATTTTGTTACAGAATTCATTGATAACTCTAAACTAAGAGCCTAATAAAGGTTAAAAAAGTTAAGGGATCCTTTAGTTTATAATTTTCCCCTTTTTTTAATTTATAATTTTCTCTTAAAGTTAAGGGGTTTTAACACCCCCTAGCAAAATAATTTTCACAAGAAAGGGATCCTTTAGTTCAAGGCACTCTATTTTTATATCCACTAAAAGATTACAATACAAAATTACAAGCTATGCTACATTTAATAAAATTACTTTACAACTATATACAGTATTACTTTGATGATACCCCAGGGAGCAGAAGGCTATGACTCCCATGGGACCATATGGACACAGATAATAAATCAAAACTTAGAAATTAAATATGCGACCTAAAGGAAGAACAAAATAAAATACAAAGAAAAGCGTGCGTTCTTGAATGCGTGCGATTCACACTCTTAAAAATCAGGCTACTTCGGACCCCGTTTACACAGTCCTGTTCAAAAACGGAACCGCGACAGTACAAAGTTCGTTCTCTTTCGTAACAGGATCAAAACCATTCCGGATGGCAGAGCACAATTAGCTCGGTTCCAGAGTGCTAGCGTAAACGAAAGGGCGAACCGCGACCGTTTTCTCACGGTTCCAAACTTGCAAGCAGGGCCGCCTAGAGAATTGGAGGCCCTGAGGCAAAAGGGGAGAATAAGGCCCCTGCGAGCGAAGCCCAGAAAAATTTTGCGACCACGCCCTTTAAACTATCTTAAATTCGTTCATTTGCTTAAAATGTTTTACTGTTTATGGGCATAATTTTGTTTATCCAGTTGTCTTTACACTTACTTTTAACCAATTTTATTTCAAAACAGAATTCATTACTTTATAAGGCCCCCTACACCTTGAGGCCTTTGGGCAATTTGCAGAGAGTTTGAGTCTTTCTGCTGTGTTCATTCCGAGAACATTCGGCATTACAGGACAACTACAGGGAAATATTGATTGAGACAGTGACGTAGATAAAGGGGGTTCAAGGGGTGGGGCCTTATAAAGAAATGAATTCTGTAAAGCTAAACTGCTGTTTTGTCGGAATACTTCCGATCTTATCGGAAATTTACATGGTTGTATATTTAAATCCAAATGTTACATTTTGAGAGAAAAGATTTTAAAGCTGAATATGGTGATCTCTTCTGTTGTTCTGAATCAGATTGGCAATCTCTTTCAATAAGGTATAGGACTTTAAAATGCCTTTTTTCAGAAAAAAGACAAGAAAAATCTTCGAGTAGTATGATTTATGACACGTGACCTACGTGAAGTTATGTACAAAATTTTGAAAAAATAAATGCTCTTATAAAATTTTTGTCGGAAAATCTAAATTTCTCGCCACTTTTATGAATTTTCCATCACTAGATTGATATTAACCTTGATTGTCGGAAAATCTTCTTTTTGCGGGTCTATTCTTCGCCTGCCTCTCGCATCCATGATAAAAGAAGCCCATTTTCTTTTGAGCAATTTCATTGATATTTACCCCGATAAAGGCAAAAACGGGAAGGTAAAAGTTTTGGACACTACCTGGCGACCGCCATGTTTCCGGGAGAACTTGAACAAAGCAAAGCGATAAGCCACGATAGAGAGCAAAATAGGCACTATTTAAAGATTTAGCCGATGTTGCTGAGCTTATGAAAAACAAAACTTCCAATGTTTCGTTGAAGAAAACAATTTTATTCAAGTCAAAAACGACGGTCAAATATACAACTCATGTGTGCGATCAATCGCTCGCATTATTGGTGCCATGCGTGTGCTGATGCGTGCGCGTGCGATCGCACGCATTAGACGACAAAGACTGGACTTCTGTATCATCTATACAATTGTTTGGAAGGCACATTGTGTTTATGCTATCCTGAAAGTTGTGCTTGAATTTGTGAAAATTTAATTTGCCATGACCAACTATGTGTTCAGTGAGATGTGATAGACCTCCTGTTGAGTCATGAATGTCAAGGGTAGATCTTAGGGTGGATTTTTCATAAAAGTTTCTTCTTTAAAAACAATGACAGACGGTGCAAGTCTAGTCTCAGGATCAAGTGCATTCCATTCAGATAAGCAGTGAAGATGGAAACTGGATTTGGTTTTTTCTATTTTGGCGTTTATCTGTCCAGCGACATTGTGGTTGCAAAGGGATTAATGTAACTTTTGAGATGGCGGGATTGGATCCTTTGTATTACTGGAGTGAAATTTTTAATGATTTTGTAGAACAGAGGAAGGAGTCTACAAAAACCCTTACTGATGGGGCCCTTCAGGCTGCAGATAAGCAGTCCCTCCCTGCCCCAGGTAGTTTCCAGCTGTTTGCTTTGATGTTTGATTACAGTTAAGTTATAAGAGAATGGCTGGCTGCTATTCAGAAAACCATTTCGAGGATGTAATAAGTGCACACTAAAACATCAAAAACTTGATTACTACAATCTTCAATTGATAAGCGCTACCCCCAGAAGGAACTCCATCCTTTTGTTTATCAAGAGGATGTTCAAGAGAATGATCATGATGATGGCAAAAATTGATATTCATATTGACTTTGTGTAGACAAATAAGGATTTACTTAAACCCTTTGCAGAGTGAGTGACCCTACCAGAGCGATCCACAATCTGCATCTCTGTATGCCAATGCTCTACCAATTGAGCCACCCTGTCATGTTTTCAATTCCAAGCCAAAAGTCTTGCTATTTACACAAAGTGCTCCTTCTTTACCAAGTAGATATTGTGTGTAAAGTATTAGGAAGGGAGCATATTTTCTTTCCTATTCTCATGCTAAGTATCTTAATGCTCTTATGCTGTCAAAACCATAAGGACTAGGCCCCTTCTCACTGATACACAATACTACCTCAGTAACATTTTTCCATAGAGAGGTTGTCAACAGAGGAATCATAAATGTCTTTGCCAGAGCCTGTTGCTGATTCTCAGCTTCCAGACTGGGCAAAGCCCAGATCTGCAGAGGATGGTGAACCTGTGGTGAGTGTTTTTTTAATCTGTATATTGTTTATCCATTTACGTTTAGGTAATGAGGAATCTTTCTAGGAATGATAGGTGTCAGAATTAGTTGGCTATGGTGGCTAATAAAATGTCTTTATTTTTATGCAGTAAGCATTAGGGTCTCTGCGTGTTTCGTTCTTACCTTGTTTTTTCTCTTTCTCTTTCTTAATTGCAACCTTCTTCACAATCTCCCTACCATGTTATTTCTTTCCAGTTTCCTTAGTTATTATCACTGATATAATTTTGTGACTGCAACATAATTTTCATGATTATTCTCCTTGCAAGTTGAGCTCCATATACAACCTTTTTTAAGTAATTGTTTTGAATTTATGCTTTGCCACATTCATTCACTGGATATGCAAATGAGATATTTCGGCAAAAATGAAATAAATTTTGGCAATTTTATTTGATGATTTTCTTTATGGACCATCTTGATATATTTCTTCAATTTTTTGCTTCAGAGGAAACTCGACTTAGTTGCAGCCCTTAAAAAAACAGCCTTTGTGCTTGGAACTGTGTTGGTCATTTTTGCATCTGCAAGAAATTCCATAACTTGGTATGTGGAGATTGTAACATTGTATAATTTTTGCTTCATTCTAGGATCGATTAAGCCGCAAGTTAAGTTGTATTTTGAATATGTGCACAGGGTTGTCAAGATCATTGGTTTAAGAGCTTCTTTTAGTAGTAAGAACAAGAGTATAATTTTATTTTTGTTGGCTAGAAACATAGCTTTTTCTAGTAAAAGTCAAATCTATTCCCCATTAGCAAGCCTAATTAGTCAATAACACCTTCCAAATTGAACTTCGTCTTAATAGCAGAATAAAGTGAGTCAGTTTAGAATTGAAATGTGTCAGGAGAGAGCCCTAAATGTGATATTTTAATTGCTGAAATTTCCAGCAATAATTGCTGCAATAGGTTTTCAAAGATACTGCTATTTGCTTTTTTTCAATTTTAATCCTTTCTTGTATTGAAGATTTTTAAATTGATTTTAGGCATTTTGAGAACTTTTGGGGTGCGTCAAAGAGTTTTTGGCAGGACAAGTGGAACGACTTCTACTGCCTGTTTGGAAAAAATGATTTTCTTTTTTCCTCTTTTGGTAAGGTTGTATGCTCTGTCTCTATAACTTCCTTTTTTAAATTAATAACAGAAGCCACTTATTGGGAGACCTTTACCATAATAGATGTCCACACATCGTTATCAGTTTTTTTAAGTGGAGCAGATTATAATTGGCAAATAGTTATTTGCCAGCAATCCTTGCTGTGAAATCTTGGGCGTTTTTCAAATTTGATAATGGAAAGTTGTATTATCCTGTTAAGAGAATTAAATTTACCTTACAGCTTATTTCTTGGACTATTCTCAGATACTAACCGACGACTTAGAATCGGAAGCAGCTATTCTTAATAAATGGTTTTATGAAAATTGTTTGGTGCTCAATGGCGATAAAAGCAAGCTTATAACTTCTAAAGCCAACCGATCCAATTTAGAGGAGTCTAAAATTTAAATAAATGGTTCTACTTTAATAGAAAGTAAGAATGTTAAACGTTTGAGAGTAACACTAGAACACCAACTTAGATTAGAAGAACATGTTAAAGTTTTTTGTTAAGAAGCTGGGAAAAAGGTAAACACTCCAGCCAGGATTGCTTCGTATATGAACGAATCTAGGCGAAAAATATTTTAATTATTGTCCTCTTATTTGGATGTTTTGCAGTAGGAAAAGTAATAACCAGATAAACCGGATTCATGAAAGAGCAATGAGAATTGCTCTTGATTATTATGAATCATCTTTTGAACAACTTTTACTAAAGAATAAAACAGTAACTTCTCATAAGAAAAATTTACAATATCTTGCGATAGAAATTTATAAAGCATTTAACGGTTTGAATCCACCTTTTATGGCTGAAATTTATGGCTTTTATTACTTAAGAAACTCCCAATTCAAAACAGCGGAGCCACATTACAAAATAAATTGATCTAATAGCGTATCATACAGATGTAGCCAAATATGGAACTCAGTTCCAAATGAGATAAAGTACTTTAAATATATTTAAGAAAAAAATCTCAAAATTTACATCGTTTAATTGTACTTGTAATCTTTGCAAGGAATATGTTAGCAACATCGGTTAAATTTGATTTACATGATATCTAGCGTTGGTAATTTAAATTAGTTGGTTTCAATTAGCTTGGATATGCATAGCTATAAATTTTACCAACTTTAAATAAAGAAAGAAAGAAAATCTTTGTACGAATTCGAAGATATTAACAATCGGACAGAATAGTAGTAGCGGGTCCCTTTTGAGTGGGGGCCAATTTCAGAACCTGGTGTTAAAAATAGGATTAAAAAATATGCTTATACGTGAAAGACCTTAATCATATTACTATTCAACTTCACAAAATAACGATTTGATAGCATTTTTGGATGTATTTACAGAAGCCATATTTTTGTGTGAAATTACTTATCCATCAAGTTAGAGACCAAGTTATGCCGCAGTTGGTCAAATTCTATTATTCAAGAAGTTATAAAAGATGAAATTTTAATCCATCACATTTAACACGATAAAACCCAATTGTAAATCAGTTTGTTTTATATTGCGACATTTTGTTTTTCAAATGATATTGGAAGAATAATTTGTTTATTTTTAAGGGTCTCTGGTTATTCCAACATTTGTTTTCTGGGTGTTTGGTGGAATACTGTCCCTGATTGCAGTCACTGGCAAGCCTAGTTTCTTAATGAAGTATAGAGTGCAAGACGACAAGCCAGTAAGTGCAAACACACTTAAAGTTCTATTCAGTTATGGTCTGTCTTCAGTTGCACAATGAGATCTTCATCTTCATTTTTCAGTGTAACGCAAACATAACGTTTCAGAAATATAGGTATACAGGTATACGTTTCAGGTATACATTTTCAAGTTACATTTTCTAGTTTGGAACTGGTCACGTTAAAATATGACATAGTTTGCTTGATTTTATGTAGGGTCTTTGTAACATTTTGTATCAATACCTAAGGTATTGTTGATTTGCTGGCAAGTCATCTTCCTAGTTTGGACTAGATTCATATTCAGTGATTTTGAGTCTCGTTTTCTAGATCGAATGGAGCAAAGTAAAGAAAGCTGTTAAAGTTTGCCTTTTCAATCAGTTTGTGGTTGGATTTCTTCTCACCCTTGTGACCTATCCATTGGTCAAATGGAGAGGCTGTGGGTTCACTGCGGAGGAGCTTCCAACATTTCAATGGGTTCTCTTGGAGATATCCGTGTTTGTATTGGTGGAAGAGTTTGGCTTCTATTATTCTCACAGGTTAGCTCATGTTTCGAAGCAATTAACAATGGCGGTTAATTGATGCAAATTTGATGTTTATGTTTACCTTTAGTTCTTGTCTATTCATATTTTTCTTTTCTTTTTCTTTAAAAGTTTAAAATTATCCGCCTGGCTATAGTTTTAAGCTTTGTTTTATGAATTTTGTCTTTTGATTTATTCTGTATTCAATGTATCCTCGCGGTTTACGATTGCCTTACTTAATGGTCAATATAGAAGAATTGAGGACTTTTGGGAGCCCGAGAGGGGAGCAGAAGTTTAACATGGCCAAAACACCGTTGTTTAAATTATCATGCCTTCCAAAATACCCCAATAGGGGCTGTTAGTCATCAGCCATTTTAAATCTAACTGTGAGACCATCTATTTATTCAGCTGCCATCAGATGATTGTTTTCTAGCACTTTCATCAGGCATATATCCCCCTCTGTCTTTCTAATTCACTGCCGTTGTTATGAATCTTTTGAAGAGATTGTAAATTTCTGAAAAACCGATTTGAGGCTGTTGTGTAATTTTGCTTGGAAACCTTGCTTATATGTTTTCTTTTTCAGATTGGGACATCACCCCCGCCTCTACAAGCATATTCACAAGACCCACCATGAGTGGACCGCTCCAATTGCAATAATTGCCATCTACGCGCACCCCTTGGAGCACCTTGTATCGAACCTGGCTCCAATTGTTCTAGGCCCACTCATCATGGGATCCCATATCGCTACCACGTGGCTTTGGTTCGTGTTGGCAATAATGTCAACGAACATTTCCCACTGCGGTTTTCATTTGCCCTTTTTGCCATCGCCTGAGGCACACGACTACCATCACTTGAAGTGAGTTCGCTAGAGTTTTTTTGTCTTTCATGTTCACCAGTGCTCCAAAAAGTATTGGAACCTACGAATTAGGTTTCAAGAAAATTTTCAGTGTTGGCAGAAAAATGATCCCATGTCCCATTAAAAAAGAGACGAGTAAGTTAAATGCAATCCAGTTGAAATTGTCAGTTGAGGAAGGCTGAAAATTTCGAAGAATTAGTGTCCAAGTATCCTCTCATTTACTTCTCAGAAAATTTTTCTCTCATTTAATATTTTCTCAGAACAAAAAGTAATTTTTTGCAGCCACGATATCCTTTGCTGAATGCATCATTCTTATTTCACTTTTACGTCGTTTCTCTCATCTCAAGAGCCATATATGTGACCCTGCTTACACTTTGCATTGAATTGCTGGCTGTTCTACACTTTCAGATTTGCCCAATTTCTTTTTTCACTTTATGAATTTCAATGAAATAGGTAAACATTGAATTGGCCGAAAATTATCGACCTTTGTTTTTTGCTTTTCATTTAAAGTTTTTATGAATTTTCCTCTTAGGTTCACAAACAACTTTGGTGTTCTTGGCGTGCTCGACAGATTTCACGGGACGGACAACATGTTCCGAAACAGCAAATGCTATGATCGCCATATTATGCTTCTTGGGTTGACCCCATTAAAGGAGAGCATCCCAGATGAGCTCAAAAAGGGAGAGTGCAAGAAGGTAGACTAGAGAATTTTGACTTAAAGTTATGGCGTCTCGTGGAATGGCGAATGTTAACTGGTGTTTTTCTTTAGCTTTTCGCTACGTCTATATCTACTCGTTTAATGTGATTTTTTGTGAATAGGTTGCTGTCATATGTCATAATTGTACATCAAATTGTGGATTTTTTTCACTTTTATTGTAGTATTTATAATTTCATTTCATTGTGATGTTGCACAATTATCAATATTATCTCTGAATAAGATTGCATAATTTATGAATTCCTGTTGTCCTTTATACTTTGTTTTAGTAAAACAATATGGCAAACAGGTTGAGAATTGTATTAAATATAAGTGCAAAAAGTTGATATCATGTAGATTATTTCCCAATTTGCATCTTCATCAGTATTTGATAACATAAGAATTGTTTAGAGAAACTCGATCATCACCATCAAATCTCAGTGCTTGACCCGAATAATGCTTTGCACTATAACCTGCGTTGTGAATTTTTACAATTTCCAGAGACGCCATTTTTCTTCAGCCTCCTACCTGTCTTTATTTCGAACGGGTATCTGTATCTGCCAATCTCATTGGTATCTGCCTTCTTCCATACGCATTCACTTTGCACTGTCTGCATTGAAGCTCCTTCGCATCTTTTTTGACGTCACATTTCCACCTCTTATCAACACGGTTTTTTGTTTGTTCTGCTTCCATGTACCAGATCATTTCCAGATCATTTGACGTCAACTTCCCTAACTGCGGTTGACAATTCTTCGACAATTCATCAAATTTCAAGTTTTTTCGAAAATAAATTGTTTCACTGCCATAAAAACCAAACTGGCCAATCAGGAATTAGCTGATGATAAAATTTGCTTTCCTGACAGGAGAACATCCTTTTAACTTAGAATATTTTAATTTGTTTAGATACAAAGGAACGATATCTTTTGAAACTATTGAACTGCAAAATTTGTTTGGCAGTCAGCAGGCAGTGAATTTCTTGAAGATATTTTGACAATGGATGTTTGGCTAATTTGTTAGCTGATTGCTAAACAGACATGCAGTGGAACCAGAAACAGCCTCTCTGCAAAAAGCCTCTTTCACCTGGCCTCACACAAAAATCTCACAAAAATTGTGATCTTGGAATTTTATTTCGTTCACCAGATACCTAAATTCCCCACTCCTTGAAAAATTTTTTGCACCGAAAACCATTTTTTTATTTTTCCGTTTCGTCCCAAATAGACGCCCCCCCCCCCCGCGAAACAAGATCCTTCGGTCTATTGGGTACCGAAGATAAAGTTTTTGATTTTTCGCTTTTCGCTATAGCGCAAGTAAGTTTTATTTCGTGATGCGCAGATTCTATTTTTTTTACATAGTGTAGAAAGAATCAAGATTAATCGTGATGAATCTTTGCATCGATTGGAAATGGGAAAGCGAACTTTTCTCGGTAGAAAACTTTGCGAGTTGTTTAGTTTGAATCTTTCTCAGTTCTGTTATTTATAGCGGACAATCAATGGCTCAGTTTTTCGGCCTTTGGAACGTTTATCTTCAGGGAAATAAGTTTTGACATTCTTTGAACCTCAGAATCTCCAATTGGTAAATACCCAAAAAATAATTTGATCTAAAAAAATTTGCCAACCATAATCCTTTATTTTCATTGTATTTAGAACAAGTACTATATTTTGTGGAATTTTGACTTTTTAATTTTTCAGGAAGATGCTTGAAAACGTTTGCTAGACCTGTTTCGTATAGTAGAGCACCAGGGCATTTTTTTACATACTTAGTGGTAGGGGACTGTCGCAATTTTCCTTTTTTCTCAAATGCCTAGACCAGTGTGGGGCCCTTTCAAAAGAACGAACATATTGCGAATTTGCTGGTCAATATATCAACGAGGTGTTTTGGTGAAATTGGGTCCAGGCACACTACCACTTGAAACGTGACAAAATACTCACAAACGTACTGCCTGTTGTGTTTTAACAATAGTTTTGTCAACTTTGTCCAATTCCTGAAAGGTTCCGTCTTCTTGCTTCATAGGCGTAGGGACAGGGAGGCACAGGGGGCACAACCTGTGCCTCCCTAATTTTTCAAAACTTTAGGTAAAATGCCCCTTTGCAGCTTACCAAGTTGCTCTTTTGCGAACTGCATAAACAAAATTTTCCCTTTAAATACTTAGGTGCTATACGAAATGAGCAAAGATAGTAAGGGTGACCTTTTGGGGCAATGATCTAGAGTGTTGCAATACGAACTGGTTTTAGCAATACCAAAACTAAAAACTCACTAATAGGGCCACCGAAAGATGGGGGCAATTGCAAATCGCCCTAGGGCCCTGAGGATTAGGAGACCCTTCAAGGTTTCCAGTTTAAGAAGGCAATTAATAAGAGGTAGCAAAATTATGCCTAAAATTTTTACAAAAATTTAAACAATTGCAAGATAATATCTCCAAAAATATTCTGAAATGTATTTTGAGCTAATCTAAAGGGCATAGTCGCCAAACGTTTTTTGCTCGCCTAGCTCGCAAATGGCCGCGCCGTACAATTTCTTGTTGTTTGCATGGCCCCTTTTGAGTAATGCCCCACTACTGAAAAATCCTTAAAAAATACCATAATGAGAAAACAAACTTTGACTAAATATGATTTTCCAACCCCTGTTTTTTCCCTTCAGGGTCCTATTTTTGGAACTTCAGCAAATAACTTCACTAGAATAAGTCTTAATATATTTTGAAAGTTTTCTCAAGCATCTGCAGATTTCAAACTTTAATAAACACATTCTGACTAAAAAAGGAGAATGTTCCAATCCTACAGTCATTCCTCTTAGTTGAATAAACCAGAATTTCAGTTTTCAAGAATTTCACCTTATAGCTTCACGAGAACAAGCTTGAATTTGTTATTTTGAATAAAAAACAATATCTCCCATCTAAATGGAAATAAGTTTAGATTTGTTTGAACAACTGCACAAATGAGAAAAAAATCTTGAGGAAGAAATTGTTCCAAGATCTCACTTTCCAAAAGGTACAGCTCTGCTTTGAAGGGTTAACATGGTATGAAAAACTGATCATAAACTTGATCAGAACAAGAAGTTAAGATTTCCAGCCAAAAAAATTTGCAGCCAACAAGCAATATTTATAGCAATGATTTTTTTTGCTTTGAGTACCTAATAATTTTGACAATGGAATCAAAACTTTTCATTAACCAGGTTTTTGAAACAATAATTCCTTGGTTTTCTTCCATAAGTTTTAAACAGAACATATAGATGAGCACAAGAAAAAGCACTTGATTCATGTTGTAAAGAATTTTGTTCTTTTTTTCAAAATTGTTCAATTTTATTTACATTTTTACATTTTTTTGGTCCAGGTTTTTTAAAAATTTACAGAATTATACTTACACTGGATACATTCAGCTTATTTACAAGCAAAACTAAACAAACAAACATGTTAAACAAACAAGTTAAACAAACAACTGGTATTGCGAAATGATACAAGGGGATAACCCAGTCATGGGAAAAAATCTGAAGTGCATGCAAAACAATACATATTCACAATAGTTAACAAAATCTAGAAATTCTGGCCATTTTAACACGGCTCTATTGCACAGATTATAAATATGGTCCCATATTCAGGGACAAAATATTACAAATACACATAGGTGATTAATGGATCATTTCAAGGTTTTTTCAACTTTATCAATAACTTACATAGAGATAGCTTTAAATGATACATCAATTAAAAGAATTATATAGTTAACAACTTTGAAAGTTAAAATGCAATAATCAAAACATCTGCATACTGAGTGGTAGAGACATAACTTCTCTATTGCAACAGCAGTGTTAAGAATCTTTCTGTGCTTGTGAATTTACTTCAAATATTGTGTAACTATCAGAAAAAAGATTTTGACAGTGCACACATTTAAAATTGTGAAACAATTCATGCTCTTTAGAAAACAGAGAAGATACTTCTTTTGTCTACGTGGAGGGGATTATCGAGCATATTTCAGAAATCTTGTAGAATTTCATTTATTCTCCAGTATGCATAAAATGACATAACTGCAAACGATCCTGTACCCAGCTAATCTAAGATCATATTTTTTATAAAAACTTATAAAACTCATCAAGTGTTGTCACCTCAACTGCCTAAAAAGCAACTGTCTCTGTGCAAAGCTCAAATGAGTGGTCCTGATAGACGTATGCAATACTGCTCCAAGACGTCTTGACAATTGTACTGTACAGAGGCTTGTCTGGATGACTTGTCTGACCAGTTGGGTTAAAACGTACTTTTCCAGACTTCCTTGTTCGCCTGATTGGTGTAGATAGAGTTTCAAAGATGTCTGGGAACTCATGTTTGTCATCAAGCCAATCATTACTGCTATCATAGACAGGCATGCAGTTTTTCTGGGTCATGTTGTTATTGTGATCATTGTCTACACAGCCTTCGTCCATCTACAAAAACAGATAAGAGACTGACATCATTTTCAAAGAAATATACATCAGGAATATATATTATAAAAAATTTACATTGTTGAGAAATAGCAGAAACATAGCACATACTAGTTATTATTTGTATAATCACCACAAAATGTCAAGCAAAATTCATAATACCACAAGATCTTCTTTTCTTTCAAAACCTGACTAATATTTATAGGAGTATTGAGCATTCATTTTATTTGTATTGTTTTTAAGGTTTTCTAGAAAACAAATGCCTTTAAACCTTGTTTGCCATACTAGCACAGAATTTGTTTAGTATGACCTAAAGGGTTAACAATAAATAGCAACATCTCCGCTGAACATACCTGTTCTGCAGCACTATCATCAAAAACATCATCACTGATCTCACTTCCTTCATAATCATTTTGATTGTCAGTGCTTTCGTAGATTGTTGGCAAAATATGCAAGCTGTTTGAGCGTGAGCTTTTCCTTCTCTTCCTTGACTTGAATTTCTTCTTGCGAAATGTTGCTTGACAATCCATAAAATCTTGGACCAGGCCCAGACAGTGCATAAATGCCCCATAATCAATCTAAACATGTAAAAATTGCAAACATTTGTGACTTCTACCCTATAAAACTTGATATATATATTTGAGGAAATATTTGAAGAAATATATAGTTAGACTGAAATAAGCAGAGCTCTCAGCTTCATTTGTGAACATGAACAATCATCAGGTGTATAAAAGAACACAAAACTAATTGCAAGCAAGATTTAATGGTAAAAATGAATGATTGAAGAGAATAAATGTATATTTATTTAAAAGAAGTAATACCATATCAGCAAACAGTTTTTCAATAACCAAAAATTAAAGACTTTATTAACATAAAGATATGTAATAGCATACTATACCCAATAAGGCAACCAGGAGTGATAATAAACATACAATTACCTGTAGGATCTTAATAACATCATCAAGAGCTGAACAAAGTGAGGGACTAAGTGGTGAAATCTCATACTGCAGCAGAGCCAGAGCCAAAGTTGAGCCCTGAAAAAGAAGACATTTTGATTAAGTTTATCATGGAATGGCTTCAACAAGAAATGGGAATTCTGACAAAATGAAGACATGAGAGCAACTTGCAAATAAAGCAAAATAACATGTCAAGACAATAAGTTGAAGTTTACCTTATGTTCTGCGAAGGAACTGTGGCAAAGCAGTCGAAGTATCTTTGGGAGAATATGTTGAACAATAGTGGAAGCAAACTCATAAGACAGGGAACCAAAAAGCTGTAGCAGGTCACAAAACTACAAAGCAAAAAAAGAAATAAATATATATTTATAGATCATATACATACATTTAAAATTCAGTCTAAAAACTTCCATCTTAACTGTAAGTTTTGACCCGAGACAGGGTAAGAAAACACTCTTTAAGGAAACACAAACCTTTTGAAGAAAAAGAACAGGTGTTGGCACAAAAAGGCTCCATTCCAACTTCTGCAACAGGATGCCTTCCATTCGTAGCAGATCTGATGCTGTACACTGTGCCCTGCTGACATTGACAAAGTCTGTAGCCATGGGAACAAACTGTAATGGAAGAAACAACTTGTGTAAAAGTTAACATCCAAAACAAAGGAAATTACAAACAGGTGTGGGAACATAACATTAACAAGTCAAATTATCTGACCTTTTACTGATTGTTATACCTTATGGTAGCATGTAATGACATAATATTGGAACTTTTAATATATATATTTATCTACCAATTGCATGCTAGCAGGTACAGCTCTGTCTATATGGCATCTGGTACATTGTGACAAAACGCTACAGTAATTTTCATTACAAATCATATGCATATACTTAATGAAAATTGCAATTGTATCAAAGCATGATCATACTAAGCTAACCATGTATATATTTATATAACCATACAGAAAATTGCAATTGTATCAAAGCATGATCATACTAAGCTAACCATGTATATATTTATATAACCATACAGATATGCATGCACACATAAAGAAGTTACATAGTTATATGAAGTGTTTTCCTATTCATAATATATCGATTCACAAAATTCATATCGATATCACATTTTATCAATATCAAATTCATATCACATTTCATTGAACATCAATGAAACTATGGCAAACTTACTTCCTCCTCTTCCGACATTTTTGCAGCAACATACAAGCTAGTAAGTCCAATACACTGCAAATACTTTGTGTGAGCCTGAAAAAGAAAATTAAGGAGACACCATTATAGCAAGGCACAGAGAAAGTCTTAACCATCCAATATCAGTTGACAAAAAAGACCTGTCTAATCAAAAATGTTATCTATGATAAATAAGAACAGACAATGTGTCAAAAATTTATCTTTAATATACATATATCTAGTGCAGTTTGGAGGGCATAATTTACAAGTAATATTTATATACTTTGTCTACAAGTAACATAGACAGACATAATTTTTTAAATTTATCTAGCTGAAAACTATCTGAAGTTCACTCAAGAAACTATTTGAAATTAAAATACAACATGGTCAAACTCTGAAAAGAACCATGATGAAAATTAAATTTTCCCACTGAGGTTTTGGTGAGAATCATGTGACCTAGGTTAGGTAAGAACAAAGGGCCTTTGTGTAACACATACTGGCTTTGAGAAGACACGTAGCCATGGAGAAAAGAGATTACAGAACAATTGTTGTGTGTAAACCTCTAACAACGGAAAAACTGATTCTTGCAGTTTTTATTTACAACTGCCATTTAAGGGAAAACAATTCCAAAGTTAACGCCCAATTTTCTTTCATGTCTTTTTTCGACAATTATTAACACAAAACGGCAGTTAGGCAAACGCGGAAAATGTATATTTATTGAGGGGTTACCATTGTTAAGAGATTCCCAACAGTAATATTTGACGTCATTAACTATCGAACAGCTGATGTTGGTGACGCAGATGGTAAAATTTCGATTATAATGCCCACTAAAAATAAACAAGCAGTACCTTCACTTTGCAAAGGAATCGATCTGTGTAATTCACAGCCAACGCAAAAGTTTCTGGCTCGAAACCAAAATGAAGGCTGAGTTTGAGAAGGTGCTGCAGACATTGGTCTCTCTGTGCCGCCGATACATATTCCTGAAAAAAATATGACTCAGTATAGAAGATTGCAGGGAGGTTCTGGTCTATCATTTCGTTTCCGTTCAAATTGGAAATATTTTACATTGCACTAAAACACCTCCACCACCACCCCCATACAAGAAGATCTAGTCATCCTTAATTGATGCAGAGGCACTGTATAAAGCAAAAACCATGCAAACTTTTCCAAACAAATTCAAGCAAAATTAATTGTTTCGTCAACCATATGCTAATTTCTAAACCACTGCAGCAACTGAAAACTACCAGATTCGTATATGCCCATCACGCCCACTTCGCTTGTTCACGTACTGCGGATAAAGGTCAAACCACTGAAGCGAAAAATTTTCAAACACAAATTAAAAGTTGGGAAGGTCCCTAATAACAGATTCCGGGGCTATTTCCTCGACAAAACTGAAAGCAAACACTTCCTAGGTAAATTTTATTTAGTATTCACAGCAAAACTGTTTTTAGGCGACAGAGAAACAAAGAATTTAGGAAACAAGAGGTTAGGCTATGTAAAATTGGAACCTGACTTGACACGAAAAAAATTCCTACCTCATCAGAAGCCAGAAGAGGCGAGAGCGATGCAGAAAGCTTTTGCTCTCGAGCCAAATCTCCTTGAAGAGCAGTGACAAAATTCTGTGTCTCTGAACAAGGCATCTGTAAATAAAGAAATTAAAGTTATTTAAGTCTGTGAGAGATGATAAGCGACAGCGCTAAAAAAAATTGGGATGTAAATGGCCGCCAGGAGATCCCGAAAACTTTTGTCACCGAGAAAGCTTTACGGAGCTATTCAAGATTACATAGCGATGCAAGAAATCGATTTACTTTTAACTCGTAAAACTTAAAGAATGTTTACATGTTGAAGACCGTATTTGAAGACCTTACCCTGAGAATCGGCTAGGGCCAGCGTACGAGAAGCTTCGACTTGCTTGGTGCAAGAATTCATCAAAAATTTTGCTTCAAACTCACTGCATGTTTCTCCAGTTCGGAATTTACTTTGACGTCTTATTTCTTCCACTTATTTAACAGATCATTTTTGCTGCGTTCAAACTGGTTTTCCTCTCTAACATGCTATAAAATTTTCACTCGAAGATCATAGAAACTTCGCCAACTGCAGGTACTAAATTCTGAAATCTAAATTGAAGTGATGTAAACAATATTCGGGAAACCTCAGGCTCGCAAAGCACCATGGTCATTATTGTTCCATTGTTCGTTGAAGGAGCGGTGTTTTCCGGTTCCGTTAGAAACCCGGCTTCAACATAGAAACAAGGCAACCAAATCAAAACATTTCCACAGGTTTGACTTCACAACCGCCATAGCTTAAATTTGTAATTTCTTCAGACAATTTGGTTATAAAGCTCTCCAAGAGACTATCTAAAAGCTATATTATTAAAGTTCCTAATTTGCTAATGCTAATTCTATAAATTCTTTCTAAAATATTTTTTTCGTAATTTTCTAATTTTAGATAGGTCATAGGTTAAGGTTAATGTTGGAAAACTTTGTTCTTAAAAGTGATTAAAACCAACTAAAAGCTCTACTGGAGATAATTTTTGTAAAAAAACCTATAATTCTATCTACGTTTCTCTAGTTCCATCAAAATTTTCTTTCCCGCTAAAAGTACATGGAAAAAATTAAACAAGTCGTTATTTTTAACGATGAAAAATTGAAGAATATTACTTTGCATTGCCAATAAAAACTTACATACGGATTGATTTTAGATAATTGCTGCAAATTATTGTTTTAACTGCTCCACAATGGGGCATGGCCTTCCGAAGTAAATCAAAACATCTGCCAAATTTCTACTAACAAAAATTTTTAGCACAAACAGCTGCCTAAACCAGCAACCAAAAAAGTAGCAGATTCATAATTGAGAATAGATACGCTCATGTGTCGCTTGGAAAAAAGGAGCAACACATATCATTGCGTGAAGGAGATAGAAACTGTCGTCGACTACAGTAGCGTTCTGACTTCTGTTTAGGCCTAACAAAAGAAAAATTTGCTTCACTGAAGTCGCTTCTTTCATACACTGTCAAAATGGGCAGCAGGCATGTTAAAGGTTTTCTTTTGCACTTATTTCTAATTCAACAAATATGACCTTAAACTTGGGTATTACAATTTCGTTTTCAAAACAGTCGTTACCTTTAGACCGCCCCCTACAGAGAGGACAACAAATAAAATTCCCCGGTGCACAAAGAAAAAACATTCTACTAACCTTTAAAAGTCTTTAATATCAATTTTCTGTCCTGCAAATAAGCATTGGCAATGTCAGCGTACCACTCAACCTCTACCTTCAAAAATGTCTTGAGTTCCTTAGTGTTTTTTTATAGCCTGTCCATTTTTCCTTTGAGGTCAAAAAAATTCGTGAATTTGAGCGCCAGCGCCAGAATTAAGAATTTCTTCTGTTTTCTGATTGGTCAATGGAAACTGCATCAAATGCAATTGGTCAATTGAAACAATGGGTGGATCACTTTTAAATAGAACAAAGGGTTTCTTTGCTCCTTCGCAAAGCGTGGCATCTCAATATACTAAAATCCTACTATGCAAATTAGCTTCGAAACAACGAATGTGCTACTATGCAAATGAGGGGCACGGAAATCTGCACACGGTCTCACCCACTCGACGCCTCTTCGAACGAGATCGGTTTCGAGGCCTCCTCGAAACGTCCCGCTTTTTCCTCCGTTCGATCCCGTCCGTCGACGTGAGTCTGCAGCTGGCCTTCGATTTTCGATTCGGTCCCGTCTTCCTGCCTGAAAATCCTCGAAACAAACTTTTTCTAGGCGGAAGTTGCTTTGCTTGCGGACCTGATTGCCTCTCCGGAGAAAAGGTTACGTCGGGTCGTTAAGCGTGTTAGGCTTTGTCAGCGAGGTCGTTAACCGGCACCTCTTTGTGCGGAGAAGCAATTAAGTGCGGGATCCTCAAGTTTCTGCGAGCTTCCATTTCCTTTGCAGGAAAACCTTGCTGCGTCACAGCTCGGTTCTCCCTTCTGGATGGAAGTTTTGATTCGAGGTTTTTTTGGAATCGAAACAGCTCGCTTGCGACACCTTTCTCCCAAAAGCTCGAGACCGTACGAGCAAAAGTTATGATTGTCATGATTATCTCATTGTTGTTGCTTAAACTACTAGGCACTCTCATGGTTATCATGATCTTTTGGCGATGCGTTCCGATGACGTAGCGATTTGCATTGTTGCAGGGACAGTTTTTTTCCCGGTAACTGAAAAATTCCCTTTTATGGGGGATCGATTGATAAATGACCGTGCAATTTGTGTCAGAACAGTCTCAACTGGATAAAAGCATGATAAATTGTCGCAAAGATCATTTTCCAGCCAGGTGCATTTTAGAGCACACGGTTGGAAAGAAAGGTTTGGAAAAAGAAGTCGACATGTTTCTCACAATGGACCCTTGATTTTGGACGCAATTTTCAGTGTGAGTATTGTTTATTCTTTTTGCTTATGTTTCTGCACCTTGCCTTGCCATTTTTCTAAAAAAACGCCCTGCCCCTGCCGCGAAATATTTAATAGTCGCCCCTTTATTGAATACTATGTTTCTGTTGCTCTTTTATTAGCTACAACATTGAATTTACCGTCTGTTCTTCTGCTGTTTTTGCAGGACAGTGTCGAGAACACGATTTGAATACCTTTCCCAAATTGAATATTCATCAGGTTAGTGCGTTTGTTTTCGGGGTTATTTTCATCCCTTTTCGTTTATCTACGTTTCAAAATAGAGGTATTTTATATTTTATTATTTATCAATTTGTGCAACGAATTCTCAGCGAATTGTGACGCCTAGATTCAGGAAATTCAAACTTTATAGGACAGTTTTGCCTGACGAGTTGCGAACGACGATCAAGCTACGCCCCCTTTGTGATGTGACCCCATTGTCTGCAAGGTCGTTATTGGGGAAACTTTTTGTGAGTGCGGGTCGTTAACGATCATTAGTGACGCATCGATTAGGATCCTCGATCTTCGATGTCGACATTTGATTTTGGTAAACTTGCTGCGTCACAGTTTTCATTTCGGTTATTCTTGGATTTTTTGCAGGACATTCCCGTGGCAGATTGACCAAAGTATTGTAAAAGATATTCTCATCCAGCTTAATCACACGGTAAGCGATTTTTGATATCAAAGATCTCTTCGTGTTTTACTTCGTTTATACTCAAATTTTGTTTGCCGTTTTTTAGATAAATATGCTGAATTAATTCTAAACGAAATGCCAAGTGTTCATTTAAGAAAATTAAATTTTTCAATAAAGTTTTTCATGTGTTGCGAAAGCCGGTGGAGTTACGTCCCCCTAATCCCTACGCGATTGATTGATTGCATTCGCGATTTTGTTTTCGGGGTTATTTTCAGGCCCTTTTGTTTATCTACGTTTCAAGATAGAGGTATTTTATTATTTATCAATTTGTGCAACCAATTCTCAGCGAATTGTAACGCCTAGATTCAGGAAATTCAAACTTAATAGGACATTTTTGCCTGACGAGTTGCGAACGACGACCAAGCTTAGCCTCCTTTGTGATGTGACCCCATTGTCTGCAAGGTCGTTATTGGGGAAACTTTTTGTGAGTGCGGATCGTTAACGATCATTAGTGACGCACCGATTAGGAACCTTGATCTTCGATATCGACATTTGATTTTGGTAAACTTGCTGCGTCACAGTTTTCATTTCGGTTATTCTTGGATTTTTTGCAGGACATTCCCGTGGCAGATTGACCAAAGTATTGTAAAAGATATTCTCATCCAGCTTCATCACACGGTAAGCGATTTTTGATATCAAAGATCTCTTCGTGTTTTACTTCGTTTATACTCAAATTTTGTTTCGAGTTTCTTTATATAAATACGTTGAATGAATTCTTAACGAAAAACCAAGTGTTTATTTAGAAAAATTAAATTTTTCAATGCAGTTTTTCGTCTGTTGCGAATGCCGGTGAAGTTACGCCTCCTCCTAACCCTCGCGATTGATTGATTGCTTTCGCGATATTTTCTACGAATTTTTGCTGCCCCTTTTTGTTTAAATATTCATGCTACACCCTTAGTGACAAGATTTAGTAGAGTTTTTGTAAACTTCATGTTGCCCTCATCGTGGTATAGAAATTTAATAACTTTTTCAATACATTTTTCCATCTATTGCAAATGCCGGTGAAGTTACGCCTCCCCTAACCCCTCACAGTTGATTGATTGCTTTTGCGATATTTTCATGGATTGGAAGGAAGCTGCCCCTTTTTGTCAAAATAATCATTCTGCTCCTTTTTTGTACGTGTTTTTCTACCGCTTTTAGACCAATTTTACAACTGCTAAGCAATTTTTCCAGCCATTTCCATTTCGACATGGAAACATGCTTTAATGAATTGTTTCTACGCGTACACTGGCGCTGAAATTTAGTAACCATTATTCCTCTTTTTTTCAGGGCATTTGTGAGACGTTTTGACACCACGATTTGAATGAAAGACATTTCTTCTTTGGCCTTTGTTTCGTTATAATTTGATTGATTTAGAGGATCTTTGTATGTTTATTGTAAAGTTGAAGGATAATTCAAGATTTTGCATCCTGCTCTCAAATAGTTTCAGCGATTGATAGGACCCCTATTTCATAGATTTTCATACCCTACTTCCAATTGGTTTTTTTACGAGGATGTTTATGAAACACAGGGTTCCCTCATTGTATTTTTACAGAGTTTGCCCCCTATGCGTTATAAACATCTATTAGATTTTGCTTTAAATGTGCTATTTAACTTTGGAGGATCCTCAACTCTAGCCATTTATTGTTACCAATCTTGCAATTGGTTTTTACGAGGATGTTGGTGAAATACACGCCTCCCCCATTGTGATATATTTGAGGGTTTGCCTCAAATATTTTGAAAACATCAGATTTTAGATTTTGCTTTAGTTATGGATTTTATTTTGAGGATTCTCCACTCTAGGGTTGGCTCACCAATAGTAACTATTAATTGTTGTTGTTTTCAAAATTAGCAAACATTTTGATAATTATTATGATGATGAAGTAAATATTTGTTTTTCTGCTAGAAATCTGCCATTGAACACAAGTTAGGATAGTTCATAATCAGTCAAGTTTTATAGCATGATCAAAAGTCCTCAAAAATGAAACATTAGTGGTAGTGCTCAAAAATGAAACATTTGTGGAACTATATATATTCTCTTTCGGCAATATTTTAGACACAGCTATTAAGTAAAATTCATATAAAGATTAATTTATTTTCAAATTTGGTCGGGGTGAAGACGAAATAGATAAATCACTTTGCTGCATGCCTCTTCATGAAAATATCGAAATTTGAGCTTCTCCATATAAAATGGAGGTCGGGGGCAACCAAAAAACAAGTCTATTGCTTTACCAAATTTGAAGGCCTCATCCATTGGTATTAAAAGGTCAAAACGAGGCGGAAACGCCCGAGCTGATATTAACACACCACCTAGCAACAATGAAATCACGAGATTTGAATCAGAAAGGAAGATTCTGTGAAAAGTAGCTAGATATATGTGAACTGTACCAAAAATAGCGTTAACATGATTATAATCTCGAAAAATCATCTGACCTATAGACAATTAATTGACAAGGTCTTAGTAGTACATTTAAAACGAACACCACCA